TTGGTATTCTATGGGCCTATATTATACATACCTATAATGTTTATGTCATGTACGGTTTACAAATACCAAAATTGTCAAAAAATTACCCCAAATTATGCACGTCAATTTTATCATTCCTGCAAAACATTGCCATCACAATTTTTAACCCAAGATTGCGATCTATCCACGTTTCCCGCGTGGTACTTGACATTATACGGTACTAAATCACAAATTCCTACTAATATTATAAAAGTTAAAACGATTTTATCGTTTGTTGGCAGACAAGGTGGCTGTTATCTTAATAATATTATAAACATGGAAACTTGTGAAGAAGTTTCAATGAATGCAATCACTCTTAAACGGCTAAACAGATTTTAATAAAATTTGGTACTCGGATAAATTATACCTTATCTGTTAGGATATAAAATGAGACCCCAATTTGCAATTGTAACGAGACATTAAAATCGTAGTATATAGCGCTGTATGTTTTTTTTTTTTTTTTTATGAAAAGAAAAAGTGATGTTAAATTCGGTTGGCTCATTGTAACGAATTGACCACATTGGTTTCCAGAGGTATCGCGTGGAGGTCGACGATATTATCGTGTCGTGTTATGTTAATTCAAAAAGCGCACATCGTTTTTCACTTTAGTATAAGCGGCGTGTATTAGCAAAGTACTTCGTCAAATAAGGGACAAGCAAGTATTCCAGGAATTATAATCAACTTTTATCGCGTGATTAGATTATTATTATCAAAAAACTAACATTGCTTGTCTTTGGTTCCTGTTACATATGAATGATTAGTGGTAAAATGAATCGCTGCTCCAAATACAATTTTACAAAATATAATCAAAATAATGCCTTTCATTCGGACTATTTTTTTTATTTCGTTTTGTGTTTATACATGTATCTTAAGTGATATCTCTGCCAATTGTCATCCAATTTCAATGATATTTTTATTCCCACTTAAATCATTTTATAAAAATTGAAGTTGATCATTTAATGTAATGTCAACAATGGAGAAGCTATTGGAAAAATTGCGTATACTGTATCCATTCATACATTCACATGTTTCATGCAATATATATGATTTTCATATTGTCATATATTACATAAATCAGTGTAAGCGACTGTAAACATTTAATATTTTTAAAAAATATAATGTAATTCCAATAATACGCGGTAGGGGATTATAGGTCAACGGCCTTTGAACGCGTGACTTGTGAGAACTTGGCTGTTTCAAACCAATACCTATATTGTCTAAAATCATTGTGGTGCATCAGGCAACTTAAATTCGTAAAAATATAATAGGAGTCAGTAATAAAAAATGAGAGATTTTTAAAATGGGTATTTGATTACAGCACAGTGACATATGTAAGTGTAAAACAAAATATAAATATAGAACATCACTATTTTAAAAGTGGTATCTTATCTTATATTCGCATATGGGGTCAGCTAAGCTGTTGCACGTCGACCCATTGGGATCTTTGTGCTTCCCTCTGCCTTATACCATCATTTTATAGATCCTTTGTGTTACCTTAACAATATCATGCGGTTTAAGATATCTGTAGTCCCCTGGTTCTGGATAAGCTGTTCCCAGTAGACTCATTAAAAGTGATAAATATACAAAATTGTCAGACATTCTTTCTCTTTGAATATTTAATAGAGTCTAATATATCTAAGTAAATTTTGAATCCACCTTAATACTAATAGATCAGTAGTCACTTTTAAACACTGAATAAATTTATTCACTTATTGTGATTCTATTATGTATCTGTAGTTTTAATAATAATTAATAATTATTTAGAATTAATTGTAAAATAGTCTAATTTATATATTTTCAAATTAGACAGAAATTTAAGATAAAAATAGTATTTAAGACAGAGAAGACTAAGCTGGACAAGCCATATTTTTATCGGTCATGTGACAAAGTTGTAAGCTATGCTTTCAACTTTCAAAACACCATTATAAAAGAAAATAAAACCTTTTATATTATATTTTATTGAAAAATTGAAATTCTATATAAATCATACCAAGCATAATCTAATAATCAAGAAGATAATGTATTATAATTACACTCAACATACAAATACATTGAAGAAAGAATAAATCAATAACTAACTCATTAATATACACTAATATTGATATTTACATACATACATACATGTTCATACTACACACATTAAAATCAACATATAACAAGTTTCCTTTGTTTTATGTGATGAAACCTTGAAGTGCCTAATTACAAGATACATGTGTTATAAAGTTACAGTGTGAAACATGTATTTAACATTGATTTATATTAATACACTTGTATTTTTATTAGTATTTTTATATGTATAACATGTGTTATACATATAAAAATACTTTTAATTGTTGTTGTGGATGGTCAAAAGACACATTTTGATTTTTGAGAAGTAAATTTTATCTATTTGTCATTAAAGGCCTGAGCAGATTATATTATAAATCACATACAGGTGCAGTTCTAACAGTAAATCTGAACACGATCCAGGCAAAGAAACACGAGTCAAAAACAACAAAAGCCTCCTATACTAACATGGGATGTCAAGCGTTAAGTTACATTCAAAATTTTATGTTATTTATAAACTTTTCCATAATTTCTGTTAATTTAATCAATAGCATGGTAGATTCTTAATTTAATGTACAACTAATGACTTCAATTTCACTTTGTACAGTGTATACAACATGTGTATATTATAGCAGCGCAAGTTTAAAGGTTTCATTACAACCAAATTAAAATATATATATATAGATTTGTCTTAAGTCACAACTTGAAGGTCTGGATAAAGGAGGCCGAGATAAAAATATATTATGTTGTAGACAAAATGCTCATCTGTGCAGACACATCACAATATATAATTTCAATAGGTATAAAACATTTGATATCTAATAGAGATAAGATTAATTTCAAATCTCCTCTTCAAATGATTCTTTTAGGATAAGGTTGGAATGTGGTTGGAAGCAAAGGATGTGAAGTAGGTAGGGCTTGGAAACCATTTGCTCTGTTCTTGATTAACACTGTAAAAATGTTAATTTCATTGTATTTTCACACACAGTTAAATTAGATCAATTATGTCATGCCCCTTTTCATGATTCTTTATACCAATAATGAAATATGTAGCAAATCAATTGGGTAACAGAAATGGCAAGTTATGTACCAATGACTAAGTCCTGACTAACCTTTAATTATAACTTGAGTTAATAAAACCACTTAATCCCACTGATGGAAATGTTCTAGAGTCAGGAGAGTATTTTGACTCATTGATATACTACCCTCACATATAGAACACAATCTGGTGATCAAATATAATAATTACAAACTGAGTGATTCAGAATTAGCCAATTTTCAAAACTTATGTGTAAAAATAAAGGGCAAATAAAACTTTTAAAGTATTATTGCACTATTTACAGTAATAAGGCAAAATATGAATATAGAATAATTATTATATGTAGCAAAAATCACCAAATGTGATCTATTAATTACATTACTCTACTGGTCAACTGATATAAAAATCTTACAAACTGAATGCACCTAGCTAACTAAAAAGTACTAAAAAAAATAACCTCTTGTATTATGATTATGCTTATTAAGATATTATATGTGTTGAACAAATTGAATTGTGGCTGAAATTACATGACGCATAATTAATTAATTCTAGTTACTATTTGTACACAACTGCAAGTTTGCAACGAGTAACATCGAGTAAATGAAAAAGCTAACGGTTCTGAATTTAGTTGATACTTAGTACATATAAAGTAACAGAAAGAGACGTTTCTTGAATAATAAAAGTTAAACGTTGGCAAGCACGCTTTTATTGAACGAGAAAAACTGTAAGTTTATCGCAATTATAAGTAGATAAACAATACTCACCCGGCGCGACAGGTGCAAAGAAATGCAACTTCACAAACTTTATCTATTCACAAACATAAAACACAAGTAAATGATAACATAACATAAATTATGGTCCACTTTAATTCTCTTTGTAGTTTCGCGAAAAATCACACTGAATTAGGAATGAATACTGTACTGATTCCAAGAAATAAAGTGAACTGTTGATCGAACACGAAATCCTTGTTTTTGACAGGTGGAACTTGCAATTGCAATGCGTCAATGCATATATGCAAGTTAAGCCCTTCTTACACGAAGCGTTTTATATTGTCGGTAGCAATTCTCGAAGATATAAAACACCTTATTAGATAATTATTTATTAGATAAATTAGAATACTATAAACAATGTTTTTTTTTTAATATTATATGATGTCCATTAAATAGGCAATTACTACATTAATAATTGCATTTTAAATTAAATGAAATTGTTGCCTCTGAATTAATCATTGCAATCATTTACGATTAAATCATCTAATGGAGCATCTAACTAATTAATATGCAATATCTACAAAAATTATAAAATAAGGGAGGTACATATCTTTATTGCCTTTTGGCTAGATAATATCTATATTTCTATCTTATCTATCTTTTATTTACTATTTCCCTTCCGCTGCGAGCACCTTTCTACAAATTTGTAGCAATACTTTTAGTTCCTGAATCGCTCTACAGAGGCACCACTGACGGTCGCTTGCTAATTACTAATAATTAAATAATTTTCGATTATTGCGATTGCTTGTTGTTATAAGGAATTATTTAAACTATTTTATAAAGCTTTTTAAACTACAGTATGATATTTTAAAGTCTATAAACTAACTGGGTAACACAATGGGATGCATTTTGAAGCGCCATTTCCCTAAACATCTTTGAAATATTTATTTTAAGAATCAGTGTGAACCAATTTCCTAATAGATTTAAAATTTATAAAATCAATAAAATAATAATTAGAAAAAAAAATGAAATTACTAAATTAAGAACTAAATTATTATGTTTAGAATACTCAGAATCAGGCCCTTTAAATGTAAATTTACAATTTATTTAAATTAGATGTATATTTCATCGTTTTTATGTATAGATTATTTTAAACTGTGTGGTTATAAACTCAATCAATAAAGGGATACATTGTTTAAATAAATTATTTTATTTAACTACACTTTTTCATAGCAATCACTTAAATATATTTCCACTTAGCCAAGCTGAGTTTTAGGTGTACTATAGGTGCGTTTCCTAGAGATTTTCTTTTGTGAGACTTGCAACTGATGTAGTTGATTGTACACTTCACTCCAAATATCATTCTGTTCTTCTATTGGAATTGTTTTTCTAAAAAAAAAGGATAAAAAATTATTTTCAATGAACACAAGTAGATTAAGAAACAGGATATGTCTATGCAATATTTCTTAGTCATTCTTTTATACGATCAGAAGTGAACCTGCTGACAGACAAACTGCTGAATAAAACTCAGCTTTCTATCTCCTTTCTATTTAAATAAGTTTTTAAGTCTTACAGTTTACTTGCACCACCTGTGCTATTGCTTTACATTGGCAGGATTCTAATGAGAAATGATAGGTAAAGTTAATTTATCAAGAATGGTGTCCAGGGGAAACTGCATATTTAAACTGATGAAGTTTATTAATGACAATTGGGCCAATAATTTCCATTTCCAACAACCTCCCCTATCTCACCAGTTATTCTTTGAAACAAAAAATCATATCAGCCTAATGCATAATGCCTTTCTAATGTTTTAATATTATTGGGTCAGTATTGTGATGTATGTGAATTAAAATATCATCACTTCAATCATTCAAATATCATCAATCTAAGATGGACAATCACACAATTTTAGACACTGAATATTTTTTAAACTGTAATTGTACTAAAAATATGAATGCATTCAATTAAACTATGGCCTCATTTCTATCAATTCAGTAACATTTGTAAGTGTTGAATTTTTAAAATTTACTAATGTTTATATCCTGTCACATAATAACTACAATTTTTTTGTATTACTATTACATCATTAATAATTAAATTTATATTTATATCTATGAATAATTTAAACAAGTATTTAGCCTATCAACATACCTGTACTGGAGCATTAAGTCATATTTCTCCCATGGTTTCTTCCTAAGCTCTCTCCTAACCCTGTCTTTCTCTTTCAAGTGTTCCTCAATGTTAGAAATACCTTTCAGCTCTTGTCTTTCCCATCTTTCTAACCAAGGTCTTGGTTTCAGTTTAACCTAAAACAATATGAAGTTACAATTGTTATAAATTGCATTGCACTATTGCACTGACCAAATCAATACAGCTATAAAGTTAGTATTCTATAATCTTACTAAAACTATAAATGTGAAAATTGTTACGACAAACTCAACAAAACAATAAGTGGATTGTGGCCACTCAGTCTCTCCATTAAATATGTCTATGTATATGTGTATGGTATACACAGATACTTTTCAGCTTGCTAACACAAACCCAAGACTTGTTTATATATATTTCAAGTGATAAATAGAGGTGATTTTGTGTGGCAAAAAGAGATTTCAATTATATGTTATAAGCATATTCTAAATAAATTCTAGATAAATTTTTGAAAGAATGAAAGGAGAAGGAGAAAAAAATATTATAAATTATACATATTTACTTGAACAGGGTTGATTGGTACAGGGGTTCCTTCAGGCAATATTTCAGGATCCATGTCAAATGGGAAAGTACTGTATTCTGGGAGAGCATCCCTTAAATAAAACAGTTTATCATCTAGTCGTTTCTCAAGGCGCAATACTTGTATCTGATGAATGGTTGGATCATAAAGATCATACCTGATCTGCAAAAAAATACAGCTTTTTAATAAAATAAACAGTATGCACACAATACACTTTTTTTACACCACATGACATTTTGTTTCTTTGTACACCACATTCACAATATTCATTGGGAATCTGTAATTGGCTAATGTCCATACAATATTTTTAATTATTCTAGATATAAGCTGTTGATTCCAAATTTAATATTAAAATAAATAAGTAAGCCCCTGTTTCTATTTAAGTTCTATTGTTTTTTTTTCATAAAAGTGTCAATTCTTCAAACTTAAAGCTCTATACTATTCATAAAAAATGTTTTACAAATATGGTTCTTATTGTTACAATATATTAAAGTGAATGTTTTTTATTACACATTATTGTTACACACCTCTACACCCTGATGATCTACAACATTTCTAAGAGTGAACTCAGCACGGAGTCCGCTTCCTTTTCTTTCTATACAGATACCCACGAACCTGTTGGTCTTGCTTTGAGCATGTGGATCTGATATGGTTACGGCAAGAATTGACCCTGAAAATGCAACACTTAATTAAATAAATAAATATATGTAGTGTTGCTACAAATTATTAACATTTTAAAACTGATACATTATCTAGATAAAAATATAATTCCCAAATAAGTGCAAATTGTAGCCCTAAATTAAAAAAACTTGCATTATCTTACCAACATAAAATTCAGGTATTTCAATTTGATTTCTTCGTTTCAACATATCCATTCTCTCCAGTTTTTCACGAAGACTGTTCCTCCATTTAGGATTGGGATCAGGGAGAAATTCAGGATAGACATGTCTGCATTTCAAAATTGGATTAACTGGTTTTCTCCCAGACCGCCTTTTAACCTCATTTCCCGATTGTTCTAAAACCTCCGACTTTTCGGGTAAAGTAGATAGATTTAGACAGCCTATGGAAAAATAATAATTAAAATCAGCTTTGCGGATTTAGTAAAAAGTAGTAATATTAAGAAAATTATAACCTCTTCGTAGGATCCATTTTGTTGCAGCCACAATATCAGTCGTCTTTCTTAGAGCCAATGACATTGTAAAATTTAAAAATACCGACTATGATTTGAGAAAATTTCCTCAAAAATTAAAGAAATGATATACAACATGCCAATAATAAAATGTGTAAATTTGGAACACAAATTAAAAAACAATAAAAAGATGTTCTAGGTTTTATAATGACAATAACTGATAGCTCATAAAAAACCACAGATTATAAAGACTACATCTAAAGAAATTGATTAGAGACTATCCACGCGAAAAATAAAATGTCAGACTATTCTTTAGAAAAAAAAACAATGTCAGTCATGTCAAATTGTCAGTGGCTGTCAATGTCATCTAGTCACTATTTTGTATTAAGTATTGATTCTGTTTATTTGTCCTTGTTCTCAATTTCCTCTTTAATTTAAAACAGAGATTTCACGAAAATGTCTTCTATTATACAAAAGTGCAATGATGATAATATACCCTTGGCGGATGATGATCCACAAGTGATAATTACTGATGACGTAGAAAACAACCGCCTAGACCACGGCCGATCAATGGACTCATTGCCTAGTTCTTACACTGGTGGCTCGTCTAGCCCTGGCCTAAATGGTCCACCTAGTTTCGAACCAGACTCGGGAATTGATGAACAAGAGGAAAAGGCTAGATTAATATCACAAGTTTTAGAATTACAGAATACTTTGGATGGTATGCTCTTATTTTGTTTTTATTTTTCGGAAGTTTCATACAATTTAATTTCTAGGTAATCGTGTATCTACAAATTATTATATTGTTAATACTATTAACACCAAACATATATAATGTGTTACATATACATCATATATGTGAAGTGTATGTTAGGTATAGTTACGATACATGTATTATATTTTTTATGTAATGATAAGTAAATTTTTATTAAATAATCCTTAAAATACCAACATGTGTAGGACCATACAAACACACACATATGCACACCCACACACTATTTTCATTGTATTTTTATGTTTACGAAAGAGCATGACCTTCTAATACAGGTGATATTATTTACTAGAACCTTACAACAAACAATCTTTATAGTGTACTAATTTTGTTATTGAAATAAATATTTTACATTTTTTTTTTTACATCCACTATATTTTTCTATAAAAAAAGTGTAATAATTTGTTACAAAGATAAAATGTTACATTTATTTTATTGGAAATAAAGATAATAATTCATATTATGCTGACTGGTAGAAAGTGGTAACCACCATTGACACATTTAGGATTATTTTCCAGGGGGAGCCTGATCCCTTATGTAATGCACATGCACTTTTGAACATGTCAGTCATAGCCCATAATTAAAAGCTGTGCTCCTAATCCTTGGATGGGCATGGCCCACCTAGTCTATGTGTTTCCTATAGTTTATGGTATACACTCTATCACTATAGACTTGATCAGCACCATATTCTTATAAATAATTGTTTTTTTTTACAGATCTCTCACAAAGAGTTGATTCTGTAAAAGAAGAAAATTTGAAGCTACGATCCGAAAATCAAGTCCTGGGCCAGTATATAGAGAATTTAATGTCTGCATCATCAGTGTTTCAGTCGACCACACCTAATATTCATAAGAAGTAAAAGACATGGAAGCACAATACTTATTTTTTTTTTATTTTTTTTTTTTATTTTGATATACTTATCTACTAGTATTAAAATAAAAAAGTTTGTAATAAGAAGGAGGCTTAGCTTTAAAAGCACTACTATTGCAACACTTATGGGTACTGCTATTCAATAAGCTAGGAAACTGCAGGGAACTCATCTAGATCTTGTTATTGCATAGTAATCTGACAGAGAATTTTTTTATAGCAATATTTATCTATATTTGCCAATGTGTATACAACACCAATAAGAAACAGTTGAAACTAGTTTTTTTTTTAATTCTCATAGGAAATTTCTAAACTGTTTTCTTAGTGGATGCCTTATACAGGAGGAGTTTCTAGTATTTCACTACCTACAACATGCACTTGTGATGTTTTATCTATGTATTTGCTTCCCCATTGACATACCTAAATTATAGCAGTTCTCAAACATATAGGTGGATTCATTCAGCTGTTTCAATTGTCTAAGTGATAATATAAATAGAATGTATATTTATTAATAAAATGTTGCTTAAAATTAGATAGATGCAAAGAGAAATTTTATGTAATGTGAACATTGAGAATGCCTTGTACATGCATTATGACTGTATATTTATAAATTTATATTTTATAAATATAGAATATATTGCAAACAGTATATAATGTAAAAAAAAAAATTAAATCATTACCTAACAATATAATAATTATATTAAAATTTCGAATAGTAATATACATTCCAACAACATTTACAACATCTAATACTCGTTTTGCTACTTCAGATACACTATAAAGTTAAATTAAATTAAAATAGAATAAGAATATAAAACAAATTGTAAGGAAAAAATAACATTAAAAGAAGAATAATTGAATATGATACATCAGTATAATTAACATGCTAACATTATTCAATAATGTTTGTGTCGCCATTATATTGCTTTTATCCAATGATCTGGTCTTGATACAGTATATTTTCTGTTCCAATTTGTCTTCACAAAATTTGTAATGTTATGATAAATTATTGTTAATATATATATATACACAGAATTGTGATTAGTTACTTTAACACCAATGTAATTTTTTTAAAACTATAATAATATTTCAGCTATAATAGTGAAACACATACTTTTTTTTATAAAAGATGCACAGTGATATCTCTTGCTTGAAACACTGGACTGGCAAACATTTCAGCTTTACAGGTGAATTCAATTAAATAACACTACATTCCAGTGTCTGGACAGTATTTACAAAGAATGTCCAATTAGATTACCAGCCAGTAAACAAAGGTTTCAGATTACTAAACCTCCGATGTACCTACAGTAGCGCCTATCAGATGCGTTGTATGCTTATTGTGATGTTTATTTAAAATACACTTTTGATATAATGCTCTCATGAACTTTTGACTGTTATGTAACCAAATGTAATCTCAGGTATCTCAGATTTATTATATATAAGCTTTTAAATAATAATATAATTTTTAAGAATTTTAATATCAAAACTTTTATTCCTATTATATTTAACCTAACATTTTTTTGTCGTTTATTTATTAACACACAAGACAAATACAGTCAGTAATTGATGTTAACATCATACGTCTTCAACTGCGTGACTGCGATATTACATATTATTAAAGCTAACTATAGTATGTATATTTAAAAAAAAGTTCATATTAAAAAGTAAATACAAACGACTTTTTACAAATTTTCTAATACAGTTTGTATTAGAAGATTCGTAAAAAGTCGCTCGTGACAACTTGGTAATTGAACGACAATAAACAGGATTGCTCTTAGTTTATCTAGCGCCCTTGTACAAATTTTTGGCAGTTCCCCCTACCCCTGACAAGAATTTGATAAATATAGAAATAGGCTCACTATTACTGAAAGCCATTCTTATTCCTTCATTCTAATAACTAAGCAGCTAAGTATTATCCTGCAAAAGGTATTATTATAGATATACAGAGTGTCCGGTAATGAATGGAAAACCTTGAAACGTCTTATAGTTCAACTTATGGCCGTCCTAAAAAAATACAAAACAAAATATATCAAAATATAATAGATTTTTTTTACTGGAGCTGCCTCAAAGAGGAAGTGTACCGTAAGCCTATACAGTCTTTGGACGAATTACGCAGTCGTGTCAGAGCAGCCGCATCGAAAATAAACGAGCGACCGTAAACAAGACTGCTCAGAAGAACATTTATCTGAAGATGCAGGGCATATGCCCTATTAGGTCGACCTCCACGTGGTTCCCCCTGAAAACCATCGTGAACAATTCTTGTTGAATTCATCACGATGGGCTAACTGAATCGCTTCATCCTTATCTATCATTCTTCACTGGTGCCCCGCCGTTGTATACCGATAGCGCGGGTGGGGATACCATTCCATTATCACCCATTAAGAAAAAAACTAAACCTATGTACCGAGAGAAAACGTTGTTAATAATGGGCTCTAACAGCTCCAATAATAGCAATATATTCTATCAGGTCCACCTCCACGAGGTTCTCCCTAAAACCATTGTGGTTAATTTGTCTTTCCGACCTGCCTTCATCCGCACCTTGCCTCACTTCATCATCTATTACTGGTGCTGCGCTCGCCAGCGTTTACCTTATAGGTACCGATAGCGCAGACAGGGTTTATATTACATTTTCACCCATTAAAAAAATGCCTAAGTAGCTATATTTTGTGGTCTGTAGTTAGGTAGCCACTTCACGCAAACCGAGCTATAGTCACAGTGTAGATACTTAGATACAAGTAAGTACTAAGGCGCTAAATAAATTTCAGTGTAGTATAGGTATCCCTTGTTTATATACTCTTTGATTATAGTATGATTACTTGCTCCGTGTAGTATTATTATATTATATATCTATGGGATATATAATATAATCGCGATTTAAATGTTACTTTTTTCTATTTTTATCTTCTCTAGTGGCATTTACCCCGATTTTAGGAAAATTTTGTCAAAAACAAAACAAGGAAACAACTGCACTAATAACAATATCTATCTCACGCGAATTTGGAAAGACTAAAAATTAGGTCTAGGGCATTTATAGAATATATAAAATAAAACATGTACATATGAGAATATACTTATCGATAATTAAGAGAAGCAATATGTGCAACTATAAAATATTCATATATTATAATTAAATTTTGTCTTTATATTATTCAGTAAAAACGTCAAATATTACCTTCATATTCCATTTTACTCTTTTATTCATAAAAATGTCTAACCTCACCTATTTAATTAAATGAACATGTTTTAACTAATGAAGTGTTTTGTCTTTTTCTTTTGTGCTAAATTAAGAAAGTGACAAAACACTGCAATAGTTAAAATAGGTTTAGAATACATAATAGAATAAGAGGGTACGTGTTTAATTGGTACCTACAGTTAGTAAATACCAATTGTGTATTCCGGAGATATTTGATTTAAAATATGGCAACTTTGGTTTTGTCATTTCAATTCAACGAAGTTCATTCTATAAGTCAATTTTACACTCAGTTTTATTCTGACACTGCTTTCTATTAGTCGTCTTGTTATTTTGTTTATCTGGTTTATCAGAATTAACCCAAAATTTAAACATGCCGAAAAAACTTAAAGTTGTAGTGAAATCATTGTATTCACATGAAATACGCAAAGATGTTAGTTTGGAAAATCTTAAATCACTCAGGCTGGAGGATGCCTGGCCGTTTATAAGAGATGAAATTGAGATAGAAATAGGAAGTAGTGAACTAATTTGTATTCCGCATATAACAGAAGCAGTATTATACGAAACGACATCATTATTCGTGCAAAATGATAAAGAAATAAATGGTAAAATGTTTACACCACTAGGGGAACTAATAAAAAATATTAATAAAGAGAAATCTAATAGCGACTATGTGAAATGGTTGGAAGAAGGCAATTTCCACGACACAGACTTCAAATTTCCACACGAAAGCGTCAAGGTACGTAGTTTGGTTGTTGAAACTTTGTTTTTTCAATTTTGTTGATGTAGAATAATTAAATAATTTTAGAAAACGTCCATTTAAGTGGTGTCCTTGACCTCTTTCTCTCGCTAAACAGTTTTTTTTACAATTACGACGAGTCTACTGCAGAAATAATTTAAAACACTTCTTACCCAAACTGCGTTTAACAAACAACCGCCCATTAGGGTAACCACTGACGAAATCTTTGTCTAAGTGTGTTCAATATTATGATTATTTGTAATATTATGTACCAAAGACATAATAAAACCATTGTAATAAAAATTCTTACTTTAAATATCTTTTATTTTTAATAGATATAACCAGTAGTATGTCTAAACTTAGATTATAGATGTGAGATTAAACAGGTGTTCAAACCTTGAGGTGTTTATCACAATTTTTTTTTTTTTCTGGTGACACAGATTATTTTCAATGCTTTAAATATACAATTTGTTCTATATAATCTTCTCCATATTCAGAAGAAAAATTAATGATTAAAGTTACAATGAGTGTTTTGAAAAAACTACTAGAATTCTTTCAAAACACTAATTATGTCTATATAAATATATGTTTATATAGACTATTGTTTGAATCGCCAATACATCTCATATACATCAGCATATACAAAATTAAAAAAAATAATTTTCTGTTACACATTCGTATGTGTAAAAGAAAATTATTTTCTTTAATTATCTTTAATCAGTCATCTAAAGGTGAAATCAGTTGACCATTTCACACAAACAAATGTTTTCTTTATATTTATTTATTTATACAATTGACCAAAATTTAAACAAGTATTCTGTGTCTATTCAAATTCCTTTTAAAATTTTTTTAATCACAAATGATACACATATTTGGAGAAATTATTAAATTGGAAATTAAACTTATTCAATATATATGTATTGCTTACAACTACTCTTCAGATGTGTTTATACAACTGATTAAATAGATTTGAATTAAATTTGCCCCACAAATATACCTTTGAACCATTAACTCTTCAAACTTGAGTCTCATGTGATAATGTAATGTAACTTGGTTAGGCTCATCAATCAAATATGATGGGATTTTGAAATCTCTATGTTAATAAGAAAAAGAGGTTTTATTTATTTATTTGTTTAGGATTTATCCACAGTTTAAATTAGGCGAAAAGTAAAGCTGACATGATTAATTACAATACAATATGACTCACAATATTAATTATTTAACAAAAGAGGTTCTGTGTCTGCAAAACTTTTCTTTTATAACTACATATTGTATCATTTAAATCTATAGATACAGTCACATATATAATTTGTATTTAAGGTGGCAGTTGATGAAAAATTATATTTATCTTTTGGTTAAAATAATAGTAAGCAATCTTCGAGTGTAATGGTAGCGCAATTAAATTATTATTATTAAATTGTTCTATTTAATTAACTGGTGATATGGATTTGTGCAAAATAACATCTAGTTCAGTAAAATAAATATATGTAACTTAAAATCGTAAAGACCCCTCGAGTGTCTCAACAAAGTAAACAGTATGAAATAAAATTAAAATTTTATTCAAATCTAACTGTAAATATGATTACATTTGAAATAAAAAGAAAATATCTATTAATTTGGCACTGATTTTGCCACAAAAACTAAAACAAAAAATCCTCTTTTTGCATCGGAGGTTTACCCTTTGCACTGTAGTATTTCATAGAGGATACTAATAACTCATTAACTTATCAATAACTTATAATGTAAACATAATAAACATATCATAAACACTATGATTTGATGTGACTATAAGATAAACACAGATGATTTTGCTTACCTAAGTGTTAAGGGTGTTGAGTCAGTAAAATAACTGTGTCGCCATAGCCGCGACAGTGGATTTAATGTTAGCATTTTAATATCGCAAATAGGGCGACAATGGAGTGCAAAGGGTTAAAATTTGAACATGGAGAAAAAACATATTTTACAATTTATCTTAACTATCTGCATTCCGCGCCTTTGCCTATGTGAATCAGTACATAAAGTATCCTGTGTGCTAAATAAGGATATAACATACATGTGTACTAAATTTCATTCAAATCCGTTACACACTTTTTGCATGAAAGAGTAACATCCATTCATCTATCCTTATAAACATTTGAATTTATAATATTAATAGGATTTTCAATTGTCCATTAGATCACATTGCAAGATGAATCAATCAAGAATAAAGTGAGAGTCATTATGGTGAACTTCACACGCTGTTCAATCCCAAAGAGCAGAGACTTGGTCAACAACATTTACTTAGATGTAGAAAATAATAAAGGTATGTGTGATTTACATATTTACAACTGATTTGAACAACAGAAGGAGATTCTCATTTTTTTTTTTAATTTGTTATCTTATAACTAACTTGTAAAAGTATATTAAGTTCTAAACCAATTTGGAAAATTATTTTTATTATATTTACAGATTAGTCCCATAGAAAATTTATCAAAATTGATACAGTAGTTTAGTTTTAAAATCAAAATAAATAAAAGAAAAGGTTTTGCCATAAATAGTTTTTTTTTTGTTTAACTCAATCTTATTGACAATATGTGTGTAATGGGAATATTAATAGGCGACTATGGAGACCCTAATAGTCGAGGGATGGGCAGCAGCCATTTTAAACATCACCTAAGCTTAACTGTGATTGCCAATCCGTCTGGCAAATGTGGCAACTATTAGCAAAACCCCCCAATAGGTGAAAGCCTATGTTTAGTAGTGGCAGTAAACGATTTACGTAATGATGATGTTTTTTTTTTACTTTCTTCAAGATATAAATAAAATAATTTTGTTTCAGATTTGAAAGGCAAGAAGTCAGTATACATGATCACAAATGTACTGATGGCCAAGACAATAGAGTTCAGAGTCACGCGAGGCACCTCCTCGAGGATATTCCACCTCGGGAATGCGTCACCATTAGTGTTTGGTCTGGAAGAATTCCTGATTGGTGATGATGGAAAACTGATCTCGAAAGTGAGTAGATATTATACCACATAACAGTTGAACTTGCAATAAATATCAAAGAAAATTCTCCAAATATTATACGTCTTGGTAGTTCTATATTCCTTTACACATACAAATTTTCATCCAAATCTGTTCAGCAAATTTACAAAGATCCCAATATCTTTACAAACATTCTCTACCTACTCTTTACATTATAATTTGTAAAGATATTAGAATTTTTCTTGCTAAATTACACTAGTTAAATGGCTGAACGAAAAATAAATTTTATACATAGACATACTATGTTTTGGATAAACACAGCATATAGGGTTGTAATATTAGTGGTTTTTTTTTATGCAACTTAGAATGGCAAACAAGCTGATGGCCCATCTGATGTAAAGTGGTAACCGTCGCCTTTAGACATGAGCAGTACCATGGACATAACAGAGTATACTGTTTCGCCCATGATACCCCCCATGCGTTGCCATTCCTGAGGACTCAGGTGTTATTCCTCTGTACCCAATAAATTCACGCCATATCCCACCTTTCAAACCGAAACACAGCCATGCAAACACAACTGCTTCATGGTAGAAACACGAATGGGACAGAGGTACCCAAGCAATCGACTTTTGTACAAAGTCTCCCTCTGGTGAAAGCGAGTTTGTTTGTTTGTTACCTTGATGACTTTAACTCTATTAATCGTTATGTAATTGGGAGTGAATGCTGTATTTAGAATGCTGAATGAAATAGGTAGACAACTTTATTCTCGGTTACGGGATCGAAGTTAGACACAGTATAATATATTCAAAGAATATATAAATATAGTCGAGGAATGGGCAGCAGCATCCCTTTTAAAACATTACCGAAACCTAACTGCAGTTCCGCCTGCCAAGCCTGGCAAATACTGCCTCACCTCACAAGAGGAAGGCCTACATTTAACAATGGACAGTTAACCGCTGATAGATGATGATACATATGTATGGACATTAATTATACATTTACTACAAAATGTAAACAGTATTTTTATTAAATTTATTTGTAGTAAAAGATTTTTGTCACTTGTTATTCTGTTTTTTAGCTCAACAATCAGTAATGTATTTTTAGCTTATCACAATTTGTACAAGGTTTGTAGTTTCCTCTTGACTATAGTTTCAGAAACAATTTGAAATATGGATTTACGTCAAAGAAACACATTTGTCTGGATTATAATTTTTTTTTTTTTATGTATAAATCCCTCCAGTAAATGTATTTTAAAGATTATACATTGTGCATTTATTTTTAAAAATATTTTATACTCTCAAAAAATTGACGACTTCCCTGGCTCAGTGGTAGGAATATAACTTTGCGTAAATGTAGTCGCAGGTTCGATTTCTAGTCAAACTAATGTAGAAAATATTTTTTTCTAAATCGACTCTGAGTTAGAACATGGTATGTTAGCTTGCAGTAAAAGAATAGCAATTTGATGCTGTAGCTTTTGTGTTATGCCGGTACATATATACAGACAGACAAAAAATGTAAAAATATTTCTTTTATTAACCTCTTATTACAATTTTTTATTAAATATTTCCTACTAGTTTTGCTCGCAACTTCGCTCACGTGATCGGAATATGTTTACTGACCGGAAAAAAAGTACGCTATATCCTTCTCCACTCCATATAGTTAAATTAATGATTGCTATTAAGGAGTTATAAGGTAACAAACAAACTCTTTCACATTTACAATATTAGTAAAGGTATACAAACATTGTCTATTTACAATTTTATTATACGTAATAAATTTATTATGTAATTAAAGTATACAATGCTACAATAATGCTGCGTAAAACATTTAATACTTGCGTAATACTGCGTAAATATTTAATTAATAAAAAACATTGTACAAAAAAAAATTCCAAATCATAGTCTTCCTTCTTGAATAGTGGTCTCCATGAATAACTCTATAATCGAGTTAGACGAGTTTATAACGATACGTTAACTACGTTAACTTTATTAGAGACTATGCTCGAATCCTTTGACATGTTAGTTAACTTTTGTTAAACAAACAAGCGATTTCAAGGTCGGCATTGCTCATGTTACTTTACGTAACATCCCAGCTTATCATTAGGCTGTTTGCATGTTATTTTTGTTTGCCACATTCGATGATTCCCGGTTAATTATAATATGTATGAATTACGACTTCTTCCTTCATAATACTCGTACATACACACTATCTTAAAGCTCGTTTGTCTCTCTTTCTCATAAAAACAATAAAATGTCAATTGATCAGCGTAGTGTTGGATATTGTAATTATATTTGGGTTGAAATCAGCGATTGAATCAATTTAGGAAACTAGAATTTTTAATTTATTTTTAATTATTCTCTTATTTCCGTTTTCAGCGACATCCAAAGTGTATTTTTTTGTGATTATGTTACGTTACTATGAGTATGGATTCATTTACTTCCGTGTTGATCCCATTAAATTTATTTTTTATTTTTATTTTGTTTTGTTTTATATCCTTAGGAATTATCCCAGATAAAAAAAGAATTATGTAGATTAGAAAAGGTCTTTGTTAATGCATAGGAAGGAAATGGATTGGTGTTGAAAACTCCTATTGCTAGCAATATACCATATCAGATCGATCTCCAATGTCCTGTTAACTGTCGTGGTTAATTCTTGTTGACTTCATCACGATGGGCCAATTGATTTGCTTTCATCCTCACTTGTCATCTCTCACTTGTACTCCACCAACATATATCGATAGTGCAGGCCGGAAACTATTCCATTTTCACCTACAAAAAAAAAATAGGCAAACAGATGACGAGCGAGACTTGTTATAGTATGTATAATGTAAATTAGAAAATAATTGTAATAATCTAAATAAAGCCTTATAAGTATAATAAAAAAATATATAACATCAGGAGCTCTCGCCTGAGGATATTTTTTTTTTGCTGGGCATAGGACACTTCAGTGCCCAGCAATTAGACATTATTTTGTTATCATAATGAATTAATCTCTATTTTTTCTCATTCCAAGAAACTTGATTCTGTTTACTTTAGTAGGTAGGTATATAAATAATAGTCTGTATACGTATGTCTACTTAAAATATTATTACTCTTGAATTGCGTTTTCCTCAACGAATGATTCATACTCTTCTAAAGTACCAATAGATTCTAAATTTAATTGTTTTTACAAAAAAGAATAACTAAAAAGACTAACAAGCTTCGTATAAGGTACTGGATACTGAAATTGTTATGATATCTTAAATTTAATATATAATAAATTTACTATATTTCATAATAATATATTAAATTTAATTATAATTATTACTACAAGTGACGGTTCTAAATAATGCCATCGTGTTGCATATATATTATCCACAATCAATTTATATTTTCATTCAAATATGTATTTTATAGCTGTAGTGTAACAAACACTTTTCTATACGGATAATATGAACAAGATAAGGTCAAAACAAGTACCTGTATGACTATATTAGTACTTCACTAGGTGTTTCAAGGTTAAATATCTAAAAATATATAACTGTTTGTAAACATACTGATAAAGATTGCGGATGATGGACATTGTGTCCACGGAAAACCTTCCCTTTGTATTAGTCACTTATTAGTAGTAACATTGTAGAGTACAAAGAGTTTTATTATGATAAAACTAAAATGTAGGCCAGCATACAATAAAGGAAAAATTTTGTAGGTACTCCAAACATGACCTTACCTGTGCTTTATATAACAGAATGTTCTGCTGTAGTGTGAAGTACTGTTTTTGTTCACAATAAATAACAATATAATTATTTATTACATATACATTATAACATAATTCAATTATTTATAAAAAGTATATAAAGCAATCAAGATTCTAAAGTAAATAAAAACTCGACTTAAACTTATTTTTCTGATTAAGTATTACAGGTAAGTTACTGATTAAAAACGATAAAAACATATAAACAAGATTACTTGTTTAAATGTTTACGTAAAGAATGTATTTAATATATTAGTGTGTATTTCATTATTATAAATCTCTAATAAGTATATGATTTTATTACGTTAATTGGCTATCGACTTATTGTTATAAATCATTACATTGGTATTTATCGATAAATATGTTTGGTACTAAAGTAATACCAGAGCTAAATCTGCGCACGTGCATTACTATCATGCGCTCAAATCGTGCACACAATGCGCATGGCTTGTGCGCATGATGTGTATGAATCATAATAACTATGATTATTTCAATATTTCAGATTGAACTGGTAAAAAACCTTCTCACCTTCGAAATCTAAATAGGTTGTAATCCGATTTTAATCATAGCAACATATTTAAACAATTTTGAGCCCATCAGCTGTTTCTTACAGTGAACGATAAATAGCTGATGATAAAGTAGTTTTGCTGTCAAAATATGCTTGTTTGCAGTTTACCATAGTTATAGCCTTAATTTTTGATGCACCGGCTATGCCTCTGTAAGAATCTCTAATTCAGCAATTCGTGTGCAATTCATCCAGAATTGCACACGAATTGCTCTCTGAATGATCGTATTCACGAATGACAAAACATTAAACATTAACGTCGTGTGTTTCCAGCATAGAATGGGCCACTCCTTCCTTTCCCTTGGTTGTCGTAGGAGGCGACTAGAGGAGCTTAACCGAGAGAGCGACAGCAGCGTCCCTCTTAAAACATCACGAAAGCTTAACTGTTCTTGCCAACCTGCCTGCCGCGCTATTGGCAAAACTTCCCTTATGGAGAAGGCTCTTGTGCATTTGGTAAATAGCCTTACCAACCCAATAGCTATCCTCGGGGCGAAGGGATTGTTAGCAATGGTGTTTGACAGCCCCATTGCTAGCAATATGCCCTATCAGGTCAACCTCCACGTGGTTCCCCCTGGAGACCATCGTGACAATTTTCGTTGAATTCGTCACGATGGGCCAACTGACCTGTTTCATCCTCATCTATCTTACTTCACTGGTGCCCCGCCGGTGTATACCGATAGCGCGGGTGGGGTTACTATTTCATTATCACCTATAAAAAAAATAGCTATCCCCTGCTAAGCACGGACGTCTCTTTATAACAGCCTATTACCAGTCTGGCCAGATTGTTAGGTAAAGTGTTTTATTTCAAGTTTTTCTTATACATATTTTATATATCTTATATATTGTGCTTTGATTTCTAAGATGTGTAATATATTACATTTTGTTTGGGAAAACCAATAAAAGAATTTGTTGTGATTATTTTAATTGGTGGCTATGGTCGGTAATTACGTACTTAGTATTTGTATTTTATCAAGTACAAATAAAACTGTTCCAGTTAAGGTAACTGATTCGTATGTATATAATCTTATCAAATTATCAACGCGCGTGATTCATTTGCCCTGTGCTATACTGTTACGTGTCCATGCCTATCTATTTTAGATACTTGATGACAGATAATTACATGAATAGATAACGCATGTTTGTCAAATTATACCAAAACAAAGATGTCTTACATATGTTCTATAAAGTTTGTAAAAATTAATACATATTTTTTACTCAAAGTTGAACGCATTTCTAAATATTTCTAGATAAACCAGTCTAGATTAATATATAGGATACTTTTTACTCCATATAGACAAAACAGCGTGTTACGTAGTTTTATGAAATTTTGAAGTTCATAAGCATTGAGATAAATTGGCGCAAGTACAACATTAGATGTTTGAAATTGAATTAAACTAAAAGAACAAAAAAACCTTAATAACAGAAAACCAAATAGATGTAGATAAAAGAAATCGAGGATAACGATTGCACTCGAGCAAAGAAAGGTGAGAAAATTAAAAAATTTTCAAAGTAGTAACAAAAAATCGATTGATTTAACTCCATTTTAAAAAGAACGGAGAATATATTGCCTCCTACTATATACTATGGACGTCTAATTCATGTATTTTTAAAAAATACCTATCTACGGTAAATATTTTGCTTGTCTTAAATTTTATATTTCAGTAAATAAAGTTATGGTAGTTAGTACATTTCTTCGATAAAAATATTTACTCGCAGTGTTTTGATAATTATTGTGTATACATTGATATTTCTTTATTATTATTCTTTTTACTAGTTAAGTATATATTTAGGTGATTTTAATAGGTCTTCTTTGCTTTAATTTCATTGCCATTGTTTATTCTTTAATTCTCCTACCACATTGGGACATTGTTATCACAATTTCGTAAGGTGCAACAATTTTATCAATCAAATTAATTTAATCAATATTTATATTTAGCGTAATTAAAATAAAAAAAAATTAGACTATTTTTTAGCCGTATTATTTTTGCACTTTCAAATCTCTGTGTAAATACGTAATTTAAATTTGATATCTTTTACACATTTGGTACTTCGTATAAGACCAAACATAATTCCGTATACGTTTTACACACTTGGTCCCCCGTGAGTAAACTACTAATACTTTTACCTTTTACACATTTAATACCTTGTGTAAATATGAAGTTTATAACTTGTATAATACAGGTAATACAGTAATTCTTTTAAAAAAATAATCGTCTATTCATACAGACTGATATAGAAGTTAACATTGTCATTTTAACGCATATACTCGTGTACTACAAAGCGTTATTAATTATTTTTTGTGTAATCCTTACAGGAACCAGTGGCGATAGTATCTAAATCTCTCAACTGGAAGAAAGTGGACCCCTCTGATCACCTTTACAATCCAGATAAGGAAGCCGCTTCTTGCGATGCTTAAATCACAACAATTCAAGTTTTAGAGCGCACTTTACACACTTCTAGGTTTGTGAATTTTGAAAAAATGACACGTGTATTATTCTGTGCTGTAATTATTAGTCTATTTTGGATAATTGACATTGAGATACATTTTTGTAGACAGTAAGTCACGAGGTGTCAATGACCTTTTAATAGGATTTATGTATTTGGTGAAAGTATTTTTATGAGCGATACGCTCGTCATATAGACTTGGATGTGGTCTTTTTAAACGTTTAATTTATTAATGAGGTTGTTTTTTTTTTATTCTAAATTTTATTTTAGCTATCGTCATTTAAATGTTAATATTTGTACATTATTACCCGATATTTTATTGTTATTTTTCTAATATGACGAAATAAAATTGTGATATTGCATCGTTGGTGTTCCATTGAGGTCAAATTTGTAGGTTGACTTTTGTCGTAATCGAATTCGAGTCGAGCCCTTGTAGATTTCAACATATAAAAGGGTATATAAATGTTTTCGACATACAATATACACAGTTACTAGTTTCTGTTATTATTAAGCTTAACTCATGCATTCTTCATAAAAAATAAAGTACTTTAGTAAAGTACATTTTATGATTGTATATTTGATTGCTATAGTAAACTGCCGTGACCTGATTGCAATGCCTTCTAAACAGACGGCCGGTTGGTCACGCGGTTCTATGGTGTAATGGTTAGCATTCAGGACTTTGAATCCTGCGATCCGAGTTCAACCCTCGGTAGAACCTGACTTTTTGCGTTTGCATAAAGATATTTAAACAATATAATGTTGTATGACTCGTTTATTAAAACTTAATTAATTTGGACCTTTATTATTTTTAAATCGCAAATTATGATTATATTGAATTTTTATATATTTTTTTTAATAAACATGAAGTGGAAAGGGATTAATGAGTAAAATCTATAGAAAATGTATTATCTAAGTCTAGAATTCAGTATTAATGTTTGTTTCTTACAAGGTTTCGACGTTTTTAATTAAATTAGAAATTTCGAGGTTTTTATTGATTGCTTACTTATTAATCACCAGTGATTAAATATTTAGCATGTTTATTTTATGTAGCATACACGATATCAACCCACCTTCTAAGAAACAACGCTGATAAAATTATTTGATAATTTTATAGTTATTAGATCAATTGATATAAATAAGTGTCCTAATTCTAATGTGTGTGAAAATGTGATAAAAATAAAAATTGATTATATTAAACATTATGTTCATATCTTAAATTTTATTTACGAAAACAACGATTCTTGGAAAAGAATCCCAGCAATATTTAGAATATAGAAGAAAGAAAAACAAAACGCAATTGCTGCACGTTACACAGAGCTAACTATTAAAAAAGAGTAATTTCACAATTTCATATAACTTTTATTAACGAAGTTATGAAAGGAGTTGGAACTCTCAAAAAGTCGATTCTGGATTGTAACTGTTTTTTTTTTTTTGATATTTCAATAATATAATGTTTGCAAATTTCTAAGAATGATGAATACTTTACTATATCATTTTTTATCATGACTGTAGGTGCATTATACAAAATTTTGATTATTATTAGGTAATTCCTTTTAAGGTTTAATATGACCACGGCTTTATTTAATTGCGCTAACTTCACAAAAGGTATACGGACACTGAAAAGGCTTAGCCACAATATTATATTGTTAATTTTAAACGGTATTCAATGAATTTATGTACTTAATTATACCAGTGTGTAACTCTTACGCTCTTATTCATAAAAACTCTAAAGTCTCATAATAGGCTTAAAGTTCAAATAGAAAGAAAGTGACAGATTACTATAATAGTTATAATAGGTTTGTATTAGGTTTTAGTTTTTATGAATAAGGGGTATAATTTTTAATTACCCATTATACATGGTATATAATGTATACAGTTATTATTTTATTTGCATTTTTAAGTTTTTTGTTAATATCATAAGCACTAAATGTTATTGTGAAATAATGTTATTTTTATACACTTCCTATGTTTTAATTCGTACATTCCCAGTGTTATGTCCAATTCTACATAAATAAAATTGCAATTTCTTTTAAATTATCATGCCAGGGTGATCTTTGATTTTAAAGGTTTATTTAAAACCTATTTATTATGTACTTGCTATATGTATTTACATTAATTATCAGAATGTAATTCTTGAAAAAATTAAAAGCTCTGCTATATTCCTCGTAAATTGACTATATATGTTGTTATCACATTTCCTACCACAAATATTTGATCAAAGCCTTATAGCGGAGCTTTTAAATCACTTAATTACCTAAGTTTACACCTATTTACTTCTCTGTATAATGTATTTATTTTTAATTTTTTATTAATGTTTTATTATAATTTATTATTACATTAAATTCTATGTACAATTAATTACAATTTGACTTTTATTTGGGACATCCTGCAAACGTAACGAAAATCTAGTCAAGAGCATTATTGGTGTACAATAATGAGCTCTGTGCCGTCGTAAAATTAAAATTTTTCGAGGATTACTTCTAGACAACTGGCAAGCGAATGGAATCGTCATCAATAAGTTAGCAGTGATCGATATCTCATTCCAACTCCCTACCGTTGTACGAGTTGCGATGACGCTTCATTCCATGAATTAGTTGCTTGTCTAGGGGAGCTGTTCTTCAATTGTTATATAATAGCATATAGGACCTGGGGTCCCTTGGACTCTGACTTACAAATTATTTGAACTAGTGAAAATTTCTGCATTTGGAATATAAATAATCCAAATTCCAGGAATAGGACTTTAATATTGGCAACTTATTTGAAAAAATACAGAGGAATTCCCAACAAGTCTCGAACATCTTTGTTTGAACTTACGAGGAATTTTCTTGTATTCTTAGGCTGGTTTTTAGTTGCGCTGACGAACAACGCGTTTCAACAGCATGCGCTTGACAATGACTCTAGATTACGATAAATTTTTAATTCGTATTCGAATAAATGAAATTCGTTGAATTTGGAACATGACCATTACGAAATATAATAATTTAATACGTATATATCCTTTAGAATTGAATACGTGTTTATTTTTACAGATAGTTTGATTTGGCATAATTCTTCAAACTATTGTTTAATGCCCAAAATGGACTATGCATTATTCGCTTGTCAAAAAATAAATTAAAATTTGCAGTAAAGTTAAATAAAGTAACTAAATATAGTTACTTGTTTTGTTTTAATGTGTTTCGTAAAATTTGAAAATTTTATATTATGAACTAGCTAGTTTTTTTCATGGTAACTGTCGATATCGATATATTGGATGAAAGCATGGTGAAAGCAAAGTGGTACAACACTATGGATATTTTTTTTAGGAAGTGTATTCTTTAGTGTGATGCCACAACTGTTTATTTTTTTTATTTTTATTATATTGTTACTTCGGAAAAGTAACATGCATTTATTTTTTTTTCTCCAGGTTCCGTTGACGTAAGTCCGATGCCAAATATATAACCATAACCAAGGGATAAGAGAATGCACTTCATACAACATAAAACGACTCATTTAGGAATATCTATCCAATCTACACAAAAGTTTTCCATTTCTCTTTATGTTGGCCAGCCTGATGTTCAAAATGGAAACTAATAGGGTTATAATTATATTATAGTTTAATAGTAGAAATGCAAATTAGCTAAATATGGAACTGTTTATGTATTCTAAAAAGCTTTGTCATTACTATTATATTTCAACGCAAATAAAATATTCTATTCTATGTCAAATTGCATTTTCCGACGAAAATTCTTTTAGAGAAAATAAAAAAAAGAAACATAATATTTTTAAATATATTTATTATTTATAAAATATTATCTTGAGTACTCAATTTCGTAGTATTATTGATAGTAAACACAAGTTTTCAACACTTTCTGTAATATATGGTTTATTTCTAGAGTACACCTCGTAATAGAATCAATATTAATTATATATAGTTGTTATGCTCCCGTCAAAATAAAAAGAATTATGAAATACAAAGCTAAAACTTACACAAATAGTTTAGATGGCAGTCATTTGTATTACATTTGACAGTATTTTTGTTAATTAAGTTGGCATTGTTATGATTTCATCATTTAACTAAATGTTGGCATGATGTTTCCTGACCAAATCCATACATCAAAACCTTTATATTTATAGTATGAAAGTTACGCGAAACTGTCTAGTGCCAACTCATTACGTAGTAATCAGAATTGCTTATTTTTACATAGAAGGGTATGTGACTAGAGGAATCTCTCCAATATTTTTTTTACAAATTAAAACTGAAAAGTTTATATTAAAAGTACTATTTTCCTAACATTTTTTTAAATAATATAATCACCAAATATTTTATTGTGATTTGAAACGAATTTGTAATAAACAATGGCTAATAATTCTATGAGCCAGGCTCCTAATATGCCTAGTATAGGAACTATAAATCAAGGAACAATACAATACGTGAATAATCCGATGCAAAGTCCACAATTGCAATCGAGTTCAATACAAAGCTCTCCCTCACAGCATAGCCCAATGGGTACTCAAGTGCAAACCACCGCTAAACCTGCAACAAGTGTATCTGGAGACCAGACTACTCAGGTTAGTAGACATGTTATAAACTTAAAAGTATGAACAGTAAGACAGTATCTAGAGCCACTTTACTCTGTTAGCCCGTTCCTCACATTGCTTCCATGAAATAGTCATAGTTTTCGTGAATTCGTCATAATGGGTCAATTAATCTTACTTACACTATCAAGTAGAAGTAAAAAGTATTGTTATTTGTGTATCTTTAGACTTTTGAAGAATACTATCAGGTTGTTATGAAAATTTGGGGCACTTTAGTGTGTACAGTACATTATTAAGATAATGTGTTTTTGATTTTCAGTATTTTAGGATTGTTATCTGGGTCACAATCATATGTGTAATCCTAGTGAATATACTTATGTTATTGATTTGTTATGATGTTAATGAATTATGTCTATAGCTGTTAGTTACTAATTTTCATTAGCTAGAATGTTAACTTCCCATTCTGTGTTAGAATAAAGCATTGATTCTTTGTTAGCATAAAGAATTGATGTTAGTAAGAATTTAACTAGTAAGATGATTTCAGCTTCTCAGCCGGCCTCGATTACAAGAATTAGTCAGAGAGATAGACCCCACAGTCCAACTGGACGAGGAAGTGGAGGAAATGTTGCTACAACTGGCAGATGACTTTATAGACACAACATTAAATGCATCATGTTCACTGGCAAAACACAGACATGCTCCAACTGTGGAGCTTAGAGATGTACAGTTACATTTAGGTAAGACAATTTTTAACATATATATATATATTTTTTTATTGCACTAAAACATCTGTATGTACAGTAAGTTAAAAACACAACCTAAAACATTCATAGGTTTGTTTTTTATTAGCTGTTAACTGTCCACTGTGGAATATAGCCTCCCTCATAAGGGGACTTTTGTCCATAGTAGTTATGTTTGGCAGTTGGGTTAGCGACCACAGTTAGACTTTGGTGATTTTTTAAGAGGTGTGCTGTTTTTCGTCTCTCTACTATTATTTTCCCTTAGTCACCTCTGATGACACCCACAGTAAAGGAATGAGTTTACAGGTTTATTTGCATTTAATCATTGAACACATGAATAATTGTGAGCAGGTTTAATTGCCATTATATTAATCACTATTGTGAGATATCAAATGGGATGCTACAGCAGTAACTGCTGTCATATTGTCTAAATTGTAATATTTTTGTAAGTGTACTAATATTAGGCTAAAATGATTTTAAGAGTTAAGAGTTTCCAAAATTCTGATTTCTCTGAAGGAGGACAGATGGTAGTCTGTCTATATACATATTTTTGTTGTTGTTCTTGACAATTGAATCGACTTTATCCAGAAGTCTTCTTCAGGAAATGTTTGGCGCTTTGCATCACAGCGTCTAAGTCGCACTGCGGGCTACAGCTATATAGACATTGAATAAAAAAGTTATAAAAATAAAATTAGAGACTAATTTATTATTATTATAGAGATATTTCTTTTGTTTATGATAATTGGTTTATTATTGTTATATATTAAAGTTACTATAATAATAATCTTCTTAAAAATAACAAAGTTTTATATGCAACATAATTTTATTTCCAATTTTACAGAAAGACAGTGGAATATGTGGATACCTGGGTTTGGTAATGATGAACTACGACCATACAAACGTGCAGCTGTCACAGAAGCGCATAAGCAACGCATGGCTCTTATACGGAAAACTATAAAGAAATACTAGTATCATTCTTAAGTACATTATAGTTTTAGTGTAAATAAAAATTCTGTGAATTGATTTTAAAAATTAATAATTTGTAATAAAATGGATTTTTTTCACCATTCAATCCAAGGTGTTAAATTTCTTGATATTGACTAAGTTCTTTGCAAAAACTGTTATTTTTTGTAACAGTACAGAACATGACTGCTGTAAGTATAATTTTTTTTTAAATATAAATCCTTTTATAAAAATATATAAAATCTTTTATTTTAGGCTAAGTGATCACTTCAAAATTATTATCTATTTAATACAAATCAATATTAATTGAAACTTAAAATAGTTTACATATATGTATGTATATTACTTAGACATATGTGTATTACATAGCAATTAGAACAACAGAGAAATAAATTTTTATATAAGCTGTTATGATTTAAATGTCCTCATAGAAAATGTAAATACAATAATTCTTAGGAATCAGTTGACAACAGACTTGTTAGTTATTGATTTTCGCGTGATTTTCCCACAATCCGTATATTTTTATACTTTTACACATGTTACAGAAGTTCGTGGAAATTTAGATTAGTGTAAATTCGCGTCTTTTATTATACACGATGGGAAAAAATAAATAATTCACGACAAAAGTACCAAACCATATAAAGGCTGTGGCTCGTGTCATTTACACTTCACGCTGACCTTTTACATACTTTCTTAATTATTATATCATAATTAATTTTCTTAATTATTATATTATTTTATTAAGAATTAATTAATTTCATAATAAAATACTCTTTTGAGCCTATCGCTAACATTCCACTAATAGCTTATATACCTATAAGGATTAGATATTTAGAAATGAAAGAAGCCTTTAATTACTATAATACTTTATTTAGTCAACATCACTTAAAGTAGATATATCTGAAAAATCATCACCATCCATTATGAATCTATCCTCGGAAATTTTGTCAGCTCTCAATTCTGCCATAAATATTTGTAACGTTTTCTTGAAATCCCAGTCGTTGGCTTTCAATCGCCTGAAACAACATTACACAAAATGACATATGGTACTCTGGTTAATATAATATAGGAGATAACATTGCGGTTTATAACTATTCAATAGATTATAATAAAACTCATTTATTTTTAATGAATTTTATTGAAGAGTTTGTAAATATCAGATAGTGCTAATTTAGTATCTCGATAACAATATATATTCTTTATTGTACTTGAACAATAGGTACAGCGATTATTTTAACAACTTGTTAGCAAGAGAGGGTTATCTCTAAAAGAGATATCTTCCAGTCAATCTAGTGTAGTTAGAAAAAACAATCATGGTGTAAAAAAAAGTTACTTTACGCAAATTGTAAATACAATTTATCTCGAATTCATATAACATAATACAATCAAAATCAGAAACAGCTAATTATTATAACAGTTCATTTTATTATTAATCATATAATATAACGTACATAGTTAAAATACTTACAGCTTAGCCTCTTCCTTTTTAAGTTGTGTCAAATGCGAAAAAGCTTTGGAGACTGTTTCTATCTCTTCAGGATCTGGATTTGTTAGCGCCAAAATATTCATGTTTCTTATTGGTATCTAAAATAAATTAACAGCTGTATTAGAAATGAAAATACTTTTATAATGTCTCGTTATAATTATCAGTTCACTACTGGATATACAGTTGTACAACCTCACCAGCCACCCTACATATTGGATGGACTTCGCGATATGAACCCAAAATAAAGGAATGATAATTTCGTCTGCGCGATAGGAATAGACTAGCTGGGTAACACTAAATGAGGATAGGAGAGTATGAAGACAGGTCAATTGACCAATTATGAAGGATCCATTAGAAATTAAACCACTTGTTTCCAAATGAGATTATGTGAAGGTCGGCCTGAATAAATGTAGTCTACATTGCTAGCAATGCCGTTAGTCCCCAATATTAAAAATTACCTACTTTCTATGTATGTACGTGGAAACCAGAGGGAGACTGTACAAAAGTCGATTGCTTGGATACCTCTGTCCCATTTGTATTTCAACCATGAAGCAATTGTGTTTGCATGGCTGTGTTTGGTTTGAAGAGTGGGATATGGCGTGAATTTATTGGGTACAAAGGAATAAGACCCGAGTCCTCAGGAATGGCAACGCATGGGGAGTATCATGGGCGAAACAGTATACTCTGTTATGTCCATGGTACTGCTCATATCTATAGGCGACGGTTACCACTTTCTATCAGGTGGGCCGTCAGCTTGTTTGCCGTTCTAAGTTGTATAAAAAAAACCATCAAGATATTTTTTCCATAGACTACGGTGTTAGTTGTATATTTGTAAACATCACTTATATACCATCAGTCATCATCATATCACCCTCAACTGTCCACTGCTGAACATAAGTTAGGCTTTGGTGATGTTTTAAGAGGGACACTGCTGCTCGTTTCTCGCCCTTCTTTAGTCGTTTCTTAAGACACTCAAGGAGAAGATTAATTTTATTACTAGAATTAACATTCAGTTCTGCTGTTTGTTGTTGAATATATTTTTTTTTATTGTTAGGGAGGCAAACGAGCAGACGGTCCACCTGATAGAAAGCGGCTACCGTCGCCCATGCAACACCTGCAACACGAGAGGAGTTGCTTGTGCGTTACTGGCCTATGTTTGTAGGCATTTTTTTTTAAATATATTTAATATTATTGGAGATTGGTAGCATACTCTATTGGTAAATGAAGTTTGTACCTTAAAACTGTTTTCAATCTGTTCCTTAGTTGCGCTGCTTATACTGAACATATCATGAGTAATTAAGTATTCCTGTTTGTTGAGGTTTGTTAGTATTTTAAACATAAAAGTTCTTCTAAATTGAAAATATAAATATGTATTTTCAGAGGTAAAATTTTTTTCGTCTTTTTCTCTGTAAATTCCGTCTATAACTATCATCAGCATGTCTTTCTGAAACAAATTAAATATTGGATTAAAAGTAAACAACAGATCTAACATCATCAAAGGGAGGGGGGGGGGAGATTATTAGTAATAAAACTAGCAATATATCTTATTAGATCCACCTCCATATGGTGTCCCATGGAAATCTTTGTGATTAATTATTATTGTTTTCGCCAAAATGGCCCAATTGACCTTTCACCTTCACCTATTATTCTTCACTGGTGCCCTACCAGCGTAGTCCGATAGCGCATGCGGGATTATATTTCCTCTATTAAAAAAAAATTGGATGTTTGGAATTAATTTTGAGTTTTTTTTTAACTGATTTTCATAATTCCTTCTTCAATAGATAAGCTTCACTGTCGAGATTTTAGATAAATTTTTGGATGACCGAAGCCGCTTCCTGGAGCGAAATTTAATTCAAAATTTTTAAACAACGAAATGTGTGCGAAACAAACCAGTGAACATCGGTTTGTTTTGTTGACAGATTGAGACATTTTGCTTTATTTTACATAAATTTTGCTCTGTAAGAAACGCGATACAGATCATTTCTCTGCAAAAGATACGTTTTGAATGTCAAGGCTATTATCAAAATTAATTTACAAAAAACTTACATTGTGTATAGGAACATCTACGCAAAACGTGGCCGGATCATGAGTGGAAGCTGGAAAACTGTTTAGAGCGTTATATATAGCATTCTCTTTGGTGTAATATTTTTTGTACGCCAATACCAATTTTCTTTTCTCAGGGTCCAACACGTTTCGAGTGTAGTGTTTGTAACAAGCATTTAATTTCTGTTGCTCCGATTCTGAAAACAAAAGTTAATATTTTAATGTTAATTGTGAGACTGGGGTCGATTCTGAAGCACTAATTCTCTAAACTTTTTATTTATTTTTTGCACAATAAAACTGTGTACAAGTAGGGGGAAGGGATTGTTAGTGGTGCGGACTACTAGTCCCATTGCTAGCAATGAACCTCGTCGGGTCGACCTTCTCGTGGTCCCCCCTGGAAACCATCATGCTGAATTCCGGGTGGATTCATCACTATGGGCTAACTGACTTGCTATTTCATTCTATTTCACTTATCATCCCTCACTGGTGCCCCGCCAGCGTATATCATTAGCGCAGGCGGGGTTACCATTTCATTATCATTAATTAAAAAAACAAACTATGTACAAGTGGCGAGGTTAATGCCATATGACATTCTTTACAAGCTAATCATTAATTTAATAATAACTAATCATAGTAAGAATTTATGTCTAAAATTAAAATTACAATTTGATATTAAAATTCTTGTTTTGTGTACCAATAAATTTCTTATAGAAATTAAGTCAAAATTCTTATAAATTTAAATTGTCATATTAAAATAAAATAGTAATTTTGTAATTATGATATTACATTATTAATAAGATTTTCCAAGAGTCAGCAACGCGCGCGACGATTCTAGTGTTAGAGGCGTCCATAGGCTACGGTAATACCGTTTACTCTCAGACGGGCCATATTGCTTGTTTGCCCCCATAATAGTATAAAAAAAAATAAAGATTAAGAGATTTAGAGAAACGGCGTCTAAGAATCAATCCTACTAAACCAATCATCATCTTCATACACTTGTACTAAATTTACTTACCATTAAATGATGTTGATATGGTCAATACTGCACCTTTATCGTAAAATGAGTCTATTTTCCGTGGACACGTGTCGTAATGCGAGTAATAAAGCGTTAAAAACTTCTCCACAACCATTTTGGAGTACTTTTCATTTGTCATCATATAATTCCTGGAGAATGGATACATGAATCCGTGTGAATACAACTTTATTCCATCCTGAAAACAATCATAAGTAACTACTATTAATGGAGAAGGAATTATTAGTAATGAAGATTAGCAAGCCTGTTTCTAGCAATATACCATATATCGAACTCTATCTACCTTCATGTGGTTCCCTGGAAAACCATTAGAATAGAATAGAATAGAATAGAAATCATTTATTCAAATAAACTTACATTGAAGCACTTTTGAAAAGTCATTACATTTTTTTTTAATTTACCGCTCGTTCGGAAAGCTGTCTCATCACAAGAAGAACGAGCAAGAAACTTGCGTGATGCTCTTTTAAATAATTTTATTATTATTTTACATTTTTAAGTTTAATTGTGTGAATACAAACCACCAATTAGCACTAATTCAATTAAATACTCAAAAAGAAAAAAAAAATTGAATACATAACCAACTGGTTAAACAATTAATAAGAGGAAATCAGTCATAGTGATTAGAGCAGACCAGTCCCTACAAGCAGCACCCGTTCACGAGTATGACGGATGAGCCAGCCATCACTGCGCTCGACCATATTTTAGGGAGCCCAATGACCCGGCCCACCACGCCGCCACAAGTCTGGACATTTTAGTGAGCATGACTACTCAAAACACTAGACCACGTCAAAGCTACTCACAATTGCCATCTGATAGTTATAGTATTCACATTTTACATAAGAATGCATGCGGCAATTAATACAAAAAACCGCTACGCTTTCATATTTCTAAAATTAATCAATTAAATCAAGAAAGCAATGAGAAAATAAAATTATAACGTTGTATGCTAATAAACTAATTATTTACTTGATATGTTGTCATCTATGAATTCGTCTATCCTGTAATAGGCTTTCTTACATAAAAATTGTTTAATATAAGATTTGAATTGCCTCTCTGTCAGATTTAATGCAGATTCCGGCAGTTTATTATAAAATCTTATGCAATTACCATAGAATGAATTACTGATTTTGTGCAGACGGCATTTAGGTAAAATAAGCTTATTTATATTGCGTAAGTTTCTACTTGTACAGTCTTTGAGTTTTTTAAAACTCGCTAAGTTCTTCCGTGTATACATAATATTTTCATAAATGTATTGTGAAGTAACTGTGAGGATATTTGAGTCTTTAAAGCACTGACGTAATGACTCTCTTGAACCCATACCATAAATAGAACGTATGGCTCTCTTTTGTAAAACAAATATAGTATTTATATCGGCTGCTTTACCCCACAGCAGTATGCCATAAGACATTATGTTATGGAAATAACTAAAATATACAAGTTTAGCCGTCGCCACGTCTGTTAATTGCCTAATTCTTCTAATTGCATATGCAGCAGAACTGAGTCTACTGGCTAATTTTGAAATATGGGGCCCCCATTGTAATTTCGAGTCCACTGTTATACCTAAAAAAACTGTATCATTAACAAAATTTACTATTTCGTCATTAAGCAATAACTGTGTATTTATTAGTCTTACATTAGGAAGTGTAAATTTTATACACTTTGTTTTGCTGGAATTTAATAATAGGTTATTACATGTAAACCAATTTAATATTGCAGACATAGCACAATTTACATCGTCTAATTGATTACTTTGACGTCCAATTTTAAACACTAACGAAGTATCATCCGCAAACAGCACTATATCTGCAATTTTCTCTACCATAAAGGGAAGGTCATTTATGTAGATTAAAAAGAGAAAGGGGCCTAAGATTGACCCTTGTGGAACGCCCATCTTAATATTAGCTCCCTTAGATTTTACACCGTCAATATCTACAGTTTGAACCCTATCCTCTAAATAAGTTCTCATTAATTTTAGATCATTATCTCTTATACCATAATGTTCGAGCTTGTACAAAAGCGTTTTATGATCCACACAATCAAATGCCTTTGATAGGTCACAAAAAACTCCGAGTGCATCCTGTGACCTCTCCCAAGATTCGAATTCATTATGATGAATTATTTTAGAATGTGTCATGATGGGCCAACTGATCTGATTCCATCCTCACCTATCATCCTTCACCGGTGCCTTGTCAGTGTATACCTATAGCACAGGTGGGATTATCTTTCCTTTACCATCCCTTAAAAAAATACTACTAATAATAGCGTGAATGTGGCGCCCTCTGTCATCAACATAATCTAGACCATCTTTCACAGACGAAGACCATGCCAGAGGGAGACTTTGTACAAAAATCGTTTACTTAGGTACCTCTGTTCTATTCGTGTTTTAACCGTGAAGCAGTTGTGTTTGCATGGCTGTGTTTCGGTTTGAAGGGTGGAATATAGCGTGAATTTACTGGGTACAGAGGAATAACAACTGAGTCCTCAGGAATGGCAACGCATAGGGAATATCATGGGCGAAACAGTATATTCTGTTATATCTATGGTACTCCCCATGTCTATAGGCGACGGTTACTACTTTCCATCAGGTGGCCCGTCAGCTAGTTTGCCATTCTAAGTAGTATAAAAAAATAAAAACAAATGCCATATGGTTTACTGCATGACAACTTTACGTGTTCTCCAACGCACGAAGCAAGTTCATAATATATATGTAGGTATAATGTAGGTAACATGAGTATTATATGTAGTTATTTTTAAATTACTGTTTAATATTGTTTTCCTATTTATTTGCTTATTAAGTTAACAATTAATAACATAATTATTTCTGTCAACGGTCGATTGGTTGAGAACGCTATATAATGTCAAGTCCGCCATGTACACTATCTATGTGTACCAAATTTTAGTGATTGGTTTAGGCGTTGAGGTGTTAAGACGTGACAAACACACTTTTATTAGCCAACAGGCTGAAGGACAACCTGATAGCAAGTGGTAAATGTCTCCTGTCAATATGAGACATGAGCACCATGACCATGCACATCACAAAATAATGCAATATAATAATATAATTCCCATAACAGTTCCTGAGATCTAAATTACAGGGCATGCATACTGCTGAAACAGGCATAGAAAAACCGTTACTACTCAGTAGCAATATGTTTTTTTTTTATAACACAAGGGGCAAATGAGCATGTGGCTCACCTGATGGTAAGTGACTAACGCTGCCCATGATCAGCCACACCAGAGTCACTGCAGGTGTGCTGCCGGTCTTATAAATGTATTCGTTTATATATGTAATTTTAGTATGTATGTTTATCAATAATTAGTAGTATCGCATTCGAGTGTTCTGACACTTCCCTATGGTTGACTGGGAGAGAATGCTTTTAGGATTAAGTACGCCATGTACACATATTTGTACTAATGAATAAATAAATAAAATAAATATGTTCTTTTATAGGGTATGATGTCGTATAGTTATGATTAGGACAGAGACACCCATATGGGCAACTTACAAATATTTAACTTATTAACTTACAATTTCAGTAACTCTCGGAAACTTGACAATGAGCTGTTTGACATAGACTTCTGGATCGATGTCCTCACATACTGGGTTACCTTCTAGCCATATTTTTTCTATTTTACTACTGGGTCTATGTATGTCGGCAAGAGACATGATCTGAAATCATCGTTACAGTACAAAGAAGTATGTGGCAATATTTCGTTTATTCATAACAATGATGTAATGTTTCCATAATGGAGGAAATATTTATTAATTAATAAGAAAATAATACAAATATATTCTTTTTTAAGTATAAATGAAAGTAAGTTGTATGCTGATGTAATCTTTCATATGTTAACTTACATTATTGTAACTTAAATTAATGGCAACTAAGTTTCCTTTTGTGAAAAAATTCATTATATCATTCGGGAGTTCACTGGAACAAAATACAAACTAATTAATGTACACATAAAGCTGACATTACACTGTCATCTAACAGTTTCACAATCCAACATGGGTGGAAAGGATTATTAGTAATGATAAAAAGCATCCCAAGTACTATTATTATATGTATGCTGTTTTTTTTTTAATGAATGATAATTAAATTGTAACCTCGCCTGCGCTAACAGTATACGCTGGTACCCACCAGTGAAGGATGATAGCTGAGAATGAAAAGACAGGTCAGTAAGTCCATTGTGATGAATACACCTGGAATTTAGCATGATGGTTTCCAGGGAGAATCATATGGAGGTCGACCTGATAGGGTACATCGCTAGCAATAGGATTAATAGTCCGCATTACTAACAATCCCTTCCCCCCAATATACACTGTTAGGTCAACTCCCACTCCGCGCGGATCATATCCTTTATAAAAACCATAGTGGTAAATTGTCATAGTAATTTTGTCACGACATTGTAACCGATTTGATTTCATTGTCACCTATATCACTCACTGTTTTATAGTCGTTAGTGTAAGTAGGTTTATTTTTCATTATTACCCATTAAAAAAAAACTCCAATATGATTCCAATCTGACCCAACTCACAATCCAAAAAAAAAAAAAACATTTTGAAATAAAAATAAAACCACAGACAAATAAACATAAAATAACTTTCTACATGTAAAGTATTGGAAAAATAGTTGGATTGTTAGATGACTGTGTGGTATCGTCAAAATATGCACCAAAATCATTAAACTGGAATATGTATTACCTTAAATTATTATAGCTTAGGTTTAAAATTTTTGCATCTCGGCCCATTCTAATCATGAGTATTTTAAAATTATTTAGCAGACCAATTTTGTAAAAACATATTTTCCTCTCAACAAATTCTGTAAACAAGTTAGGTTTATTAATACACAAGAATTAATTGTTAGTTAAAATAATGATTTTTTTTATGTAACTTAAAATGGCAAACGAGCTGACAGCCTGATGGAAAGTGGTAACCGTCGCCTATAAATTTCATTGAAAATGTTGAAATATAAAACTAAATAATGTATGATGGAATTGTTCTTCTTTGTTATATATATATACACAAATATATTACACAAAAGGCGGTCTCATTGCTAAAGAAATCTCTTTTAAACAATCTTTAAAAGAAAGAGTTAACTCTGATGAAGATTTTTTTTTGGTTTTGGTCAATTATTCTATGACTGCCTCTATGCATAAAACAATACAGTTTGTAGAGAGATGGTTCTCTTTATTGTCCCCAGGGTTAGCTTGACTAGTTACTTTAGTCCCTTAGTAAGAAAATATCTGTATTGATGACTCGTAAGTACCAATACTTAATATGATGATATTCTTTACTGAAGCGTGATGCCCCCAGGTAATGTTCATTTTCCCCTATGGACATTACAAATGTTTTCCTCCAAAAAACAAGCAGTTATAATAATAAAAAATAAAATAAAAATATTTTACCTGGATCAGAACAGATATTTGATAAATCCAATTCAAGCTTTTCATTGAAACGATTGCTCACAACACTACTGACTATGTCCTCCACTGATACTCTGTTCTCAAAGCATTGTACTGAAGTTTTGTCATTCAAAAGTATGTCAACATTATACATATTCCTTTGGAATGGGAACATAAAATTAAATTTTATGATCTTTAACACAAAGGTGAGGCTACTCGAGTAAAAACTGGCGATGTCACCTTGGGATGTATAATTTACTGGTATCAAAGTTGTTGAATAATATTCACTCATTGTATCAAAGAGCATTCTAGCACTGGCAGACCAATTGTGCACCTACAATTGAAAAACAAAGTATAGTAAAAATTATAAAAAAAAAATTATATATATACGAGGTCTGTCCGGAAAGTTCGTATAAAAGTGTTCTGGAATGCGAGAAAGAGGAGTGGGGAGGCCAGGTAAGCGCAGGACCCCTTCCTTATGTCCCTAACAATGCTTCAGTTCTGGTCTGACCGCCGTGCGGTGCGAACTGGCTTGTCACGCCATCTGTGAAGTTACCTCTTAACGAAACCCCGTCGGCATGGAGCCCGCTTCCGTTGAAGAGCAGCGCGTCGTAATCAAGTTTCTCTCGAAACTCGGCAAGAATGGCCGTGAAATTTTTGCCGATCTCAGAACAGTTTATGGGGATGATGCTGTGAAGGAACCAACCGTCCACAAGTGGCTAAAAAGATTCAGAGAGGGCCGAGACAATGTTGATTGTTTTTTTCGATGTTCGGGGGATTGTCCATCAAGAATTCGTCCCTCCAGGCCAGACAGTTGATGGAAAATTCTACGTCGATGTGCTCAGACGCCTCAAAGCTCGTGTGGCACGAGTTCGTCCAGAATTGGCGCGAGAGGGGCGTTGGATTCTTCACCACGACAATGCCCCTGCCCACACCTCTCTTGTTGTCCGTGAGTTTTTGAGTAAAAATTCCATTACGGTGACCGAACACCCCCCTATTCGCCGGATTTGGCCCCGTGTGACTTCTTCTTGTTCCCAAAAACCAAATTGGTACTTCGGGGGCGGCATTTGGGGGACATAAATGAGATAAAAAAAGCTACGACGGGGCAGCTGAGAAACCTACAACCAGAGGACTTTCAAGGAGCCTTCTCACAGTGGAAACGGCGTTGGCACAAGTGCATTATGTCACAGGGGGAGTACTTTGAAGGGGATAAAATTGATTTACCTGAATAATTGTAAAATAAAATTTTTAAAAAACTTTTATACGTACTTTCCGGACAAACCTCGTAGATATCTCTCAAATACTTTTTAAGTCAACAAAAACAGCTCTATATACCAATTACTCAATAGTTACTACATTACACAATGATTAACATTGTGCTAATATATACACTTTAATATATACACAAAGACTCAATTTTGTGTTACTGTGGTACACGAGAAATTGTGTAACCTCTTTTCTGTACTTTCTTTTTGTTTTTTTTTTGTTTTATTTTTTTTTTTAAGTATGTACCAATATCTAATGTTAGTTGTGTATACAGTGTGTGCTGTATATATATATATATATATATATATATATATATATATATATATATATATATATATATATATATATATATATATATATATATATATATATATATATATATATATATATATATATATATATATATATATATATATATATATATATATATATATATACGACATAATCTCTGAGATAATGTTAATTCTGATATATTTTTCACGATGGACCAATTGATCTACTGTCATCTTCACCTATCCTCCTTCGTAGCATTTCGCTGGCGTATACTGATAGCTAAGTTAACATCTATTATAAAAAAATTATTGTGTGCACTAGTAAGTAATAAATTCAATTAAACAAACCATAAATTTATGAAAATAATGTTTGGAGATATCTTCTTCGTTCGATAGACAGATCTCTATATGATTTGTTAAAGCTGATGTTGCAGTATTTCTGGTCAGCAGGAACTTGGTATAGTTATCTAATTGATATTTTCTTGTATTCATTGTAAGCACATAAATATAAAAATTAACTAAAAAAAATATTAAAAGGAAACAATTTATACACTAACTAACGATATAATTTTTAGTATGTTATTTAATTATTTCACAAAGGAAAAATTATATTATTTAATATAGGATGCATAAGAACAGCAGTGGCGAGACAGTTATCAGTTAAAATTGTATAATAAAAGTTACACACAGAATATAATGTAATTACATCATTACAGTTTATTTCTTAATTATAAATCACATTGCTTTATTTATGAACGTTTATTTATTTATCGTGAAAAATAATTCGAAACTAAAAAAATTACAATAAACAGTTGTTGTTGTTTTTTCTTTTTTTTTTTTTTTTAGTACGTTTGTTCCGTTTGGAACAGGCTAAGGTCGGAGACCATGCTGCCTAGTCTTCAAGAAGATAATTTGTCTGGAATTGTTGTTTTTTCTCTTCATATGTCACGACACAAAGTGCATGCGACAAAAAGTTTGGAAACAGGTGCGAAACTACTCTGTTATGTACAGAAGAAAGAAACAGTACAGAACCACAGAATAAGCAGTAAAATAGATCATGTTTGTTCTATGGTTGCGATTGTTACGGTAGGTAAATTCTTGTCTAACTGAAAATTGCATGATATTTGTGGTCAAGTATTTTTTTTTTTACGTTTCGTAATGTTAGTATCGCCTCTGTTGAGCAATTTGAGGACTAAAATTACTCAAACCAGTTAGGAGCCTGCAAAAAACTCAAAATTATACGTCTATAAGAAAAAAGTGAGTGCTTTCTGTATTGGAAAATTTGCCCTTCGGATTACAGTTTCTTTATAAGTTATACTGTAAACGAAAGCAAATAATTATGAATCCTGCTTTTATCACTCTCTGTAAATTCATAGTTTTTGTTCTAATATTTTTGAGTTTATTTACATATGTTGTTATTGGCAGTACGTCTGCACCAAAGAAATTACAAATTGGTGTTAAAAAGAGACCATCAGAATGCCCAACCAAGAGTAAAAAAGGAGATTTACTACATATGCATTACACGGTAGGTAAATTCGGAAAAATGTTACAGCTTGTATTCATCATACTGCAATGTGATTAAATTCACTTAATTAGAAATGTAGCTTGTAATATGGTTAATATCATGGATATTACATATTAGGAGCAAACACTCCTACAGAGACATGTTTAACCTGGTATATATCACTTTTACTGGCTGGAGGTAGTGGTCAAACAAAACTATCAATTTAGTTGTAACCATTCTACAACCTATAAAGTTAATAAATTAGAGATAATCTATGTTTTGTTCAATAGAACAAGGATTTGTAGAACTAGTATAAAATTGGATTTTTATAAAACTAGGGTCCCATTTTCGGTCAATTTTGTAGTGCCATTCTCTGAAAGTAAATGTTAACTTGATATTATAGTCTAATCATTATTCTATGGTCCAGTATAAACTAAATAATTAGCTTTATTTTAGATCACATTATATATATTGTTAATAAATATAAAAGATAAATTCAATTCATATATCTGTCTCCATTTCCAATACTTTATAAAATTTCCAGACCTGTTTCTAGAATTACTAGACCCTTGTAATGAACTTGTAGAGAAATCAGACTGTAGTCTGATTTCTCTACAAATATCTTGAATGTATATTAGAATTAAATAAAAAAATTTGTTTAGTTCTCAATGATCTGTAATATATTTTACTAAACCATCAAATTATTTAGATACAAGTATAGAAAATATCTCAAAATCAACCACATTTTTTAAATTGAAACCATATTACTTACTACCACCACCTACTTAGTCTATTTTTTTATCTTCTTGGATTAAACCATACACATTTACAAAATTTCATTAAAATATGTTAACCAGAGGGACACTGTACAAAAGTCGTTTGCTTGGGCACCTCTGTCCCATTCATGTTTCTACTGTGAAGCGGTCGTGTTTGCGTGGCTGTATTTTGATTTGATGGGTGGGAAATGCCAGTGAATTTACAGGGTACTGAGAAATAACACCTGAGTCCTATGGAATGGCAGTGCATGAGGGGTATTATGGGTGATACAGTATATTTTTAGGTCCATGGTACTGCTCATGTCAATAGGTGATGATTATCATTGTGATGGAAACATCAGGCCGTCAGCTTGTTTGCCATTCTAAGCTGCACAAAAAAAATCAGTGTGGAAATTGTCATGAATGAAGATCATGACACGGGATCTTTATATTAAGATAAGTGTCAATACTAAATTATTTATCATGATAATACAAAAGCTTTTGACAGTGTAATCAAAATATTCAGAAAATGGCATTTTACTGCCGTCATTAAAATTTTTTCTAACACAAAGTTCAAATTTGTATTTAAATGAAGTCAATCTAGGTTCTTTGAACTCATTTTAGAATCATAAATGTACATGAAAAGTACATCCAGTTACATGTATTTAAGTCCATATTTGTGACTAAAACATTGATAATGATTACATAAAAATATAATCATAACTGCAATCCTGATGTAGCCAGAGAGAGCCTTTGTACCTTTGTGAAAAACAACAATTGTTATGTCTATCAGTGGCATTCAGATTAATTGCATTAATAATGTTTCTATCACTTTGATGTATCATGATTATATTTTTTAAGCTTATATACCACTGTTTAGCAAATATCCATGATTATATTATTATTTAAACTTAAAAACTTCAATTTATTATGACACTACACTCAATTCTCATTATTTCAGGGCACATTGGATGATGGCACTGAATTTGATAGTTCTATACCACGTGGTAATCCCCTCACCTTTACACTTGGAGCAGGCCAAGTCATTAAAGGTTGGGATCAGGGACTAATAGGGATGTGTGAAGGTGAACAAAGGAAGCTTGTTATACCACCAGAGTTGGGTTATGGAGAAGCTGGTGCTCCACCAAAGATACCAAAGTCTGCCACTCTTACATTCCATGTAGATCTTGTCAAAATTGAAAGAAAAGATGAACTGTAATTTCTAGTTCACTTTTCATATAATTGGTTTCTTATGCCTTTATATACTTACTAAAATTAAATTAAATAAAACATTATGAAATTATTTGTTGTGTTATTGTGTGTTTACTTGAATATGATTACAATAATATAAAATGACCGCTGGTGAAATTATGAGTTTTACAGTAAAGGGTTTAATTATGTTTTAAAATTTACTATTTATTTGAAATTTCTGTTAATATAATGTATGTCATATATATAGTTGGAACATTGATCTCCAACAAGTATCTATTAATAAACATTTTATTTAATATAACATTTTTTGTGAATCTATATTTTAATTTTAATAACATGTATGTAAACACAATCTCAAGTATATGTGATTTGAATGAATGAAAATTTCAATAATAAATTTTCATTCTTTCATTCATATTTAAATATAGGAGTTTATTAGTATATATATTTTATTTTGTTAGGTAGGTACCTATCTTCTTTTTTAGCGTTTCGAACCGAACTGGTGGTACGGTTATAATAAAAGACTGAAATAATTTACTTGCTTATTTATGTATATAAAAATTTTAAATGAATTTATTACACAGACATTTAAGCACCTTATTGTCGATTAAGAATTTGAATTATTTTTAAACTGTTGAGCAATAGCTAGAAAACATCAGTGGATTCAGTCATAGAAGGAGAATGCCTCAGACACAATACTTATTCCATGGACTCCTCAATTGGTTGTCATTTTTACATCCTTTTCTGTCAGCAAAATAATATTTCAAGCCCACACCAACCATAACAAACAATTACGTATTGTCACATTGCGAAATTATAATTAAACTACATCTCTTCAAGTAAAATCCGTTCCCTTAATTTTTTACGTTTGTTTCTCTGACAAATTAAAATCTATTAGACATATGTTAAGATATATTTACATATAGTCTCTGTAATCTGTGAATTAATAGGTGGACTCGCATAAACCTGTAGTAGTGATTTTAGAAAGGCTTTAATCTGTGGTGGAAGTTGTCAAATTCTGGAACAACAAATTTTAACACGATTTTCTATTTGTGTGTCTGTTCGCTGAACTGCGTTTTTGCTACTATTTGTAATTCATTTGCTAAATTATATATCTTTACTTCATTCTATCAATATAATATCTTATGGTATGAATTATAAATTGCAAGGACTTATAAATTATTAGTGTTTGTGAAATTTTCCAAGTTCGTTGTGATAATGGTTAAAATATTATTCCTCCACCCGGATTTGGGTATTGGTGGCGCTGAACGACTGGTTCTCGACGCTGCATTAGCTTTCAGGCGGAAAGGACACGAAGTTGCTTTCTATACAAATCATCACGATGCCAGCCATTGTTTTGCAGAAACTAGAGACGGTACCTTTCCAGTAACGGTTGTCGGTGATTGGATACCAAGATCTATATTTGGAAGGTTTAAAGCAGCTTGTGCATACGTTCGTATGGTTTATGCAGCTGTATATTTGGCTTGGTATGTTATACCTGTGGAGGAACCGACTCTTATATTTTGTGATTTAATATCGCTTTGTATTCCATTTTTAAAAATGGCTCAGGGGCCATTCCGTGTCGTATTTTATTGTCATCATCCAGATAAGTTATTGACTTCTGAAGGCGGGATCCTTAAGAAATTGTACAGAGCCCCTTTGAATTGGCTGGAGGAGCTGACAACATCTCAAGCTGACAAGGTTCTAGTCAACAGTAAATACACAGCTAGGGTCTATCAGGATGCATTCCAAAACATCAAAGATATTCCAGATATTTGTTATCCTTCAATCAATACAGAGTTTTTTAAGGTTACCACACCTATGCCTTTGAAAGAAGTTGTACCAGTTGGCACAGATAAGATTATATTCCTGTCTATAAATAGGTATGAAAGAAAAAAGAATTTGCAGTTAGCTCTTAGAGCACTAGAGCATTTGAAACATATAATAAGTGAATCTGACTGGAATCATGTGCATTTGATAATGGCTGGTGGGTTTGACCCTATAAATTTGGAAAATATGGAGCACTACATTGAATTGACTGATTTAGCAGCCGAATTGGATATTGAGGACAAAGTGACATTCATGAAGTCTCCAAAAGATGTTGAGAAGGTATCTCTTCTATATAATTGCAAGGCATTGGTTTACACTCCATCAAATGAGCATTTTGGTATAGTTCCTCTAGAAGCAATGTATTACAGCAAACCAGTGATCGCTGTGAATAATGGTGGGCCTACAGAAACAATAGTAAATGATGTTACAGGTTTCCTTTGTCAACCAACAACTGAAGCATTTGCTACAGCTATGAGTAAGTTAATATTGAGTCCAGAACTTGGTGAGAGATTGGGTGAAGCAGGTCGAAAAAGGTTTGAAACAAAGTTCTCATTTGATGCATTCACAGAGCAGCTAGATGGTATATTAACAAGAGAGAGACAGGTAATCTCTGAAGCAAGAGCCATAGAGTTTGAACAGAAGAAACGTAAATAACATAATGCTGACTCTCCAACAATATTTGATGTTGTTTGAGGGTGTACTTAACCAAAGATCTTAATATCAGTAGGGAATTTAAACTTAAGTATCTCTATTTACATTTGTTCATGCACACTATGGCCACTCTCAGGCTAATTTTCAAACACCCCCTTTTGTTATGATGGTTATGTATAAGTGCATTTATTTTAATAATAATGTTAATAATCTATGATATAATAGGTGTCTATGATTTCTAATAAAGTTTCACTTAATCGATTTGTTGTGATGTTTTTAGAAATACTTATGAAATAATTTTATTGCTTATTGAAATGCTGATTTGAGGCCATTTTATATTTTGCATGCTTTATAAAAAATCAGTATGCAATTTTATTTTACCACCAGTCAAGTATCTTGTAAAATGTTTAATAGTTTACTGAAGTAGTAGTGTTAATTATAAGTAGGCAACTGATTCTGTTAATAAGTATAATATATGAGGGTACTAATAATGTTAATTGTTACTAGTAAGTAGCCAGTCATAATTTGTTCCATGTAAAATTAATTTTGATTTAAATTAATATTGGTTTGTGATAAGTATTACTTATTAATTAAATAATTAAATGATGTAAATACATAATACTACTATAATATAATGATACTGTATGAATATATTTAAATAAAATGTACTATTGTTTGAAGCAATTATGAATTTTATTTTATAATCAATGATGGAAATACAATATTTTTTATACAACTTTCAGTCACTGCATACAAGGATATTATTTTTGGCAGAAACAATACTTATTAGTTCAAGGAATTGCAGAGACTCATTTGTTATGTATTATCATAATGGTGGGTGTTTTTTATAATATTCCCTATAATAAAAAAGGTCCCTAATGCATAGAATATAAATATCCTAAAAATCTATATATTCCCATATATCTATTGACCGATGCCATGAATGCCATTGAAAATGCCATCAGGCATCAAGTACACCCTATAGATATAATTGCATATATTATATCTACAGGGCTATAAGTATAAATAAATAAATAGTGTTGTCAAGAGATTGAAAATGCAGATAAACAACAGTAAAAACAATTTATTTATACGTAATGATTCACTCCAATGAAGTCTTATCAATTGTGTTATATGCTTTGTCGACTTTCTCTTGAGGCAGTGGATCCATCACTTCAAATTGTAGATCATACTGTTGATCCAGTCCCATATAGCTGTCACTCATTATGTATATCGTGTAAATCACTCGACCTAGAAATTAATATTTTAATTACTAATTTTAACTACTGGTTATGGAGTAAGAGAAGTCAGAAGAGGTATCAACAAGTGTAAGAGTAGGAAAAATAAAAAGCCCTACATTGAACCACCAAGGGTGTTAAAGAGCCTACATTACATGAATCATAATAGGAATTGCTTTGTATAATTTATGATGTAAAGGATAAAGCACTTCTGTATGATAGTGATTTGTATTAATGAAATGGCCTGTTTGTTTATTTTCTTCTTCTAATATTGTAAAATAAAAAATAATACGCGAATACTTTGATTGTTTAGTGGTTTTATACATTGCCTTACAAGGTAATTATTGCGGGAATAGTCCCACACAATACAAACATTTGTATACATGGTGTATGACTTTGTATTGGTTTAAATATTACTTATTTCCTAGCATGGAGGCCAGATACACTTACTGTGAATCAAAATGTAATCTATATGTATATTGTAATTGCATCTGTATATTTTTGTTGAATAAATTATTACTATTATTATGTATGTATAATATGTATTAACATTAGGTATTTCCATTTAGCAGTTATCCATAAGTTCTGCTTAGTTTGCGACTAGATGGCGCTGAGTAATATGTCCATACATATATCTCTCACATATACCCAGTGGTACTTATTATTATTACTTTACCTCTGTGTAGGGGCGTGTAGAAAGCAAGATGGGTAGTGTGTGTGGCGCGGGCGGCGGGTGTTCGCTTGAGTGCAAGTAGTTCCCCGCGGTCGCGGCAGCCGAGCGTCAGTATCCATCCCTCGTTCTTGCCGCGCGGGAAGCGTGGACACAGCACATTGTTAGGGTTGCCACCGCGGCGTTGCATTTCGATTAACAACGTGTACTCCTAAAGGAGAACAATATTTGTAACTAATAATAACGTTGATCTATATTTAAGGTACTGGACCTTAAAAAGAAAACCGGTTCACCTATAGGAACATTTTATTGACAAATTTACGACTCATCTGATAAGTGGTTGTGGACGATATAGAATGGTGAAGTTAATTCTATTGCAATATAATGTTTCAGATATAAAAACTATGTATAAATGTTAACTGTGTTAAGTTATAGAGAATATTTTAAATTCAACATAATACAAACCTGGTCAGCATGCAATGGTAACCACTTGTCCTTTCCGGGTGCTTGCGGGAGCCGCTTATCTTGTTCGCAGTCACCGTCGTACCAAATACCGCGGACTGATAACTTTATGTCTAATGTAGGAAGGTCGCAAATTGCCTATGGAATTTATAAATATAAATTATTACTGGCTTGTGCAAACAAGCTGACAGCCTACCTGATGAAAAGTGGTCACCACCGACTATAGACGTGAATAGTACCATGGACATAGCATACTGTTTTATCCATGATACCTCCCATGCGTTGCCAGTCCTGAGGGCTAAGGTGTTATACCTCTGTTCCCTGTAAATTCACCGCCATATCCAACCCTTCAAATTGAAACACAGCTATGCAAATACGACTATTTCACGGTAGAGACACGAATGGGACATATGTACCTAAGCAAACGACTTTTGTACAAAGTCTCCTTCTGGTTGTTGTTCGGCGATTTGGAATCGATATTGAATAATTGTTTTTACATTTATTAATCTTCTATTAATTCTATAACAATTGAAATTGCTGCTTTTTATTTGCAGAACAATATAAATTATTATGAATAATTTCTGAGAATAAAATTGAGCTATACTCACCCTATGTATTTGCTCAATTTGACCTTCCTCGAATTCTCTTCTCAAGTATTTGGCTAGAAGCTCATAGTTCCTCATGCAGACCACTTTGAGTCCATTCAACAACGTGCAAGGCTTGTTTGTGTCTTTGGTCATATGTGTGAACATATATAAGTGGTGCGAGTCGATATGGGGCAATGTGGTGAGGGGTGAGTCGGTTGGCCACCGCGCTTGTACGATGCTCTGCATTAGCATCTGACAGGACAGACAGACAGACAACCAGCCGTTTTCTGCTGACGTGTCAATCATTGCCTGTAAGGTAAGATATTAATTGCTCTGATAGTGTATTAAAATTTCTGATAGTGTATAAATGTACTAGTAAAAATTTTAAACCAGTTTGCTATTTTGCCTGGGAACTTATTTAATTTATATATTATATATATAGGTAGAGTTCTATTCAACCGACTTTAAAAAGAAGGAGGTTCTTAATCTAGTCGTATGTTTTTTTTTTTGCCCGTAAGTTTTTTCATGTTTGTTACCTCATAACTCCGTTTATTCTAAATTGACTTGAAAAGTTTTTTAACTGAAAGGATATATTTACAGATTGGTCTTATCAACATCGGTTGAGCAGTTTAGTTTTTAAATAGATTTTGTGGGACTAACACTATTTATGAAATAAAATGCATCCTATATTACTTGTTAATAATGTTACTTTCTATAATTAATTTTTTTTTAAAATAGATTAAGTATTTTTGAGTTCCACTATAAACAACTAAATAAAATCTTTCGACTTTCTAGTTTAAATTATATGATAGATTAGATATGAACGAGCTTGTGTATATTATAATATGGATTTAAAAAAATTATAAATCAACAGTACAGCACTTACTTGTAATATTCGTATGGTTTGATCGAGCACTGACTTAGTATCAGTCAGGTAGTCTGTGTTTGGTAGCGGGACGCGTGTCATATGCGCCTGTAGAAGTAGGAATGCTTTCACGTTGGACGAATCTAGCGACAGAGGGTCCACAGGTAGGCGAAGTTGCTGCGATAGTTCACTGTAAAAAGTATTTATTTATTTTACACTTTATTGTACCAAGTAAAAAAAAAAATACAATAAATACAGTAAATATAAATGAATAGTGATACAAAAGGCGTCAACAAAAAATCATTTCCACTATTATATAGGTACTAATACACATAAATAACACACACATAAACATACACTATTTAATAGCATACATAGAACAGGAGAGAATAACAAAGGAAAGAGAAGAGTGAACACAGGAAAATAGTAAAAAGTAATTATAATATGTTTAACAGACTTTAATGAAAATGCAAACAAACAAATAATCGTCTCGACTATAAGACTCTTGATGTCTAATAATAGTTTTTATTTATTATGATATCAGTCGTTAATTGAAAATTTAATTCATTACTGAACATAGGCTTTTCCCATTAGAAGTTTTGCCAATAGTTGCCACGCGTTGGCAACCGACGTTAGACTTTGATGATGTTTTAAGAGAGACGCTGCTGCCCATCCCTCGGTTATTGGGTTCCCTTAGTCGCCTCTTACGACACCCACGGGAAAGGGTAACTTATTCTATAGCGGAATGGGGCGGTAATAATTAGTACAAATAAAAAATTGATTAAATATAAAAAAAAACCAACGCCAGATTCTTTTTTAAATACCTAATTGACGTTGCAATTATTGTTTTATATTGATTGAAATTGATATTTTTACGATTGTAGGTACATGTAAACCAATGCCATGCATTCCTGAAGATTACGCCTGTAATTTAATTTCTCTTCTCTATTTTTTTTTTAAAATCAGAGTCAATGCGCATGCGTCTTTATTAGTGTCCGGTGTTGTTAGTGTCTTTGGGGTGCGGTCATCACTTACTGTTAGTACAGGGGTTCCCAAACTTATTTTGTCTACAGCCCACTTTGAGAATAAATTATTTTTTAGCGCCCCCATTTTTTCACCTACTTAAAAACCACTATTACTTCAAATTAACCAATTATTGTAAGCTATATAAACGGAAATTAAACATTAATTCTAAATGAGCCTTTACACAAGGTCCCCATTTTTTTCTGGGTCTCTTACCGCTCCCCTATAGGCCTGCAGCGCCCATAAGGGGGCGTTATTGCCCACTTTGGGAAAGGCGGTATTTGTTGATTCACATTCTAGTTTGCCATCATTTCACATAAAAGAAATTTAAATGCTCTCTTTAATTCTTCATAGATTGAATAGACTTGGAAGTAGACTTACCCATTAAGTACGTCCTCGTTATGGCGGACCGGTAGCGTGGCATACTCGTACGAGTCTGCCAGCACTCTGAGTAGACTGTCGACGTGCAGAGTGGGCGCCAGTTGCGAAGTGAAATGTTCCATGGTGCGGTGCGAGAGGTAATAGTAGGAGGCGATGCGGCCCATCCACGTGCTGTGCACTGTACGCTCGTCCTGATATCGAAAATATATACTTTTGAACCGTAAAACGTCTAGAAATTTCATTAACCGTATTATAGTTTAGTACTTCAATAGATTTCTGAAAATGTAAACACTAAATAAAACAAGAATAAAATAACCGATTTTGAATTATTGTTATTGGCCTGTAATTTCGTTTAAAAAGTGTTCCTGTAATTTTTTTCCATGCAACTTAGAATGGCAAACAAGCTTAACAAACAATACTTTTATTAGAACTTGGTTGTTGCATCAGCCGTCGACTGTGCACTGTTGAACATAGCCTCCCTCTAAAACTTGGTTACTTTTTAATAAATAGCTATTGAATAGATTATTATATGTAACAAATTATAGAAAAAAAAAATAGCAAAATACTATTAAAAAAATACAAAAATTTTATCATGGATATGGTAAACAGATATACGGTATATTACCTCTTCAATCTCAACGCAGTAGGCTTGTACGAGCGCGTCGATGCTGGTTTGCACCAAGTTGGACAGGTAGCGGTTCACGTCCTGAGGCTCCAAGCTCTCTAAGTTGTAGTACGACGGGTTCTTCAGCAATCGCCGGAAGAAATACGTCCACGTCATGTAGTCGAGGATGTCCTGTTTCGTTTGTACTGTGCCTGTTCAAATTGTGATGGTAGACTAGGGTAGATTAAATACGGGTCTTTTAGTTTATGGTTAATAAAAAGTTTTCCCTACAACGCTCTTTGAAGTTTTTGGCAATTATTATGTTTAATATTATGGTTTAAATATATATACCCAAAGAGGATTGACGTCAGGCTGAAAGAAGACGTCAGAAGATAATGATTATGGTTTAAATAAATATTAAGAGGTGAGAAATAGAGGGGGGGGGGGGGAATATTATAAAAATTTGGTTATTGGTAAAGGATAAAAAAAAGATTAAACCAATTTAAAAAAATCTTTCACTTGTTAAGATGAACTAACTTCTATAAAGAAGTTAAATCATTAGAGAGTAACACAGGGTGCAATTTATTAAAAAATAAATATGATTCCGTATCGATCCGTTAGTTATAAAAAAAAACTTCGGCTCTACATACCCGCAACAATCTCGGCATTCAAGTGGTCCGCAAGCACTTCCAACAAGCTGGATTCAACAGGGAAAGGTTCGTACAGGAACTTCTTGTAGAAATTTTTCTTCTGGTCGTGAACTAGTACGACAGCCACTCCTTCGTTGTCATACTAATAGACAACAAAAACTGTTTAATATATATGCTTATGACTGTAATCTCAATAAGGGTTGACAGTGACGTCGAAAATTGCTATTATAGTGAGCGTAATACTTGACTTTTGCCACTAATTATGCTGGTCACCATTATGAAGGAACGCTACTTATTAATGGAAGGTTATAGATATTTATGTTATCATAGCAGGCCTCTGTCGACAGTTCCGTGGTTTGTCTTTGCCCTATTAGGTCGACCTCCACGTGGTTCCCCCTGGAAACCATCGTGAACAATTCTTGTTGAATTCGTCACGATGGGCTAACTGGCCTGCTTCATCCTCACCTATCACCCTTCACTGGTGCCCCGCCAGCGTATCCCGATAGCGCAGGCGGGGTTACCATTCCATTATCACCCATTAAAAAAAAAGTCCGTGGTTTGTTATTTTGTATTTTTCAATATAGATCAATATTGTTAGGTAAAGGTCTGAAATATTCTAATGTAATGTAATGTTTTAAAAAAGAGTACGTGATACGATAAGTGGCTGACACTGTCTCCAAGAGAGCACGTAAAGCCATCTCTTGGTAAGAAAGCACCATGATAGCGCCCTAAAAATCTTAACGACGGATTGCGCCATCTTTACACAAAAAGCAGTACCACAGTCGTCACTGCATCAGGTAGGTTATACATACACACGGGTATGTAGTGCACTATTGGTAAATTTCTCTGACTCATATATTAATTATTTATTTGAGGGTAGATCTTTAGCTGTTGCCTCTGTCTGCAGTGTAAAAAAAAAAGTAATTGTCTATTAAAAAAATAAATAACCTGTGGCCTGCCAGCTCTGCCCATCATCTGCAGTACATCAGTGATGGGCATGTCGACGTAGCGTCGCGACTTGCCGTCATAATATTCTGTGCCCTTGATAACGACCAAGTGCGCGGGGAAGTTGACGCCCCAGGCAAGCGTCGCTGTGCAGATCAGGACCTTGGTGAATGGAAACATTCTAATTTATTTATTGTATTAATTATTATTTTTTACTTTTATTTGCATACTCAATCATAAATCACTAAATCAATAATTGTAATGATAATTATATTGTATTTATATGATATTTTCTTTTATAAAAACTAGTTATTTTGATTAGAAATTAATTTTAATCGATTCAGAACTTTAAAGTTCTGAATCGATTTTGATGCAATTGCTATGAGATCAATCTGAAAGTAAGTTTAGAACAATTAAAAAATATTTTTTTAAATTAATATATCAATAAATAACGAAGTTCTGAGGGAACCAACATAAAAACAAATACAACCTCTTCCTTTTTTGAAGTCGGTTGAAAATCTTGTGTCACAATACTCGTTTATGCTAATCTTCGTAATTGCTCGACTGGTTTTAATGATTTTTTAAATATATAAACATCTGTATGAATTAGGTGGATATCTGGTATCGTGTTACGACATAAATTATCTTTTATTTTATTTTACACTATTTATATTAATAAAAAAATATATTAATAAAATATTATTAGAAATTTAATATTTCTTCAAGTTTCCATTATTTCATATACAAGTTACCTGTATTTTCTGATTAATAAACAGCTCCTCAACAGTGTTCCTGTCTCTCTCGTGCAGGCCAGCGTGGTGTATGCCAATACCGAACGCGAGCGTCAGTTTCAGGTTCGATTCCCGGATGTTGGATAAAATTTGCTCCATTTCCGATTCTTGCATGTGCAGCCACTGTTTGGGGTTTTCTTCGGCCGCTAGATACGCGATTAGATCGAGGGCTGTTAATCTGAAATATGAATTAATTATGCTTATATTTTTTATATAACTCGAATACTTTTTAATCATTCTAAATTCTTCACTGTGCACGCCATATGTCCTTGGAACTCACTGCCATCGTCAGTATGCAGCGCCCAGTCATTAAGAATTATTTTTTTTAAAATAGCTTAAAAAAATTATTATTATTAAGAAATGACGAACGAGGATGAAAAGCTGGTCATTTACCTATTATGACGAATTTCACAAGAATTTACCATGATGGTTTCCATGAGGAACCGCATGGAGGTCGTCTTGATAGAGTATAATGTGAGTAATGGAGCTGTAAGACCCCATTACTGACAATCCCTTTCTCATGGGTAGGGAGGAATTTTTAATGGATGATAATGGAATGGTAACCCCGCCTGCATTAACGGTATACGCTGGCGGGATACCAGTAAGGGATGATAGGTGAGAATAAAAAGGCAACTCAGTCAGTCCATCTTGAAGAATACACCTGGAATTAAGCGCAACAGTTTACAAGGGAACCACGTGGAGGTCGACATGGCAATATACCCTATATTACTACCAATGAGTCTAGTACTCCGCATTACTAACCATCTCTTCACCCCATTAGAGGCCCCATAGCAATCAAGTCTCCAATCCAATAGCTTAGCACTGAACAGAAAGATGTCTGTTGGGTCAGTTAGTTAAAAAAAAATGGTATGGAGACATACCTGGTCTGCCGTCGGCTGGAGACGAAGACGAGGGCGGGCGCGGCGGGCGAGTGCTGGCGGATGGCGTGGAACGTGGGCTTGTTCATGGACAACATGCGCGGGCAGTAGTGCCGCCCCGGGTGACCTGATATGTGCACCTGAGGGACGCATGCTGGTTTCAGTACAACTATAGTGGTAGCGTAAACGTATCTATAGCATGTTTCAATAAAATTTTATGAAAATGGAATAACGAGTAATCAAATTGACAATAAGACTGCTGTACTCTCCAATAGTAGTACTATTGGACATTAGGACAAATGGAAAATCGATTAATTGACTGAATGTTTTAATTTGTTACTATTTTCGTTAAGAAATTGCTTTTGTGATAGTATCAACAAAATTAAATCATTATTTTCACCAAGTTATATTTGGATGGCTGTGTTTTAGTATGAAGGATTCGATATGATAGATAAATTACAGGGTACAGAGGTAAAACTATAATATCTTAAGAATTGCTGTTCATATCTATAGATGACGATTACTATTTTCCATAAGGTGGGCCATCAACTTGTTCGCCATTCCAAATTGTATTAATAAAAAATATATCTATCCAAATTATTGTGTTCACTAAGGTAGAGCACCTATGCACAGCAGTAGTACTTTCAATGTCTAGTAAAAAAAAAAACAACAATACCTCCAAAGGTACGGGTCGCACAGAAGGCCTAAAATTGTAGAGTCCCATTTCACCGATGTTCAGCCAGTTGGCGAGGTCTTTAGCATTGGCTAGCGCCGTCGACAGGCCTATGATACGCAGACGCCGGGACGTGTGAGATTCGATGAAATTCGTTCTGAAATATTTATTATTATTATTTCAGCTGCTACCTGTCCACTGCTGGACATAAGCTTTCCCCATAAGGGGGATTCTGTCAGTAGTTGCCACATTTGGTAAGCGGGTTGGCAACTGCAGTTAGGTTTTTAGAGATGTTTTAAGAGGGACGTTGCTATTCATTACTCGCTCTCCTTAGTCGCCTCACGGGAAAGGAATGGGTCGCCTATTCTATGCCAGGAATAGAAAGGCTACAAAATATTAAATTATTATAATTGTCTTAAGCAACACCTCATGTTTTGAGAGTTTAGACTGAGTAAATTCATGATAAACAAAGGAGTTAGGGACTGTTACCAACATTCTCTCTCCCAACCAGTGAGAGACTCATCTAAGTTTTTTTTAATGGATGATAATGGAATGGTTACCCCGCCCGCGCTAATGGTATACGCCGGCGGGGCACCAGTGAGGGATGATAGGTGACAATGAAAGCAGGTTAGTTAGCCCATCGCGATGAATTACACTAGAATTAACCACGATGGTTTCCAGAGGGAACCACGCGAAGGTGGACCTGATAGGGTATATTGCCAGCAATGGGGTCTCATTACTAACAATCCCTTTCTCCGCCAACTCATCTAAGTTAGCCGGGAAAATGGCTAGTGACAAAATAATATTGCCTGATGCAGCAAAATGGCTAAGCCAATAACATTATTGCCCGATGGGGCAAAATGGTTAAAGAAATAATATTATTGTCCAATGGGGCAAAATGGCTAAAGCGATAAAAATATTATTGCCCAATAGACCAAAATTGTTACAAGGCTATACTGATCAAGGATGCAGTATTAGTTTTTACCTAGACACGATAACCTCCAAGACGGGACCCCGGTCCTCTCCGAGAAGATGTATCTCGTCGATGACGATCAGCGCCACGTCCCTGACGTAATTCCTGGTTTGCCACGAGCGGCTGATGCCGTCCCACTTTTCAGGTGTCGTCACTATGACATGTGCGCTCTTTATCGATCGAATGTCAGGCGAGACGTCACCTAAAAATGAAAAAAAAAATTATGACAATTGTAATTATTACATTTTTCAAGAGTCTTAGTTTGTTTGTTTACCGTTGAAATGTATAGATAGATACTCTTTATTGTTTCCTCCAAAAGATTACAATAGTAAACCTATTATAAATATAAACAATTATAAGAAATAATTACAATGAGAAAACAATGCAACCTTTGCATGGAAAGGGGTAATTATAAAATATTTATGTTGTTCCCTTTAATCATTTCAAAATATCCAGTGACAATGTGAATATGTAAAAGGAACAAATTTTAGAAAAAGAAGAAATACAAGGAAAGGAAGCAAGTGTTTTATGAGTCTATCTAAGCTACCTTACCTGTTAGTTCGACGACTTTCCTGCCTAGTTTCTCTTCGAGTCGTATTTTCCAGTCTTTAATTCGCTCCTTGACTAGTGCCTTTAACGGTGCTATGTAAACAACCTGAAAAAATTCAAACATAGCAATTATTTTTTTGTAAGAAAAATGATTTATCTTTATCAATGTGAATGAGTTTGTTTCGTCTTAGGGCTTTAACGACTAAAATAATTACTATGAAATTTGGTATACAGGTACTATATGGGACGGAAAAGGACAGTCCCAGTCACGTGGACGAAGTTGCCGGTAAAAATTTATATACATTTATTCTATTTATATGTTTAATTACACAGTAGTTTAGTCACTTATCATCAGGTGAGCCGCATGCTCGTTTGCCCCCTGTGTTGTAAAAAAAAAAAGACAGTACTTTAATTACAAAATAATCAACAAAAAACACAAGTCTTGATGCTAGCGCCATCTAGTATTTCGTGTATAATTTTGCTTAGTGGCCAACCACCTTAAAACTAATATAAAATGCTAATTTATCTTTCTATTTACTCGTGCAAAGCCGTGGTAGATTGTTAGTAAAGCAAATATAAAAAAAATCTTGGTCACACACCTTGCACCCAGGGTACTCGTTGAACACCCTGAACATAGCCACTTCAGCGACAATCGTCTTGCCGGAGCCAGTGGGCGCGCCTAACAGCACATTGTTGTCTGTATGGTATAAACAGTGGAATATCTGCGTCTGTATGGGGTTGAAGTGGCTGAAGTTGTATAGCATCTCGAACGATGGGTTGTTTAGTGCTGTCACAGGCAGAGGTTGGAGTTCCAGCAAGTCTAAAAATCAAATTGTGTAATAGGTTATTATGAATTTAAAGGTGGACCTACATCTGTGTAACGTAATATTTACAAGTAATCATTAAAATCTAATTAAACCAAAAACTTCTAAACTCTGTGGATTGTTTTTACACCACTATTCGTATCTCTCATATTACGATTATTACGTTAATATCATATTACGATATTACGATCTGCGTCACTGCTCAGCAGTTATATATATATATTATACAAATTAGAATGGCAAACAAGCTGACGGCCCACCTTATGGAAAGTGGTAACCGTCGCCTATAGACATGAGCAGTACCATGGACGTAACAGAGTATACTGTTTCGCCCATGATACCCCCCATGCGTTGCCATTCCTGAGGACTCAGATGTTATTCCTCTGTACCCTGTAAATTCACGCCATTCCCTTCAAACCCAACTGCGGTCCAGCCTCTACTGCGTTCTGGCCATGTTACCAAATAGGCTGGATTCTTTCTACATGAAACATTGTGTTGTGTTGCATGTCGAAAGAACTCCACTATTATTATAAGTCTAATAATTTAATTAATTTAATACAATATAATAATGTAACCTTAATACAAATGATGATTATTATTAAATTCTTAATACAAGTAATTTAGAGGTTTTTGGTTTAGTTGGGAGGTTTTATTTGTCTGTTATAACATCAAAGAATAAGATTCTATTCCTTATGAATATTTACATAAAAAATGTATATACATATTATATTTACCCGTGTGAGGTGGATGTGTTTCAGGTAGTATCAAATGCTGGAATGTTAATGGTAAAACACTTTCTGATCCTAGCCACCTGAAAGAAAAATAATAAAATATTGTATCAACATTTGGCGAATTTCTTATAATTTCATATTAAAAAAAATAAATAATATGGTGATGTACGTCATTTAGTGGACATGCACAAAACGTTTTGTTAAAAAGTTTTTTTTTATGCATGGCATTGTTAAATTGTTAGAAATTGTTACGCCTTGACACAAATGCGTCAACTGTATTGGTAAATATATTTTTATAGCTGTGGTTCAGTTTGAAAAGTGAGATTATCATATCAGCTTTTAATTATCCACTGCTGAACATAAGCCTCCCTTTAGGAGAGATTAGCCAGTAGTTGCCACACCTGGCAGGCGGATTGGCAACAGCAGTTAGGCTTCGAAGATGTTTTAGGAGGGAAGAATGGCAACGAAAATGAAGATATTATAGGCATCACAGTACATTCTGTGTTGTCTACGGAACTACCTTTACCTTTATGTCTTTTGTGTTTTGATTTTATGATTAACTAGCTGTTGCCCGCGACTTCGTTAGCGTTTCCGTCGTTTTTCGTAAAATAAGTAGCCTATGTCCTTCCTCACGGTTCAGTGGTTTTGATGTAACAGACACATTTTCCTTCACTGCTCTGCTCCTATTGATCGTAGCGTGATGAAAAGTATACTATAACCTGCTCAGGAGTATGAAGAATAAATGTACCAAGTTTCGTTAAAATCCGTCAAGTAGTTTTCGTTTCAATAACGAACATACAGACAGACAGACAAAAATTTTACTGATTGCATTTTTGGCATCAGTGTCGATAACTAATCACCCCCTGATAGTTATTTTGGAAATATACTTCATGTACAGAACTGACCTCTCTACAGATTTATTATAAGTATAGATTTAATGAAATACCTTTGTGTTTTATACTTTATATACAAACTCTATAGATACTTTCTCTTTTCAGGTTCACAAGATTGACTGAAAGAAATCTCTTTAAGGGCTAAGTCAGCCTGTGTACATTTTTTAATAACCTAACATCTATATTATAAGTGAATATACAAAAGCATATAAACAAATACCTTTCTGAAGTAGCTCTGATGTAGTATTGAGGAGGGAGAGGTTCAGAAATCGGGATTGTGATGATCAGTTCCTGTGGCTCTTTGGTGACTACCTAAAAATATTAAAATATATAATGATAAGTGAAACTGAATCAATGTCAGATCAAATAAAAAAAATCAAATAAATTATTGTGCGATTGAAAAATTTCAAAACGGGCGGACTTAAACACCTTCTATGCCATGCAGGGGCCATGTTAGTTTAGCTATAAATAAATAACATCGTGCTATAATGTTTATTTATATTATTTATAACTGATAACAAGTATATATATAATGAAAAATCAAACAAAACTTATTCAAGATCTAGTTTTTGTTTTTAACCCTTTGAGTGCCAACGATCGTGCGCATTGCAAATAAAAGTGCCACGAGCGTCATAGCGCTCGTGAAATCAGTCGCTGTTTAGCTTGCTGTAAAAAAAAATATTAAAGTTGGATAATTTTTGGAGGAGATACAGTTTTTTTAGAGACAAGGGTAAATGAAATTAACACGACAAAGATTTCTTTGGCATTTTTAAGTAGATATGAGTAAAAATCAATGGCACTAAAAGGGTTAAGTATACATAGATATTTCAATACATTATTTTGTACTCTAATAAACTAAAAAAATATTTCATGAATGATTTAATGAATAAAATTTATTGCTAAAAATGTGGTACAATAAGGTGACATGGTAATATTACAATAGTTGGTTTCACACATTTTGTCATAACTGACATGCAACAGTCATTATAATAGTTATGACAAAATAATTCTTTATATTAATTCTATAGCCATATTTATATAATTGAGTAATTTACATCTACTTATACCTAAATATTATTTTCAATATTCAAATACCTGCTTCTTAGTTATAAGGAAGTATTCGTGGTAATACATTATGTCGGTGTCGGGGTCTTCTACCCATATCCAAAAAGCCTCCGGTGCTTTGCCGTGGTATTTATCGTTCCACCTGGGTCGAAATTAATATTTTTTGAGTTTAATCAACTTTACAAACCATTAACGTCCCACATTGTGTTTAAGATAAAAGGGTTTTAAGAGCGTGTATGAAAAGATTGATGAATGTGGAAGAAGCGAAAGAGGTTTGTTTGAAACGAAGCATTTGGCGTTCCATTGTTTCTGCCTACCCTAATGGGAGACAGGCGTGACAGATATGTATGTATAAAAGAGTTTTATTTTGAGTTTTCCCTCTTTTGAATTCTTTTCACTATCTATTACACATGTCTCATGTTTATTTTATTTATCTAAATTTTATTCATTAACACTAAACCTACCGACATTTCATATATATGGTACCTAATCCAACCATAAGCGATCAAGTGACCGCTTTAAAATAAAGTATGTATCTTAATATAGAAAGAGATTTTAGACAATTAGATAGTAAATCGACCTTAATATATTTGGACTCAGTTATAATCAATATCGCAGACAATTGTATAAAATAATATAATATTTAGAAATTTCTTATATAATTTTGTTTTGTTTTTTATTTAACTTTCTTTATGTTTATGTTTCTTTTTATGTTTAATTTTTTTCACTAATAGTTGCAACCGAATGGCTTTGTTGCAGTCGCATTTATTATTGGATCATGCTGTGTGCACATGTTGTGGCAAGTTTACCTGATCAATACATTTATGTACTTGCATGTTATAATTTAAGTTTGTATTTGTAAACTTCTGTTATGTGCGCCAAATAAATAAAATAAAATAAAGTAAATAAGTAAATAATAGTAAGTTGTAAATATTGTTGTTGTAAAATGGGTTGTATGTATATTATAGGAAAAGTCAATAAGTTACATGGTGATACAATAACCTTATACATGAAAATGTTTAAACTACATTTCAAAAACGTTTACAAGTTATAGATTTATAGTGCAGTTTCAGAGAAAAATCACACGAACGCTTAGGCTGCGGAATGAGCTCCAATCCGAGGTTTCCCTTAGAGACTACAGTATGGGGTTCTTCAAAAAGGGTATAAAGTTTCTTCAGGGTTGGCAACGCGCACGTGACATCCCTGGTGTTGCAGGCGCCTATAGGCTACAGTGACCGTTTACCGTCAGATGGGTTGTATGCTTATTTGCCACCTTTGGAGTATAAAAAAATATATGTTTTCCTATTTATTTTGTAGCATGTTGTCGACTTACTTGAAATTAGGTATAATAGTTAGTCGAATCCTGAGAACTGTTCTTGTTATCGGATGTAGACTCGCCTCCATTTCGAGTAGCGGGAACTCGTCGGCACATTTCTTTAGGTGTCTAGCGTTTTTAGGGTTCCGTATCAAGTCACCTATGTATACAGAAAATTAAATAAATCAGTCGCCCTCTTGTGTAAAGCAAGAGTTTCTAGCACATTTTGGTTATAAAAGTCTTTTGAGGTTACTTACGACGACGTTTACATACCCTTCGAAATATAAAATCAGTGGTAATAATTTTTAAATGAAACATATAAATAACTTAGAGTGGAATTCGATTTTGAAAGCTCCAGACAGGAAAAGATTTATGCATCTGAGATTTTAAAATCAGCAAACCGTAGTCAAGGGTTAATTGTTAATTAAGGTCATTAAGCACCTGAAGGAGATCAATTTTCTATCTGTCAAATTTTGTCTCAGTCCTTTTTTTATCATTTTTCTCATAAATCATTTTATTTATTTTATCTTTGGTGACACCCTTTATCTTCCTCCACTTTGTTTGATTGAGCTTAATATAGAAATGAAATGCAATCATATGCATATAGCCATAAAATTTAAATTAAATACCCACCTACTTCCTTCCAGTCCATATCCCTAATTTGATCCGGCTTTAACATTGGATACTCGATGTGTTTGAGCGTCTCAATAGTGAAACAATTGAACTGTCTCATATCACTGTAGAAGTCCCACTGTTGTAGTTCCAACATCTTCGCCATCTTGAGGTATAGGGCGGCCATATATGCGTTGTTTTTGCGGAGTGTTATTTCAAATAGTGCGCGAATTATACGTACTGCATTCTAAAAATAGAATATGAATTATAATAAATAAAGAAAGTAATAATATAATAGAATTGATTTGAAATAAAGTTCTTAGTATAACAAGTAGATTTTGCTTAAAAAAGTACGGGAGACCTTAATTAATCCGGCTCGAAGGACCACTACTTAGAATTAAGTTGTAATTGCTCTTGTTTCATAAAACTAATGAATGATCTTATGTATGTATGAGTGCATACTGTGCCATATAAATGAATTGCTTCATTATATGTCAATATGTTAAAAATAACTTTGCGTTTTACTTGTTCGCCTATTACAAGCCTTACGAAATAGGTTCACATGCATAAATGACATTAAAGTAATAAAACTAGATAATTTTGTAATTTAATTTAGGCTTAAAGTACCTGACTGATATAGTTCAAATCAGATTGCAACGAGGAGCCATTGACCCGTCCACGTGAGAGATATGTCTGCAGCAATATGTTGATTTTCCAGTGTATGTCTTCGGGAGGGTCATCAATACGCAGTTCGCAGTATTGGTCTTTGAGGCTCCACAGTTCTGTTAACTCTTCTTTCCTCACCTGTTGTTAATGTAATTATTTAGAGATGTGATTAGCAGTATCCATAGTAATTTACAAATACAATATTGTCTAGCTGATAGTTTAGTTTTCACCGCTAATCTGCTGGATCGACTTTGAAGAAATTCGATATAAGGTACTATCATTTAAGAGAAAGGAGATATGCTTTTATAAAGAATTGAAAATAGTTTTTTACGTTCGGTATTTTTAAAAGTAACCAACCTTCAATTGTTGGAAGTCGGAACAACGCGTGAGCATTTCTAGTACATACGCCTGCGTCATAGATTTTCGGACCATAGAGTTGAACACTTCCATCGTCTCGCAAGTTATGTAGTAGTGGCTGGCAGTACGTCCCAGGTCTGTGTTGAGAATAAACTTAAATTAGATTTCTTAAATACATATACATTGACTGCTGACATTGATGCTTTGTTAGTAATGGAGACTGAGAATCCCATTGCTAGCAATATACCCAACCAGGTCGATCTCCTCGCGGTTCTCCCTGGAAACTATCATGGTTAATTCCTGAAGAATTCATCATGATGGGCTAACTGGCCTGTTTTCATTCTCATCTATCACCTTTCACTGGTGCCACGCAAGCGTATACCGTTAGCGCAGGCGGGGTTAGCATACCATTTTCACCCATAAAAAAAATAGTACAAGGTACGTTTAGCTTGAGACTAGATGGCAATGTATAATAAAATCATAATCTCTAGTGGTATTAATTTATATAAATAAAATGAAATGTTTTCATTGATAAGGACAATTGAGAACGGGTGGACCGGCTCAGCCAATTTTATTGTTCGACTAAATTCGTTGTTAGTGCGTGGGTGCGTGCGTGCATGCGTGTGTATGTATGTCGATCATACCTGACATAGGGATGATGAATTTGGTTACACATTGTTTTTCTGTTTCGTCTATAATAGGCGCGTAATTTCTACATTAGATAGATAGATATAGATAAAAATAGATAAATAAACACAGGTTTACACTAACCAGTTACGTTTAAGTCCCCAGTGCGCTCGTTGTAACGTATCATGTGCGTTTTGTCGAGCTGCATAGCGGCCGCGGTGATCAATTCACGTCTTTTTGTTTCTAACATTGGCTCATCTTGTACGTCGTTGTATGTTAGACCATACACCTAGACAAAAGAAATAAATATAGTATTTCTTATCAGTTGTCTAGTATATAATAGAACAATGTCTGTTTAGTTTGAAACTAGATGGCGTTGTGTAACCCTTACCTGAGGATTAATTCTCATTCGCACGAAGAGGTACGTGTAACTGAGCCATTCAACTGCTTCGTCTATATTAGTAACTGTACCAAGTGCAACCTGGAAAGAATATATAATTTATAAATTTTAGTTTTATGCAACTTAAAATGGCAAACAAGCTGACGGCCCACCTGATGAAAAGTGGTAACGTCGCCTATAAACATAAATTACAGGGTACTGAGGCATTACACTTCAATCCTTAGAAATGATTAACGCATGACTACCATGGGCGACACAGTATACTCTATTATGTTCATGGTACTGTTTATGTTTATAGGCGATGGTTACAACTATCAAGTGGGCCGTTAGATTGTTTTCTATTCTAAGTTGCATAAAATAAGGCGATTACATACAATATATTACTTACACTTATTAATTACCATAAAAAATAAAATTACCTCGGCATTTAAATTATCTGCTAGCAGGTTGATAAAGTTGCTCTCTATAGGGAACTGATTCGTCATCGACTTTAAGTAATGCGTCAATTTATCATGCGTAGTGATGATGATGCCTGTTCCTGAGTTGTCGAACTGTGGTCGGCCAGCGCGACCGAATATCTGCAGTACGTCCAGAATGCTCAAATCTACGAATGTTCCGTGACTCTGGTCATAGATTTCTGTGCCCTGTTGAAAGTAGATAAGATTTATATTAAAACGAGGTTTATTGATTCACAATTTGTATTAATGAGAATTATTCTTATAGTAATGTATGTATATATGTATATTTATGTACGTATGTATAGCCACTTTCTATACAATATTGAAGGTAAGAAGAGATGTGAATTTAAACAGATGACACCACTGCATGAGTTTTGTTTGTCAATTTTTCGTTTTACATTAGGTTCAATAGAGCTCATTTATTAGTTACTATATTCAATTTGGAACAACAGTTTTTGATGACTGAACAGACAGAGAGACAGACATATTTTCCAACAATGATTGTTTTGGTTTCTATTGCTTTTAGAAGTCTCCTATCAACTTTTTTTTTTTAATATTTTCTATGTACAGACCGACGATATTTGTACGTTGTCCAGTATCGATTTTATTATATAAGTATGATTAATATAAATAGCATTACTACATAATTTCGAAAGGATCCAGTGCGAGAAAAGTAAAGTAGTGCTATAAAGAAAAGTAGTTTAGTAGCAACTTCTTTAATTTTTATTAAAGTCGTAGAGTTCTTCCATCGTCTTTCTTATCTATTTTACAAAAAAAAAAAATATATCTATGTTGGTAAAATGTCAGATTAGAGAGCACACAATATAAAAGTGAATGCGTACATACCCTAATTATAACGGCATGAGCGGGCAAGTTGACACCCCAAGCTAGTGTCGAAGTACACACCAAAACTTTTATGTAACCTTCAGCAAAATACTTCTCAACCATGTTCCTGTAATACAAGAATCAAGTATAAGAACTGAAATATAGTGATACAGAGTAAACATTTTACGTCTACTTTGAAGCTTTCTGAAATGTTTCGTGTTTCAACCGTGAAGCAGTTGTGTTTGCATGGCTGTGTTTTGGTTTGAAGGGTGGGATATGGCGTAAATTTACCTTTCCTGAGGTAAATTTACGAAACACATCCACCTCACACGGGTAAATATAATATGAATATACATTTTTTATGTAAATATTCATAAGGAATAGAATCTTATTCTTTGATGTTATAACAGACAAATAAAACCTCCCAACTAAACCAAAAACCTCTAAACTACTTGTATTAAGAGTTTAATAATAATCATCGTTTGTATTAAGGTTACTAGGATTAAATTAATTAAATTATTACACTTATAATTATAGTCGAGTTCTTTCGACATGCAACGCAACACAATGTTTCATGTAGAAAGAATCCAGCCTATTTGCTAACAAGGCCAAAACGCAGTAGAGGCTGGCCCGCAGTTCGGTTTGAAGGGTGGGATATGGCGTGAATTTATTGGGTACAGAGGAATAACACCAGAGTCCTCAGGAATGGCAACGCATGGGGGGTATCATGGGCGAAACAGTACACTCTGTTATGTCCATGGTACTGCTCATGTCTATAGGCAACGGTTACCATTTTCCATCAGGTGGGCCGACAGCTTGTTTGCCATTCTAAGTTGTATAAAAAAAAACTAAAGTGAGTAAGCGAAAGGTCAGATAGAATCGTCTTCGGTCATTTCGATCCACATATTGATAAATTCATGAAATATTATCTCTTTTCTAATCTATAGATACACCAACTTCATTGAACAATGCAAATATATTTTATTTGGCTATAATATTTATTTATTTTTATTTATTCATTAAAATAATTATAACATTATGATAGTATATTTTGTTTGTTAGGTGACTGACACTTTTTTATAACACGGGACAAATAAGCATACGGCTTATCTAATGGTAAGTGACTACCGCTGCTAATAAGCACCCGCATCATTGGATGAAATGCTGATGTGCTGCTGACCTTTTATTATACATATGTTTATTTTAGACTTTATTGTAACACTTATAAAAATAATAAATACAGTAAATTGTAATGTGAAGTGATACAAAAGGCGACCTTAATGTTATGCAATCTCTTCCACACATCTTTCGAGTAGAGGACATAGAGAGAAAAGACAAAGGACAAGTGGCGCACTATTATATAGATATAAATACTTACTTAAGTCTTTTTTTGAAGGTTATGATGTTTTATGTCGTACTTACTTGTCGGTTTTATTTATATTAATAAGTACGAAAGGTGCTTTATATATAAAGGAAGAGGAATTATACACTTTTTTTTAAATTAAATACAGATAATACAGATACAAAAATACAGGAAACACAAAGTATTCTCAAAAAAGACTTACCTGTCACTTCTCAACATCCCCGCGTGGTGACACGCAAATCCACTTGCAAATAACTCTGCCAATTGTTTGTTGGGACTGGTAGATATTGATTTTTTAGCCTTCAAGAAGCCTCCTGAGTCCTCGGGCTCGAAGTGTTTCAAATGGCCTTTTTTTTGGGCTAATTCCTTCAGTATCATGGCAGTTTGGTGGGTGGCGTTGCGAGCGTGTACAAACACCATCACTTGGTGACCTTTTTGTACCATATCGACAGCTTTGTCGTAGCATATTTCGTTCATTATTTGTATCTGCAACGAAGGTGAAAGGTTAAAAAAATTAAATAATTAAAAAATTAAATTATTAAGAAGTTATTTTTCTACACTTCTTTAATGGTAGGTGCAATATGTGTATACACTTTGCATTGGTTTACGGATAATAAATACATGTGAATTTTTATCCCAAACTTTTTTTACATAGAAGAGTACAAGAACAAAGAGTTTTAATTCTAGTGTCTTTTACAACTTTTGGGCTGGGAAAGACAATACTATGACAAATTAATTTAAAGTAATTCTTTTAAGGTATATGTAGCATTTGAATGTATCTAGTAAAACAAGCAAATTAATAAAATCTTACGAATAAAGCTTACGTAAAGGGATGATGGGATCTCACAACATTACACCATAAAGAAATGAGGTAGAGAGCATAATTTAAAAGAAAAATTATTACTATGTAATTAAAGAACATCCTAAAAAAAGAAAAGCCAAGTGTTAAAGGGTATTTTTCATATCTCTTATTTAATAAAATATTATTATTGTAGTAAAAGCTTACTTGTCTGAGATGTGCACCGCCGCCGCTGCCGACTTCTTTGACGCCAATAAATTGTTGTTCCAATGGTACGGGACGAAAACGCGAGTCGAAGAAGAACAATCCGATGTTTGGATTCACACGTAGAAATCTGGTGTCAAAACCAATCGACCAGTCATATAAAGCTAATTAAAGCTACATAGTTATTGGCAGTCCAGATGATAAATATATGAGTCATCACCAGTCATATCAGCCGTCAATCGTTCACTGTTGAACATAGGCTTCCCCCTATTGATGGGTTTTGCCGGTACTTGCCACGCTTGGCAGGCGGGTTGGCAACTACAGTTAGGTTTTGGTGATATTAAAAGAGGGACGCTACTGTTCATTCATTTCTCGATCATTTAGTTTCCTAAGTCGCCTCTTACGACACCCATGGGAAAGGAAGGATGTAGCCCATTCTATATTGGAACCACACGGCAAATATGTGAGTAAAGTAGACAAATAATCGAGGGAGAGAGAGAGCGACAAGAGACTGTACAAAAGTCGTTTGCTTGGGTACCTCTGTGCCATTCGTTCCCATGTTCAACCGTAAAGCAGTTGTGTTTGCATGGCTGTATTTCGGTTTGAAGGGTGGGATATGGCGTGAATTTACAGGGTACAAAGGAATACCATCCGAGTCCTCAAGAATGGCAACGAATGGGGGGTATCATGAGCGAAACAGTATACTCTGTTATGTCCATGGTACTGCTCATGTCTATAGGCGACGGTTAACACTTTCCATCAGGTGGGCCGTCAGCCTGTTTGCCATTCTAAGTTGTATAAAAAAAGATCGAACTTCAAAACAAGTAGCAGATGATAATGAAAAATAAATATGTGAAAAATACCAACATTACCCAGTACCCAGTAATTTTATTGCCTTTTAATATTTTTTTCGAAACTACAAATAAAAACTTTCATACGTACAATGGCCCAAATGAGAGCGCGGAAAATAAAGTCCAATTTACCTGGCAACATCAAGGTAATTCGGCAACGTAGCGGACAAGCCGACGATGCGGATCATGTTTTGCGTCGATTCGACCTGCCTGAGCGTTCGGGCGACTATTGCTTCCACTATGGGCCCCCTGTCGCCGTGTAACAGGTGGACTTCATCTATGATTATCAACTTCACTATCGATGCGAGTTCCGTATCCGCTATAAATATGTAAAATGTAAAATACATAAATATGAAAAGAAATAAGGTTGTGTTAAAAAAATTGACTTCAATTGTGATAAAACCACTTAATTTAATTTAATAACTATTGCAGTGTATCCTTTCAGATAAAAATAAGTCTTTTTTAAAACGCGGACCACAACTGACGGAGTAAAAAAAAAAAACTATACTGAGAACCTCTTTCTTTTTGGAATCGGTTGAAAATTGCAAGGAGTGGTATTTTTTTACTTTTTACGTTATAGACACGTTTTGGCTACCGTATGCACGTGATAAAACGAGACAGCAACGCCCAGTACCAGTGCGGTAAGGCAAATGTGTTTTATAATAATATTTCACTTGTTTGGGATTTGGTAGGCTTAATGGTGAAATCGGATAAATCTAAATCATTATGAAACAGGAAAGGGAGAAGCAAACATTGTTTATCACAAGGAGAAGTTTTTGGCTTCTGTTTTGTAATTCTATATATATATATATATATATATATATATATATATATATATATATATATATATATATATATATATATATATTTTAAAATAAAATTAACTGTTTTTGTTATCTAAAAAAACACATAAAATACAATAGAGGCCCCTATCTATGTAAATGAAGACAACCTTGTTAGTCTCGTTTTGGTATAGAAAATAGTAAATATAAAAAGCTCTTATAAATTTTTGAACTCTACGACTATTTAAAACTTACTGGCTCCTTTCCTAGTGACGACGTCCCATTTCTCTGGTGTGGTGACTATCATTTGGGTCTGCTGGACCTCGCTCTTAGTAAGTTTCATGTCGCCAGTCAATTCTCGGACGGCGATGCCGAGACCGCGAAGCCGGCGTCCGAAGCTGGCCGTCATTTCGGACGCGAGGGCTTTCATCGGTGCAATGTATATAATCTGGAGAAAGTATATGTATACCATATACACTAATAATATGACTATGCTGTCACAGATATTATTTTTACAGATCTATTTTTTTTTAATGCGCTACCTCCCTATTTATGCTTTAATTCCTTCTACCCAAACGTTGTTTGGAAGAGATTGCTTAGCAATAAGACCGCCTTTTGTACTCCACTATACGTATTGAAAATTGTTCAATAAATCCTGTTATGTTGGTGGAATAAAGTGTTAAATAAATAATAAATAAATAAATAATATTATAATTTTTGTTTGCTTGTTTGTAATGGATTCAACAACTATTCAATCGATTGTAAAAAAAATTTACCAGTACAAAGCTACATAAAGAGTGAGTAACAAAGGCTGTATATTTTTTTTTAAATTACATATGCCTATGAAAACTACAATAATATAACTGAAGGTTTAATAAAAATTGCTTATTAAAGCTTATCACTTAATTATCAAAAATCTTTCTGCCCCATCGGTTAACGGTTTTACCAGCTCATTGTCACTTCAGCTTATTTATTTTTCGAGCTATGACAGTTGCTTTGCTTCTTTCTGCGGATATCGCCATTTCTGATTTTGTTAAGCAAAGAAAATCCGAGCATTATAAAATTAATACGAGACTTATTTTGATAAATCTTGTTGCAATCGATAAAAAATAATATGGGCTCGACATCTTATTGATTGCAAAAAAAAATTCACCAAAATCGTTTCAGAAATGACGACAATATTACGTGACGTTCAAAAAAATTAAGACAAATTTAACACTTCCTCTTTCCTTTTATTTACTTAAAATTATTCAAAATGAGTAAAAAAATTAAGGTTCTCACCTCATTTTTTAAAACTAGAAAATACAAACCTTAAACTTATTCTTCATAATAACATCATTCTCAATATGTTGTTTGATCTGATGCACAACTGTCAGCAGTGCTATGTTAGTTTTACCCGCTCCCGTCGGGGCACAAATTAGTAAGTTTTCATTTGTGTTGTACGCTGTTTGAAATACCACTGATTGTATTCGATTCAACTCCTTTATATTTTCAAATGCCATTTGTCCTATCTGTAATGTACAATAGATATAAACGTTATTGTTAAAAGCATAAGATTATGATTTGTTTGTTTTTGAGCTGCGATTATACAATTTTTAATAACATATTGGAATTTACATGACCGTGTATAGCGCAATTTAAAAAGAGTTTCCTTTTGCGAATGCTCTGGTTGCAGATAGAAGTTACTAATAAAGTTTTCTAAAAGACTATGTATGGCGTTCTTTTAAAAAAGGCGGTAAAGGCTAACATAGCATTAATTGATTTGTCGTTTTAATACAGTGTTTGACAAAATATTTCTTTGAGTTGACAATGAGAATATTATATGATAGTAGCTCTGTCCCTCGTCTTCGGTCGCGTGAATTCGCGCTTATGTCAAGTATCCTATGTACTAAGTTGGGATATAACCTACCCATATACCAAATTTTATTCACATTCTTTCAGTAGTCTTAGCATGAAAGAGTAACAAGCATCAATCTGTCTCTCCTTAAACATTTTCGCATTTATAATTTATATATCATATATATATATATATATATATATATATATATATATATATATATATATATAACAATATACTTATACATAAAAATATTAAATGAATTAAAAAAACACCATGTATTATATTTGAGTGTTACATTTACATTACCAACTTACCTCGTCCAAATCAGATATAGGAACACGTTTATTTCCTATTTGCAAAGGCGGTGGATCATTTTTCGGTATAATAACCTCTTCGTACTCTTTCAAGTCTTTTCTAACAGCATTTTCAGGCAACATTAATTTCAGTCCTGATACAAAACCTGAAAGTCAAGAAAGGAAATCATTAAGGGCTTCATGAGATTATTTTTTATTATTTTCAATTACTGATTATTTTCAAATTTCTTATATTTTATGCTTTACTAATGACATTTGTAAATTGATTGTAATGTTATTTTTGACAATTATTATTGGTTATTTTGTCGCTTCATATTTTTTTGTTTTGTTATATTTTATGATATATTCTTATCACTAAAAATATTCAACACAATGCAGTATTGTACCGAATAAAAATAAATTGAATTGAATTGAATTGAATTTATGAAGATAAGACATGTCAACGTTATTTTATAAATTCTATATGTATTTTATAATAGATATTTTACATACACATTAGTTATTTTTTAGAGGAATAATATTTACCAGCTGCATTTTTTGCATCTATAGACGAGTCATACACATTTGGATATTGAACTTTAGTTTGAAAATAGGATATTTTCTGTAGAATGGGATCTGTATTATTTGAAGATTTCGATGTAGAAAATGGTACCACCGGTTTTGACAGTTCAGCTATTCTGTAATAAAAAAAGAAACGGAATAAATAAGATATATTTAATTTAAAGGAATGAATGGCTATAGACTATGTTTTTTTTTTAAACAACAGAATGACAAACAAGCTGACGGCCCACCTGATGGAAAGTGGTAACCGTCGTCTATAGATACGTGCAGTACCATGGACATAACAGAGTATACTGTTTCGCCCATGATACTCCCCATGCATTGCCATTCCTGAGGATTCAGATGTTATTCCTCTGTACTCTGTAAATTTACGCCATATTCCACACTTCAAACCGAAACACAGCCATGCAAACACAACTGCTTCAGGGGGAAAGGGATTGTTAGTAATGGAGACTGAGAATCCCATTACTAGCAATATACCCAACCAGGTCGACCTCCTCGCGGTCCCCCCTGGAAACTATCATGGTTAATTCCTGATGAATTCATCATGATGAGCTAACTGGCCTGTTTTCATTCTCACCTATCACCCTTCACTGGTGCTCCGCCAGCGTATCCCGTTAGCGCAGGCGGGGCTACCATACCATTTTCACCCATCAAAAAAAAAAAACACAACTGCTTCACGGTAGAAACACGAATGGGACAGAGGTACCCAAGCAATCGATTTTTGTACAAAGTCTCCCTCTGGTGATAAGTAGTAAATTATTATAAATAAAATTACGACAAACCTTCGAGCTCTCATTTGTGCTACATTGATTTCTGGTTCATCATCTTCATCATCATTTCTCTTGTTATTTCTTGCTTTCTTCTCTCCCTTTCTCACTAATTTGGCAAGCATCTTCTCTTGTTCAGACAGTACTGATACTTGGCACAAGTATTGAGGCATTTTATTTTCGGGAAGATTTGCTGCAACTATTATAATAAAAAGACTCTATAAGTTAAACTGAGATTCTATGGGTTCCATATTGTAGCAAGTAAAGTATACAATACAATCTTTTAAATTTTTCTTTTCTGCAATATAGTCTCGTAGTATAATTAATAAATTAATAATATTTATGGGTCATGAAAAATTAAGGAAAAAAAAAATTAAGGTTTCTTAAGGGTCGGCAACGCGTACGTGACACCCTTAGTGTTGCAGGCGTACATAGGCTACAGTGATCGTTTACCATCAGACAAGCTGTATGCTTGTTTGCCACCTTTGTGGTATAAAAAAATAATAATGACACATGACTACATGTTTGTGTGCCCTAACACAAATAAAAATTAAAATTACTGAATTAATTAAACTGATTTATTACTTGTAAATATACTGACTGAACAAATATCTGAATATAATAACTGAATTTTAATATCTGAATCACATTTGTTTGTTAGTTACAGATAGAAAGACTCAAAGAAGTGACACGTTGCATTTTTTATTAGATAGACTATAAGAAACTAAGATCGTGTCTATTATAAATAAATTATAATTCATTGAACTGTATATAAAATATGAGACTTATATGTGATGAAGGACATCATATTACATAAAAAAATTATTACGTACACATGTATATTAAAATACATACGTTCTGACAGAGTAGGTTGTGGAGGAGGCGCTTTCAAACTATCGATTATATCTTGTCTATGTGACAAAATTTCCAGAATGAATTCAAACTTATCAAAACCCAACAACTCGAAGAGATCATTCTGTAGTTCATCATTAGATCGTGTTGAATTCAGAAATGTTATGATAGATTGTAATATATCTGCACTGGATATTCCACTATCCCTAGTATACAGTTCTTTTACTTTTACTTCTAGCCAGGTTTTACCAAACTGAAATAACATTTATAATTATTAATATTTGCAGTAAAATTATACAATTGAAATTATTACAATACAGAATTATTTATCCTGTTGCTTGGACAGACTGGCAGTTCAAAATACTCTTTTAGTATTTATTTTATTTAATAATACTTTACGTAATATAATTTTTTTATACTTGCAAGTCTCTTAAGGAAATGTGGTAATTGGAATTTATAAACATGAATAGTACAACACTAAGAAGAAAAGAGTTTTTTAGTAATGGGATCTAAAAGCTCCATTGCTAGTAATATACCCTACAAGGTCGACCTTCCTGTGGTTCTTCCTGGAAATCATCATAATTAACTATTGTTGAATTCATCACAATGGGCCAACTGACTTGTTTTTAGTAACTTATCATCTCTCACTAGTGCTCCACCAGCATATGCCAATAGCGCAAGCATGGCTATCATTCCAATTTCATTGATAAAAAAGCATCAGGGACATGACTAAGTCAGTCCATTATACTTTTACAAGTATCAGAGATTTCACTAATTATCTAATGCTTATACCAAAATAGGTATTTTTTGTAACAAAAGTAGATGGAAAGGTGATATATAATCAGTCAGTCATACAAGAGGAGAAAAATAGATCTGTATGATCTCAAACTAACCTTCGATACAGGAGCAGCCTTAGTTTCTTTAGAGACACTATTCACTTTCTCTACACTGTTATTATATTTCATAGAGAAATCATTAACAAATACACCTGCCACTGCTGGTTTGTTTATTAGATTTGCTAATGGTTTTTTTACTGGTTTGTATGGGATATAATGACATTGTATATTTTCACCCCATAATTTGATATTTTCCTTATCGGCTTCAATTGTTTCCTTTTTAATATATTCTTTTGTCTCATCTAATATTTCGCTGGATATTGCTGTCACGATCTTAAAAATATAAAGTTGGTATTAATTAAAGTCATAAACATACAAGAGATGTCGCAAGTCTATAATTTTAGTAGGACTAATTGATATTTGTGGATTTTGGATAAGCCAGTGGGGGAATTATTTTAGGAATGGGAGATGATGCAATTTAAGAAGGGAAAATGCATTGGGATTCCTCAAATTATTTGCAGTTACAAAAATTACTTATATGTAAATACAAACCTCACAGATTTTATTAGCAGTTGCATTAGTAACAGAGCCAAAAGTTTGTCTGAGCTGATTCAAGTGTTTCAACATCACAATATCATGATCCATGAACATCCTTAAGGTCATAACTGCAGCATCATCTGTCATCTCTTCTGATTGGTCACTGCTTAATTGTCTACAGCTCTCTTTCAAATCCTTTAGTAGTTTCAACAATTCATCTGATTTCGATTCATTTTTTCTAATGTAGTCACAAATGTCTGCATATGATTTGAACCTGAAATTAAGCAGTTAGAGCAGTTAATATCGTAATATGCAAAAAATCTGTGTCACAATGTTTGCCTATGCTTATCTCTGAAACTATTCAATCAATTTTAATTATATTTAGTATAATTATATGTATTGTCTGCTTCAATTTGAAAGATAGAATAATATTAATTTCAACAATATTGGCCCATTTTAAAATTATTTACCATGATGGGCTTGGCCTCTGAAAATATTGTGCATATGTAATTCAAACATGTCTTTATGAAGTTCGCATCTTAGGGTGGGCACCAGACAGTTCTGAGGTGAGCATGCTTAACAAGATAAATAAGACTTAGTAGGTGGTTACAGAGAACAAAACAATGTTTGCTAGATCTGTTTGAAAAATTTAAATTAACCTTCCAAATTTAGAATTTAGTGTAAAAGAAAGACAGAATAGTTAAATAACTAAAATAGGTTTATGAGAGGTTTGATTTTTTATAAATAAGCGAGTAAGGAACTAATTAAAACATATAATCATATTATAACATTTTTCTTTTGGTATAAGAATTTTTTCTTACTGATACTATAGTATACAAGTGATATAAGTAAGTAAGTGATATACCAGTTTCATAGAAAATATATCTTCATGTGAGTTTTATCATCATACCCTTATCGCAATTTTGTGTTACTGTGGTACACTCATGAGAAATTGTGTAACCTCTTTTCTGTACTTTCTTTTTGTTTTTTTTTTATATGTTTTGTTTTATTTCTTTTTTTAAGTATGTACCAATATCTAATGTTAGTTGTGTGCTGTAAGTAATAAGTGCTCGAAATAATAATACAAATAATGCATGCCCAAGGGTGGGTTCACCAATTTCGAGAGTTATATCAATAGAGATAACTCAATATAAGAAATTATTACTGGAAATACAGGTACATTAATGTATTGTAATAAAATTAAATAAAAGATGAGATAGTTTATCTAAATAAGAAATTAAGACTTACTTGTGATGATTTTTTGGCTTGACCACTGGCAATGTAGAATTACTAGTTGGTTTTAGACATCGTGGTTTATCAAGCTGGGTATGCGCCCTTAGGGCTCGTGTAATACGAGGTAATTCAATCATGTTGTCTTCTTTATTTCTTTGTAAAACTGTTTATTGTGGAATAAAATAAAGCAGTCACATGATTTTTAGAAATTCACCAACGTTTCTAAATATAAATTTAGTGCAATAAATTAATATGGAATAAAATGTGGAATAATAAATATGGATTATAGTATAAAAAATATTATATTTAATTTAAATTAATTAAACGCACCACAAACGAAGGCACAATTATAAAAGTCAGGATTTTAAAAAGTTAATTTAATAAAAAATATTATATTTTATATTTATTATTGGAAAATATTGTGAAATATTTAATTTAATTATAGTTGCGATAAGCAGTGATAAGCTGCTGACAGGAAACATTAAAACGAATGAGACAACGACATTTGACGTTTGTTTTGACGTATTTCACAATTTTCTTTATGCGTAGAAAGAGAACTACTATTTGAGCTACTTACTATCCTTAATCTATACATGTTTTTTTAAATTGATGCACTTGAGTAAATAAATATCACTAAGAACAAGGAATTATCACTTTAAATTACATGATTGCCTCCTCTCTTCTTATGCAAATACAATTAGTAAAAAGAGGAAGAAAGATACACCTTTAGTCGCAATTCATAGCAGGCCAGTGTACAGAAAATGTTATACGGCCATATAACTCTACCAAATTCAAATAGAACCTGCTTGTATACTCACATACATTACATAAACTGTGTCAAACTGAAAGTCTTTGGAAAATAAAAAAACTGATTAAATTAGCAAGTTTTTACCTTTATTTTATCTTTTCAAAATAATGTCTGTTCACGTCAATACATCGTTGCATTCGATAGAACCACTGAGAAAAGCACTTTGCCCATTCGTCCTTAGGGATCTCTTCGATGGCCTTACTGTACCACTCTGCAGTAACTGTTTTTCGATCCTCTAAAACAATTGTCACGTAATGACTGATGAATGAATGAGTTAATACCACACGACGGAGTTTTTGAGCCTCGGTCAAATTATGAGGTATCCACTGGGCACAAAGCTTCCTGACCGCCAAATGTTCATGGAGGATTTTGTGCACTTGACTCATATCAATCCCTAATCTTGCCCGGATCTGCTGATAGGTCACTCTTTTGTCAGTCTCTATATCATATGCCGCACAACACTGATGTTATCTTCAGTCGTCGCCGTAGAAGGCTGTCCCTTACGCACATCATCGGTGAGATTAGTGCGATCACGTTTAAACTCATTAAACCAGTTGTAAACAGTGGCATCAGATGGGGCTTCAGCGTGAAAGGCCAATCGTAGTCTATCATAACTTTCTTGTTGACTTAGATGAGATCGAAAGTTATAAAAAATCATCGCACGAAAATTTTCTCGTGTTAAGTTCATGATAACGTTACACAGACTATTTTCAATTTGCCGCTAAACCGTAAAACAAATGACAAACGAATAAATTATATACTCAGTATTATTCGTAGAGTTCCATTTTCAAAATTTTAATAATTTTTTTTTTATTATATTGCTTTCAAGTAGCCAGTTCTAAAAATTTTCAGTGTAGCATTTTATCTATATATGATGAGATTCCTGTTACATTTTTTCTAATCTACTAACAATAATTCCGATACATACCAGTTAGGGGGCATCCATTAATTACGTGAGCTCTTTTTCGATTAGTTTAGACTCCTCCCCCCCTTAGGTGAGATTTAGTGAGATTTGCCTTGACCCCCCCCCCTTACGTGAGACTAACGCAAAAAATATTTTAACCTTAATTTATATTTATTATTCGGGAAAATAATAAATCGTTCAGGTATACTATAATTAATTTATTTAAATTAAATAAAATTCAAAGCAAAAACATAAAAACAACACTTTCTTTTAAATTTTTACTCAATCCAGGACACATATCATCTGGGATTTCTAGTAGTGCCGGAAGACAATCACTGGAAACGTCTACGTTTATCTTTAATATTTTAGTAATATTTTTAATATTTTATATTTTTTGAAGTTGACGTGAGATTTTTTACTACCCCCTCGGTGTAAATGAGATTTGGTGAGAATTCATTAGACCCCTCTCCCTCTATTCTGAGCTTACGTAATTAATGGATGCCCCCTTACATAATTAATCCATCACCTAATTTGGGTTTATTTTCAGATTATTATAGGTCTATTAGATTATTTTTGGTATGTTAACGGCGGTTTTTATTTTAATTTTATTATATATTTTAAATTCAAAATAATTTCGGTGTCAGGTAGATTCAATGTCAGGATAAGTCAGCAACAAACTGTTGGGTAAATAAAACCAGGAATACAATTTTTTTTTTACTGGAAGTTATGGAATGAAAACAAAGATCAGTTTATTAAACTTGCTTTTATTTTAGTGAAGCAATAATTACACCTTGGTACATAATATAAGTAATCGTATCCTTACACATTAGTAGGTACGTTTACAACTTTATTTCATGATTTGGGTACGTTACATTGAATATTATCGAATCAATTCTAAAATGGAGTTAGACACCGTTATAACTATGTATTTGAAATTGATTAAGTACCTACGCCTTTTAATTTATTTAGTACACACTGGATATGACACTTTATTTATTAAAAAACAAAAAAAAAGTTTTAAAATTTTTGTAACAATAATTATGTGAATATCTTCTATGAACCATTATTCATTAACATTTGATTGTGATATTTTTACTAAGCTCTCCTAATTAATGTAAGTACTCCCATAGTTCATTCTCGCACCCTCAAAATATACGAATAAATGGAATAAATGTGATTAACTAAACTAAGAGAACGAGTGCTATAATCTACGCTATTGAATTCTAATTTTAACATCTAAATTAGTTTAAAACCATTCGATAATACATAAATACATACAAGTTCGTTTTAGCCTTATTCACGATCCCTTTGCCTGCTTTTTGACTTGATTTTTATAATAATCGAGTAAATAACATTTCGTTGTCCAAACAGCCATAGGGACAGTGAGAGACTATTTTAATCAAATGGTTTTAAAATTTGTCACTAATTATTACGATATTATATTTTTTTTTATACAATTTGGACTTTCAAACAAGTAAATGGCTTCTTGAATGTAAAGTGAATATCATACAAGTATATTGTGACATTCATAGTATCCCTCACGAGTTGCCATATCTAAGGATTAGGATGTTATCTTAGAGTATTATATACAATAACTCATTATTTAAATCAAAAGAATAAGTAAATCTCACAATGTGAAATATATATATTATATATATATTTTTAATAATTAAAAATTACTACCAAAATTAGTTTATTTTTATTATATCTATAGTTATGGCAAATATTTTCAAAAATTTATCCCCTAGATTGTATATTGTTCGAAACTGCTATGAATAGGTATGAAAAAAATAATAACGTAGAATATATTAATATCGTAATAATTAACAGGGCCAATCACATCCGTGAAGTCCAAAATTACAAAAAAAGTTGTTTTTTTTTTCTAAATAATTAATTTATTTTGGACTTTGCGGCAGTGATGTTTATGCATTATTATAGACTATACCTAATTAATTAAATAACATACTTTTCTGGTGTGTTTTTATTTACCTTACAGTGAATGTTAATGTAACCTCAGTTTTTGAAACACGATTTTCAGTATCACGATGCGTATTTAGGTTCAATAAAATTTAATAATAGTCATTTTATAAATTTTAATTAAATAGTCTTTATATCGTAAGAAATTATGGTTATATATGTTTTCGAAAATGCTCTTATCCAAGACTATTATTTACTTATTTCTTATGTATTCGTGTTAAGTACATAAAATAGATATTTCTACTTTACAGCTGTGTTTCAAAAAGTGAGGTAAATATTAAAACTAGAAATAGAAAACAAATAAATCCTGATAATGTAATGATTTAATGATAACTGATGACTTTTTGTAATATTATTGTTTACCTTTGCCAATAAGATTTTATTTCATTTATTTATATTTATAGATTAAGTGCAACTCTCTGCAGATATGAAATGATTTTTACTGTTTTCAAGTGTTTTAGTTATACCCCAGATCATCAGTACGACAGAAATATTTTTTTGATTATATATCTAAATATTCCTGGTCCAAGGTTATAATAGAATATAGTTATCTGTGAGAATAGAATCCTTTAGATGTGTTGAGATCGAATGTATTAGTAGACATGTTTTTATTATCGCAAGAGAGAAGTAAAATTGGTACAATCCATTGATTTTTTCCTCACTTGTTTAAAAGACCTGACTATGTAAATATTTTTTAAATCTAGCAGATAATCGATGCTTTGCTTTATCCATAGATAAACATACTGGCCAAGGATGCCCAATTTTGATTATTTTTAATTAACAAATTACATTTAATTTTAACATAGACATTACCGTATGGTATATTTGCATTATTCAGTAGAAAGGAGATATCCAACCAAATCAAAATTATACCATTGTTGTACGAGCAGCCACAATGTAGGTATAGGTTTCAAATTCAATACAATTATGAAGTTTAAAAAGAATATAGCTAACAAAAATTACAACTTCACAGCTTTTTTGTGTTAACACTTCTTATCACCTGCTGCTTTTTATATATATTTTTATATATTATAAATAGAAAGGGATGAGAACGTTAATGTATAAAACAAGTGCCAAGTAGAAAGCTTAATACGTGAAATAAGTTATTTTGAAGTTTGAATAGGTTAATATTCCTTGAGGATTTTTAAATATGGTTGTTTTAGTGAAATATATTTGTCCAATATGGTTTGTGGGTACTTTATTTAAACAGCGTTATATAATTCTTTGCAATATTGAATCATAGTCTAATTCTACACAAACAGTACTATTATATTTTTTACTGCGTTAGTTATGCTCTTGCTGTTAGTTATGCTGCTCTAAAAAATTAATATTGAATATTTTCTAATCATTATAGATAGACACGAAATATGCATTATTTATTTAATAATGAACAACTTTAATACACATTTTCGTTTCAAATAGAGGTCACACATATTTTAAATAGGTAAATTGATTAATAACTACTTACAAGATAGGTTTACAAACAAAATTATTATAAACATACAATAAATCTTGTTATATTACGAAAAGTTTTGATTTAGTCGACAAACCCAACATTGCAACAAAAATGCTTAGTTTTAATTTACCTAATTAATTTATATTTAATTTAATGGACTGCAGTTAGCAAAAAGAACATAGGTTTTACAGTTAAAAGTACCTAGGTTAAATGTGTTAGTAGACAAACATTAGGTGTAGGTTGTAGGTGCTTTAGCAGGGTGTTAGGAAAATAGTTTGAAAAACTAAAACCGCATTATACTCGTTATTATAATATAAGAAATAATAAGTTATTATTTATTATGGACTAACTAAAACTATAATAACTAAAAGAAAAATTAGTTTCTCATATAGACAATACAATAGGCTGTAATCGGAATTATTAGCAACATTTTAAAGTAATAGTCTATTAAGGGAACTAAATAATATTTCTAAAAAAACTTGAGTCGAAAAACGACAAAAAATTTTGAAACTATACGAACACGCAACGTCCAGTTATTAAGTTCGTATAGGATTTTTTGTCGTTTTTTATGACAATGTTTAGTTTCACGGTTAGAATAATCTTTTGAATTAATAGAACGACAGTGATTTTGTTTTCAAACTAAGTATATATCTATTCGAGTTACAGATTATCTAAGTCCAAAATAGTTTTTTATACATACACATTGTAATTAGTAAAAGTAACGATATTATTTTACACACAAGATTAAAAATTGATTTAAGCATTGTGAAGCACTTTTTCAGCTTTCAAGTAAATATTTTAAATTAGGAATTAGTCTACATTTATTCCTACTGCTGTTATTATACAACAATCTTAGATAAATACCCACGACTAAACCTTGCTTTTACAAAAAAAAAAAAAATGAACCTGCATCCATCAATTTACTTTAGGCACGATACTCAATGGATCGTTTATTATTATTATTATATAAGTAGTATTATTTCTAAATAACTATATATATATTCTTATTCATACTCAACATCTATTAAAGTGATTTTACAAGCGTAGATTACATAAACACATGCGTATAGTTCGTTATCAAATATCAACAAATACAGGGATCAGAATTAAAACTGTATGAAGTAGATATAAAAATAAATGCGTCTAGTAACAATAAATTTAAGAAACTTGGTCCAAATCGAACAAAATGATCTTATTGTACGAACGCAACTAGTCTTTATTAGTTGTGAATGAAAGTTTTTCCACAAAGTTTTTACATAAGCCTACCTAAATTGGTTGGTAGCAAACAGTGACGACTTTCAGTAATTAACAAAGATGTATTATCTAAAAATACAATATATTTTCATCATAGTTTCTATAAAAAAAATGTGTTGTACACAAGATTGGATACGCAGTGAGTTTCAGACACCTGACATAAAATACGGTAATTTATTTATTTGATATTTTTCTGAGGATATTTTAACAACACTAATGACTACTGATAGTTGATATAGAGTTCATTATAACGGGCTGTTTTTCTTTTTACGTAGTAGGCATTCTTTCCAAATTATGAAACCTGAAATGTCAATTTTATTAACAAATAAATAAATGACAAAAAAAATTTAAATTTTGTCTCTGTGTGACTGTGTGTATGTATGTGTATGTGTGACTGACGGAATATATAATGCGTCACAACCGTTGGTTTATTTAAGGTTATATTTCATTGCAGCTTGGCGTCATACAAAGATGCACCAGACAAATCTGAGGTGGACACAGATGGCCCCCTCTTGATACACCTATGAGCACGAATTATTTTTGTTTCTAGAATGTTAAGGGCATAAAAGAGAACTACAGGTACTATCCTTAATCTATACAACTTTGAGATTAAAATAAAATTGACTTACTAGCACAAGGATATTCTAAAAAAATGTTTTAGCTGTGAAGCCTCTTTGTTGAATTACAATAAAATATATAAGTCTGTTTTAATAGACTTGAATAAAAATGTAAACAAAAAAATAATTGACCCGGTTTATTGCTGAGACAATATGCTGATGTCTAATAGTAATATTAATAAAAATGGGTTAGGTAATTAATAGAACATTTTGATTTGTTACTAATTTCGTGTAGAGAATATGTCTGTAATAACCTTAACAAAATTTGGTTACTTTTTGTATTGTAATAGTGTTTCTATAACGTATTATGAGATGTATTTTCAAGAAGCTACGTGTCTGATTAACAACAATTTTAACTCTTTAACGTGCTCTCCGACGACCGTCGCTTACAGACGGAAACAGTACAGTACAGGTAATGATTTTAATAATAATAATAATAAAAAAGAAATATTGTGAATAAGTTATTATAAATACCTTGTAGATATGTCCATACCTCGGCATGTCACTCCAAATATAAGTTTACAGACCTAGAAAGCAATTAATACTTGTTAATATTGGCTCTCTATCAATACATAAGTAGGTACGTAACAAGATGACAATATTCACAAATGCTTTAAATGTATTTTAAAATGTGCCATAAATATGAGTAAAAGTTTGTAGACACAACATTTTTATTATAAAGATTAGTACATTTTTCACAAAGTAGATAAGTAAGTATGTAATTAAAATTTCTGTGTTAGTCATGCAAATTTTTAATTACAAAGTTAATAAACATATAGCTTGAAAACATTACAGACATTACAATACGGAAGTTACAAAATACTATGAATATATGTTATATCTTCTCTGTTAATTTATATTTAATGATTTTGATTGCAATATTTACATATATGACTACATTAATTTACTTAACCATTAATCTCAATATTGCTTAACTAAATTTATCTTTTTTCTTCTAATATTCACTGGTAGAAAATTATATTTAGCAATAACTCCGCTTTTGCACCATATAGTAATTAAAGTTATTAAACAAATACATAAATTATTATAGTAATTAGCACGGATTTAAGCATTGCTTAGCTATGATATTGCTTAGTTATATAAAAGCATTTTTGTGTTCGTCTCAGAACAAGTTTATTGATTAGCTTGAAATAAAAAAATGTCCTTGATAAAATAAATAAATGGCATGGGAAAAACAGTAGACTGCTATAATAGATACTATAACGTCAAGATTCCAGAAAATCATAAATATGTAAGTATAATAATATTTTTCCGAGATTTCAATCTATTTAAAGCGTAAATTCTTAAAGAGAATTCTGCATTCATGAAATCATAAATTTAATGAACTCATAAATTATTATTATTATTCTAGTGTTTTTATAACTGTATATATTTAAAATTGGAATGTGTACTATAATTATTTCAGTATATACATTTTATCCAAATTCTCCAAGTTACAAGTTTGTTTTATTGGTTATATTTAGAAGTGTGCAGAATGTTTAAGAAGAAGCGAACTAAATTGGGGTTTTTTGGGACAGGCAACGCATTCTTGGATAAAGTAACTGACAAGCATTTCATCAATTCTAGTAACAGTACTAACAGTCCTGTAGTTTCTTATATAGAATCTTTTTAAAGATGAAAATATCCTAGATATAAGAACACATTTAGTTTTGCAAAGTAAGCTCAGCTTTTCCGAACCATTTATATTAGTGACGTCAATTCGAGGTATTAATTGGAATTCAGTATATTTTTTTTGGTAAATGTAATATATAATATATAGTTCATATTTGATATTTAGATATTATAATTTTAGTGATAAATTAATCATTATGCTAACTTTATAAAATTGGTTGCTGTATCTATTTTTATTGGTACTTGGCTTAGTTTGTCAGGAATAAAATAGGTTTTTAAATGTTTTAATATAAGTTCATTGAAAAAGTGTCAAGAAGTCACTGATATAATTGGCAGTTTTTATATCACTTTATATTATATAGGGCTATAGTCACAAAACTCAATATGGGGGAAGTATACAATCAGACATCGAATACATCAAAAGATGTTATTTTCTTTTATTTATTATATCAAACGTAAATACGTATCTCTATGCATTATTATAAGGAGTAAAAAAACATAAAAAAAATAAATAAATACATCAATATTTGAGAGTAATCAGTCCCCCAAGATTTTAAGAGTTCTTACAGACAATCGACACTGTGTAACGTCACATGGCAATGCCGATAATCTGTCAGAACCTTAAGATGACGTAATAGCCCATATAGCGAAGATTTGAAATTTTCACCAATAGAGACAGACATACGAAGTGACAGAACAGAGAAAGCCAACATTTATCATCAACAACCACAAATAGTTTGCCCACTTACCAACACAGGCTTAGTACCAATAATGTAATAAGAGAGTAACAACGTACGTTATATTACTATTTATTAACATTATAACAATTAACTTCTAAATTAAACTTCGGTTACCGAAAACTTGTTCACACAAAGTTGGCTGAAAATGTGGAAAATAAATGATATGATTAGTCTAAAATAAAAACAACTTAAACATTGATTGTCTAGTCTCTAGTGTGTGCTGATGTGAGTTCACGACTTACCAATGATTAGAGCCAAAATGATGATTCCAATTACGGCCGCAATGATCATCATCTGGAAATGGGAATATTGATGAAATATATACCTTAAATAGACACTTGTATGTATAGTAAAGAATATTTTAGGTATCATTTTAGTTTTGTTTTTAGAGGATGTTCGCAGTATACGTGATTTATCTATGATAATATATTATTAATTACGTCCTTTAGGCAGGTAGACATTACAGATTTCCATTTGCGTCTATTGTAACATATCCCTTTGGCTTCCATTATTTTCATACTCAAATTATACAATATGCGTTGATTCATAAAAATAAAAATGGAAAAGTGCATTCCTTGACTATATGGTTACACTAAGCAGGTCTTAATAGACCACATATAAAAAACAATACACACAGTTTTTTTTTGTGAAATTTAAACTCAGTTACTTGTGTTAGTAATTACATCACTAGTTCACTACTGCATTTGTACATAACATTAAAACCTTACAATTTCAAAATAAATAATTGAATTTAGGATTAAATAAATATATTTGTTAAAATAGATTTTAGTGTAGTGAGATATTAAATAATATAATATAATAATTATTAGATATTAATTACTTCTGTATAAATTTAAGATAAATTCAATAAACATTAATATGTATAGACTCTACCTATATAAAATACTATTGCGATAGTACCTTTAAATTTTGCAACCAAAATTTGCTTTTCAGTTTCCCAGCCTGCTGTTCGAACTGTGAAGCGCCCTGTTGCAGCGCATCTGAAGGAAAAGGAGTTGTTCACTAATATGGTAATTTTTATACATATGTATCTTAAATTTATCATAACATGGCGCAATTTTATCATTTTTGTGTAATAAATTCAAATCTCGTTTTGAATTTATATAGTCTTGAATTATTATAAATAAAATTACATTGAATTCAGTAACTACATTTAGATTTACCAGAGGGAGACTTTGTACAAAAGTCGATTGCTTGGGTACCTATGTCTCATTCGTGTTTCTATTGTGAAGCAGTTGTGTTTGCATGGCTGTGTTTCGGTTTGAAGGGTGGGCTATGGCGTAAATTTACTGGGTACACAGGAATAACACCTGAGTCCTCAGGAATGGTAACGCATGGGGGTATCATGGGCGAAACAGTATACTCTGTTATGTCCATGGTACTGCTCATATCTATAGGCGACGGTTACCACTTTCCATCAAGTGGGCTGTCAGCTTGTTTGCCATTCTAAGTTGTATAAAAAAAAAAAGATTAAATAATTACATTTTAATTAAGTTACTAAATTAAATTAGTCACATTGATTCATGAATTATAATTTCACAATTAATTAATTATTTAATAAATGATCGATAATAAAATATGTCTATAAGACCATCAGGGGACATTTTGATGTAAATTTGAATTTTATACCTGCTCTGTCATCTAATTCTGAGAGTTTCTGATCTCGTTCCAATACTTTTTCAACATTTGTTTTCATGATGTCCACCACCTGTAACATTGTTTATTAAACAAATTTTAGGAATAACATTATTAACTTGATTGTAGACTTTTTTTTAGACCATAATTATCATCATTTCAGCCATTACCCATCTACTGCCCGACATAAGGCTCCCCCATATACCACCATTAGGAACGGTTCCGAGCCACCTGCATCCACGGACTCCCTGCAATGCATTTGAAATCGTCACTTAATCTAGTGGAGGGTCGCCCTACACTGCGTATGCCCGTACGGGGTCACCACTCAAAAACCTTTTTTCCCCATCGGTTGGCGGTTCTTCGAGCTACGTAATTATTATTATATTATTTTTATTAGATTACACGTTAGTAATAATGTAAAGTATTGCCAATTTGCCTGCCAAATGTGGCAAAACCCCTCAGATGAGAGACCTATACTCAGCAGTGGACAGTTAACGGCTAATGATGATGAAGATGAAGGTAAAGTATGGACAATTATTTCAACTACTTATTAGATGAAGTAAATATTATTAGCGTCTTTGAAAGATACTATTATGTTTTATCAGAAAAGACAAGACATAAAAAAAAGTGCAATAAAAACCGAAAAAGTTTCAAGTCTCTCGTAGTAATTTTATTTTCATTCCAAATAAATAATACTTATAAATAAATCATTATTTATCACTGTCTTTGCTTCTTATAAATAGAATGTAATCTTAAAATATAAATAAATGTTTAAGTGTATCTAAATATTGACAAACAATTTGCTGTCCGACTTTTTATTGTGACGTAGTGTTTGCTTACGCTAGAGTCGTTCGGTCAACAAAACCGTTATTCCATTCTGACATTTATTGCTATATTATTATGGTTTATTTATATACAACTGAATTGAGAACCTATATATATATATATATATATAATAATTGACTTGGCTGGATAATTTTAAATAAAATTTGATTTTGAGCTCTTATCTAAAATCTCCGTTAATTTACAGAAGGTAGTCTATCCTGAGTTCTATCCTAATTTACGTGAACAAAGTCGCTAGATACAGCTAGTTTAAGGGCTCAATCAATCTTCATGAAATTTGCCATATGTATAGTATATGATACGGGGTATTCCCTTGACCTGAATAAAATAACCTATATAAAGACATAGGTCGTTATTCAGGTCATACGGAAGGACATAGGTTATTTTATTCCGTATCCTATAAAACTTACAAAGCCGGAGATTAAAAAGTTAATAACATCGTAAACGAATGCAGGGAGAAGCGAAGTAGGTAAAAGTTAATTGTTCCAAAATATTTTGAGGTTATAATCCAAACTCATGTATTCAAAAGAACAGTAATTAACGTATGTTAATGAATATAAAAAAGGAACTTTTTTTTACTCTAAGATTTAGGAATCGCGCAATTACATGACCACTTAAAATATTTGTTTTTAATTTTGAGTTGTTAGTATACGCGTATACTGAATTAACATTATAAGTTATTAAAAAAAAATATTATTTTAGTAGCCTGATATGGTTTTTACAGGGTTCAAGTACTTGTATAATAATACAAGTACTTATTATAATAATTATTATGATTCTAATGTTTGTATTGATTAGAAATATTCCACGGCTGGCCGTGTGGTCTCGGCATGGTCGTGTGGTCCCGGTATAGAATAGGTCACCCTTTCCTTTCCCATGGATGTCCTATGAGGCAATTAAGGGAAGATGACGGATGTGCAGCAGCGCCCCTCTTAAAATATCTCTAAATCCCAATTGCAGTTGCCAATCCGCTTGCTAAGCGTGGTAACTGCTGGCAAAGTCCCCAAAGGGAAGCTTATCTTCAGCAGTGAACAGTTAAAGGCTGTTATGATCCCACGTCTGTACCTAAATGATCTAGTATATAAAGTATCCTACACGTTAAGTTAGCATACAGCTGCTCATATACAAATTTTATCCAAATCCGTTTAGTAGCTTTTACATAAAAGAATAACAAACTTCTAACCATCCTTACAAAATTTCACCTTCATAAATATAGTAGTAGGGAGTTAGTAATAGAGAGAACATACCTCGTCAACTTGTGCCTGCGTCTGTTGGAGGCGACGCTGGGCAGCGATCTGCTGGGGCGTCTTGGGCCCGCCCACGGGCAGGTCGCCGTCGCCGGCCGGCGCCAGTCCGCCCTCCGTCGCCCTACGCATCACATATTAGAATTAAGGGACGACGTCATATTTATTAGTTGTTCGAAGATATTAAAAGGAGGTACAGAAATACCGCCTCAATATACGACGATATCGCGTTTGATTCTCGCATTTACAAGCTAGCATTTGTATTCACGAGTATGTCTGTTTGTATTGGTCTTGGTATTTACTATGATTATATTATACAAAACATAAATAATAAAACAAATAAATATGGGTATATTTAAATATATAGGTCATAATTGTATACTTTTTTTGTATTTTTTTTCTCTTTTTCTACATGCCTATCTGTTTGTTATTATTTGTGTGCTGTTAGTAGTACAAATGAATTATGTGTCTATCTATATACAAAAATTAAATAATTGATTCCACAAAAATAACGTCCATAATCATGATGAAATTTATATGAAACTTTAATCGTATCTGAAATGTATTAATAAAAATGGACTCCGAACCGGCGAAGTCGCGTACTTAAAATACACACACCCAGTCGGATTTAGAACTTTTTTATTTTTTAATTTATAATATTAGCATGATTAAGTGACTTCAATAAAATTCATTTGTCAGTCAGAACTACGAACTTACTGACATTTTGTCGGAAGGAATCTAATAATAAAATTTACTGAATTATAATTATGAGAGACAAGACTTGTGATTAGAAGCTACCTTGTTGAATCAATTGTAATTTGAATAATTCTTGTATATTAGGTTATTAAAATTAAATTTGTTAAAGACAAGTACTAAATTGATAATATGCCTACACGATAATTTAATAATTTGTTAAAAAATCAATATCTTCATAATTTGTATGGGCATTGTATTGTAATTAGTTCACAATTAGCGATGATTATTTTATTTTATATAGTCGTATCGCCGTGTGTACTCCGGCATAGAATGGGCCACCCCTTCCTTTCTTGTGGGTGTCGTAAGAGGCGACTAAGGGAGGGCGAGGGATGGGCAGCAGTCGTCTAACCCGCCTCCCAAGCATGAAAACTACTGGCAAAACTCTCCTTATGAGAAGGCTTATGTCCAACAGTGGACAGTTAACGGTTGAAATAATTAATAATAACGTAGTCGTAGTCGAATTTTTTTTCAATAAATACAATTTTGCGAATTTTAATAATAATTTCCAATGGGAGAACATAGTGACTCACCACTTTAAGTTTATTTCTTAATTTTTTTATTTAGGTGCTTTCATAGTACAACATGTTAGCTCTAACATATCGTAAACTTAGTTATTATTAAAGTATAGAGATCCATTAAGACACATATACCAATTTCAGTTTATGTAATTTTAAGTTAAAAAAATTAATAATATTCTTACCCTTAGACCTTATATATTAAGACAACTTTTTCGTAGTCATGAGTGTTGTTAGTAATATATTTAAAAGAGAATTGGTCCCTTAATTTAAGCCGTTCTTTATTAGATTATCGTGAGCTCGGCCTGTACTCAGGTTTCGAAGGTCGATCGCAGCTGAACACTATAGTTCGAAATCTATTTGGTTTGTTGGAACGAAATTAGAACAACCTTAGATAGGTTGTCCTATGCATGTGCATTTATCACAAAAGTCACTATTTTATTTTCATTTGTTGGTTTGGTTTGAGTCGTGTTTAAATTTGAGAATTGCTCGGCACTATTAGTTTCGGACTTGGTAATTAAGGCAGCCCATGTAATACACGTATGTACGAGTAAAGTTGTAATAAACTTTGTTATTGTATTATAATACCGCCGTGTCGGCCTCACCATAGTATTCTATGGTGACCACCCCTTCCTTTTCCGTCGGTGTCGTATGTAAGCGTCCCTCTTAAAACATTTCCAAAGCCTACCTGCGATTGTCACTCCGCTTGTCGAGCGTAACAATTACTGGCAAAACCCTCCTAAGGAGAGACTTATGTTCAACAGTGGACAGTTAAAGGCTCATATGATGATGATGATGATGATTGTATTGTAAGTACTTGTATCGACTAAACTTGTGCTTTAATTTTGAGATTGTTTTGTTCTATTAGTTTCGAAATTGATAATAATTTGGACAACTCATTTAATATATTATTATTTATATTATATTATTATAGTATTATATTATTTGTCGTTCTAATAAACTTTATTATACCTATTTATGTGACTTGGCTAGTGTTTTAATTTCGGTATATCTCGGCTCTATTAGATTCGGACTCGATATAATTAGGACAACCAGGTATCTTATATGTGTATAGTTCTAATAAACTTTATTATAATTTTGGTTTCGATGGGAGTCCTTATTCACGAACATGATACGATGATTGAGTCCGAAATTAGTCGGATATTCCCAAATAATTCGAATAAATTACGGAAAATTGCTAAAAGTATCTAATCATAAATAAAAATATGTAACAATAATAATGTAATAATAATAATAATGGCAGTTACATGGGCTAATAAAACAAATTTTTAAGAGTATGGCTAGAAAATAAAATTAAAAAATGCTTTTATTATATATTATAGAAAAATAGTTTATTTTATATTAGAGTAATGTCTCTAAGGTTAATGTAAAGTACAAGAAATATATTTTATTTCTTCTACCGACTTCAAAGAAAGAGATTTTCAATTCAGCTGTATTTTTTATGTTTGTTTTTTCCTCCTCCTCCATTATCTATAAACTAATTTTGAAAATTATTTTTTATCTGAAAAAATATACTAGCAGAGTGACCTTATAGAAATTTTATAAAAATCGTTTCAGTACTTTAGTTTTTAATTTAAAATAACTAGTTTTGCCACAACTGAAGTAGATTCTTTTATGAGACACAATATTAAATTATTTCGCCGTAGTATCAGTGGGCCGGTTTTTGTGAAAAAGCAAAGTCATAATTAAATTAGAGCTATATTATTACACTTTCCGTTTTGTCCTTAGAGGTAACCATTCAGAGGGTAACCCTCATAAATTAAGGAGAGTACCTGTGTCTACAGTAACTCGAGAGCGGGTTTGTTTACTTATATATACATATATTTAAATATCACAGAAATATTAACATTTTAGTGTTGTAGTAAGTACTAATTATGAAATTGTTAAATGCTTCATTAAATTAATCGCAATCGTGAAAAAAATTATATAAACGACATCGATAGTAAAAGAAACATCAAAATCTGTTCTAATTAATATAACTTATAATTAATGATTACCAAAAATAATACATGTAAAAATGTTGCATGTCAAACTGGCTGAATGTTAAGGTTACACAAAAATGTATAATATTATCTAAACTTACCTAAACTTACCAGAGGGAGACTTTGTACAAAAGTCGATTGCTTGGGTACCTCTGTCCCATTCGTGTTTCAACTGTGAAGCAGCTGTGTTTGCATGGCTGTGTTTCGGTTTGAAGGGTGGGATATGGCGTGAATTTACTGGGTACAGAGGAATAACACCTGAGTCCTCAGGAATTGCAACGCATGGGGGGTATCATGGGTGAAACAGTATACTCTGTTATGTCCATGGTACTGCTCATGTCTATAGGCGACGGTTACCACTTTCCATCAGGTGGACCGTCAGTTTGTTTGCCATTCTATGTTGTATAATTTGTTGTTGTATAATTAACATACTGTACAATGTAGGGCACTCTTAAACCATATTGTGACAAAGAATGACGTATGTTCAAATAATAATGTGATGTTTAAAAATAAGTATATAAAAATACGTTGACGTACAAAATGATGAGATTGAATACCGGTTAGCAGTGTTAAATTGTAATAAAAATATTTCTATAAGCAAAGGGAATATAGAGAATCAAATCTTTTTTAATATTATAAACGTGAAAGTGACCTTTTAGTACCTTAACGGTTGAGTCAATCGTCGTGAAATTTGGTATATTGATATTATTATAGGTTATAGAATATAGGTCACTTTTATCCCGGTCAATCAATAAATCTCAATCACGTGGAAGAATTGCAAGGTAAGAACTAGTTACTTAAATAAAAATGAACTAAAAATGGATGTGAAAAGGGTAACGGTAATTTTATATGGTTTAGTAGCGTCATTTTGTGGTGCTCTGTAATACAATTGTGAAGCAGTGTAAAGCAAATGTGTTTGCATGGCTGTGTTTCGGTTTGAAGGGTGGGATATGGCAGTGAATTTACAGGGTGCAGAGGAATAACTGCTGAGTCCTTAGGAATGGCAACGCATGGGGGGGGGGGGGGATCATGGGCAAAACAGTATATTTTGCTATGTCCATGATATTGCTCATGACTATAGGCGACAGTTACCACTTTCCATCAAGTGGGTTGTCAGTTTGCCATTTTAAGTTGCATAAAAAAAGCAAGTTAAGTACCTAAATATTTATTATCAACTAGCGTTGCTCGTGACTAAAGTTGTGTAGGTACGGTACCTATTTACTTGTATATTAAATTTATTGAGAATTAGTTGGGCTGTTAAGGTGTCAATATGTAACAAACAAACAGATTCCTCCTCAAATTTATAATAATCATAATATTTTTATTTGATGATCTCCGTAGAGCAGTAATGAACGTGTCGTTTTGCATTAATTAGGTCCCGGCTTCGGTTCTCAGTCGGGTCAATTTAGGAAATGAACTTTTTTGAAATGGCTTTGGTTTAGGTGTTCTAGGTTGCACCTCTAGATATTAATGACCTGGTTCCTTATAACCTAGGGTACCTTGAGGACTAGGTCATTGGTGTGACTGATTGTACTTTATTAAAAATAAGGATAACTTTTACCATAAGCAATGTTTGAGCGGAGTTTATTAACTTTAAAATGTTATGCCTGGTATTGTTAAGTTATATAGTCCCTTTACGAGATTTTTTCATTTAAACAATTCAATACATAATCGTTTCAATCGGACACTCAAGTCACAAGACATCATCGGTCAAAAACATTCCCAACTTTATCCATATTTAATGTATTTTTATAAAAAATGCTTTAAAGACTCACAGATAAAGTTCATATTTTATTGTATGCTTTTTCAATAAAAAGGTTTATTGGCGCGCTATGGTATTGTCGCATATATGTCCGATATAAATGGAATTGAATCACCATGCGGTGCGAAAATTGGTTTAGTTAGATACCAATCGTCTTTTAGTTACAGGTACCAGTACATATTATACTAGTAGCCTGTCCATACATCGCACATGTGAAAACATTCAAACCTTTTGTAAAAATTATCTAAATGACAGTGAAATCAGTAACAAAAGGCGTCAAGAGGTAATAAATTCATTTTTACATGTTTCTAATATAATGAAATTGTTGCTACACAATATCTGTACATGGGAGATATTTAAAGAAATAAAACGTCTCGTTTTAATAAGAGCAACAAAAGCAAAAAAAATATTTTTTAGAAATTTGGCCAGTCTGTTTGTTTGTTCCCACATCACGCAAAAACTACTGCATCAAATTGGAAGTGGTTATACAGTTGTATTCTTGAAGGTCTAACTTATACAATGTGGTACTTTACTTAGATAGTCCATTTAGAAATTGATCTATTTTATTGGTTTAATTATTTCGGAAATTTATCATATAAGGTAGAGGAAATAAAGCATGTTTTAAAGCTATATTGTATTATCTGCAGTTTATATCCATTTTTATCAAAATATTTTTTATTATATGATACTTAGAATGACAAATACGCTGACGGCCCATTTGATAGAAAGTGATAACAGTCCTCCATAGACAGGAGCAGCACCATTATACTGCATTACAGAATAAATTTTTATGCATCCACGTCTTGTAAATTGACTGCTGTATTTTATTCTTCAACTTAAAACATAGCTATTCAAGCTAGTTCAAAATATAGCGATTTCATACACACGAGTGGGATAAAGGTACCCTTATTGATGATTTATCTATAAAGCCATCTTCTGATAGACTGGTAAATCCTTAACGAAATAACATTTTGATATCCCATTTTTAAGAAAAAGAATATTAAAAATAATAAAAATAAAATGTTTAACGTTGATTTCGTAAAAGCCTGTTTGTCTCAAAGGTCAATCTTTTAATTAATTCGCACAGATACCTACCTAACAGAATTAGAGCCTTCAATTTTCGTAAATTAATGTTTATTTCGTAATTACAAACTTTAAACTGAAAGGTTATTGTGGCATTTAGAGGTTAATGGAAAGACGGCATAGGTTCGAATCCTGCTTCTGATGTTTGAATTTTTAAAAGGTATTATTAAAAATAACAATACCTTTTAAAACTTCATGAAAATTTCGCATAATCTTTGTAATTTAGACCTCCGAGCTGCAGTGGTGGGCACGTTGTTTTGGGTAAATGAGGTCTCCGCTTCGATTCTCGGTTGGGTTAATTTAGGAAACGAACTTTCCTAAATTGGCTCGGAGATAAATGTTTTGGGTTGTACACCCAGATATTTATTACCTGGTTCCTCATCCAAACACGCTACCCTGGTTTACGGTTCCGTACCTTCTCAAAACACAAGTTATGCTAAATCGAGGATTGGTATAGCATTTATTACTATTATTCTTATTTATAATTTATTCATACTTTTGAAAACAGTTGAAAGAAAGTTTTTAATTCGTCTGGGTGTTTATTTTTTGTTTGTATGTAAGTTACGCGGTATATTTATTAAATTTGAACAGATTTTGTTAGGGTTTTGTTTTTGCAGCGAATTCTCTTGATAGTTCTATTATATCATGAGTGAAATCGTTATATTTCTTTTGTAATACTATCTATTGGTTATCTTATATGATAGACAATATGATATATTTATTTAACATATGATAAAAATTAATGTAAATGTGGTACAAGTTAAATTAAGTGTACTCCAAAAGTGCAAAGAAATACATATACATACAGACTGTTAGAGTGCACTTAATTTTCGTTTTGAACCAATACCAATTGTTATTTTAAACTTTATGTTTTGTTAATTTATGAGTTGTTATTAACAATATAAGTAATGATGAGCTAAATAATAAATAATAATTATTATAAATGTGAATGTGAGATTGTTTGTTTATTAGTTTATAGCGCCTAAATAGCATAACCAATAACTATAAAATTGGTATATATGTACTATATTAGATGGAGAAGGATATATTCCGGTCAGTAAATATATCCTGGTCACGTATCGTAAAGATCGTAGAGAGTGCCCATAGAACTCTTTTCTTCGTTCGCTTTTTAAACCACATTTTATTGGTCAATAATGTTTAAATAAATTAAGGAATATTTCCATACGCTTATTGTTAACATTTAAGATTATTTTCTATAAGGGTCTTATGGCTGAAAGTGGTGGATGTTACTTATAAACGTGAACAGTACCATCGACATCACAGAATCATCATCATCATCATCATTCTTGCGGATGGTGGCATGCCTCTGCACCCTGAAATTTCACTGTCAATATCCCATGTTTCACACCGAAAGACAGCTAAACAAATACCGTCACTACACGGCAGAAACATGAATGAATGGGACAGAGGTACAAAGGCAGACGATTTTTGTACAGAGTCTCCTTCTGGTCGCCAAGATAGGATACTATATTGATCGCTCAATTTTCATAATGCATATAAATGTAACAATTATTATATTCTTAGATGTTTTCGTGTAAAAAAAGGTGTTTATAATCTGTAAGAAAAGTCAAAGGTTGGTAAACTCAGTATGGGTTCTTCAAAACGAGTATATTAACGTTTAGGGTTGGCAATGGGCAGATTATACCCCTAGTGTTCATAGCAAGCGTTCATAGGCTATAGTGACCGTTTACTGTCAGACAGGCAATATGGTTGTTTGACATTTTAGTGGTATATAAAAAAAAGTCTTCCATGGCGCTATTTTCTTTTTCATTTTTCATCAATAATACATTCAAGGAAAGGCGAATTAATCTTTTTGTGAGCGCTAACCACGCAGTAAAAACTCGACAAATCTTGAGGCTTTGGAATATTTTATCCAGGGAGCGAAATTAAGTAGGCAGGCATTTCAGGAATCCGTATCATGTTATGAAACAGCAAAGGAATTATATTTATTTGATTATATTTTATAAATAAATATTTTTATAAACCTATCTAAATGATATAACGGAAGGTATAAAATAGTTCAAAAAAGTTTTAGTTAAAAATTTTAATTTACAAAACAAATCTATTGTGACAAATTTATTTATGTTACGTATGCATATATGAAAATTTAAAAAATATTTTTATTTAGTATATTTTTTAATTAGCTTTCTAAATATAGTTTTGGAATCTGTAATTTTCAGTTGAATTTAGTAGTATAATTTAATTTAATAAATTATGGTTAGTAATATTATTTATCTTAAATAAAACCTACTTAATTACTACACTGATCAATCTATTAACATTTTTATGAATAATATATGTACAATATATAATGTATACTGTAAATCTCTTTTTTATTTGTTGTTGTTAATTAATTATCAAAAAATAAGGAAGAAAATTATATATCTAATTTCACAAAATTATAAAATCGTTACAAAAAATTGTCTCTAACTGTAATAAGATTAGTATAAAATAGTAGGAAAATATAGAAACGGTATCTTTGAATATTAATTCATTCAAATCGGAGTCGAATAACTAAATCCTTAAGTACCTAATCGAACCATCTGGTGATCAAAAAGCTGGGACATTCCTTGGCGACGTATCTAATCGGCTATACTGCCAGCATCTTTGTATATTGTCACACAGGCCCAATTTTATACATTTATTTATTGTTGTTTATCACATTTACTTGAACTTTAGATCAATATTTAACACCATATAATGTACAGCATAATTATTATTATATAAACAGGAAATACAACTTACATTTTTGATGTCCTGCTTCACGCCACAAAAGAAACCGAAGCAGGCGATCCGCTTATCGATTGGTCGCTCACAAATTCAAAATCCGAAATGATTACACTATTAATTATATTTTGCTCGATCTGGATTCCTTCACAGCTCAACACGAAATGAATGTGTTTTATGAATGGAAAGCGGTTGCTAGATTTCCCTACAAGTATATTATATCGAGGAACTGTCTATTTTTAGTAAAAATGTTTATACAAACACGATTAATATTGATATGAACACACACTGTTCCAACGGTATTCGGTTGATTAATAACACAATTAATTTTAGTTTTAAAACGTAGAAATTCTCAAAATATATTGAAGAGAAAAACCTTCCGCTGCCAGGTTTTCCTATTTGTATGGGAGAGGGCGCGACTGTATTCACCATAATAGGTACGTATTGTCTAAAAATACCATATTTCACAGGGTTAACGAATCTGTACCTTAGTGTGGTATGGAATAAGGTTGGGAAGAGGTTTTTTGGGGAGCGGCAAAGATGTGCATGTGTGATTTTTGGTTATAGCGGATGTGTGTGTCAGAATATTGGCGCATGCGTATACAAATGATGGTTGTGGCAAAAATCGATTGCTGGCGGTATGTGGGTGTTACGTAATGAGAAGACATGTTCGCAACGGCGCTTCATGCTGGCTCTAATTGGGAATAATATTATGATAGAAAAATCTCGATAGTATATGTGTTTAATTGAAGTCTCTTTACAAAAATATATTATTTGTCCCATAATTGTTTTAGTTTTAATTTTTTTTTGTATTATAGGTTATTACAACTTATATTGCTGATTTCTTAAATCTTACCTGATAGAGGACAGTATAACTGTTAGAGTAGATACTTATGGCTGTAGCATTAAGTACGAATTTGCTTTAATTTATTTTTAATGGAGTCATTAAAATTCTTACAAATATCATCAACCCTCGACCTCCTTCATAGATTGCCATAAGGAATGATTCTGAGCGTCCTGTATCTACTATCTACCCTACTAGATCGTTCCAACTAGCAAGGGACCGTTCATTGCTGCATTTGTCTGTGCAGGGTCACCATTCGAGGATTTTAATCCCTATTGGTTGTTGATCCTTTTAACTATTTAGCCTGTTTTTGCTACATGCGATTTCCTACTAAGATTGTAAATGTGATTTTTTACAAAGATGTTAGCACGTATTTCATTTTTAATAAACGCTTAAATGGCTCAAAGGATTTGAATGAAATTCAGTAAAAAGACGGATCATATCTCATGACCATCATATTTATAACATTAATGTATTTTTTTATTTATTTGACGCGCGTGTCATGGCGCGGAAAATAGCTAGTAACTAAATAATTTATATGTAATAAATTTTTGTTTTTAATTATTTATTTATTTTTTATCTTAACGACTCTACGTATCCTCACGAAATATGATGTACTATTTAGAAAGGAGAAGGACATAGGATACTTTTTATCCCAGGTAATCAACATAATCCCAGTCACGCGGAAGATGTCGCAATTAGGGCAATAATGTTTACATTAATGTAATATTATTTAGTAGGATAGAATTAAACTTGAGCTACTGTTTCTAAGTAAAAAGGAGAAAGTAGCTACCTAATTCTGCTTTATTTTTTTTCTGAGCCTATTACATAATTTCATTTCGAATTTTAAATCGATTTTGATAATTATTAAGGTAATCGTATTCAAATTAATTTTATAGCAATTGCAGCGGCAATTAATAATAATATAAGTGCCACAAAATCACAACAGTTTACTTCTTTGTGTACTAAAAAACTGTTTGTTTGAGAATGAAAATATACATATACAAATACGTGATTCTGCGTTTAAATTCAAATATGTATTCATAATGTAATGTAATAAATATATCTACGAAACAGCTCTTGGTTTGCCGGTATGTGCATTTGTTTGTGTTCACGAAATATTTAATATATATCGTATTATTTTAGTATATCTCTAGGGATGGTATACTAATATAATTTCTATTTAAAATCGTTTTATCTTTGTACTATATAAAATTCTCTGGGGAAATAAGTAATTTTGAATATTCCAGTTATGGTAAACTAGATTTTCTCGCAATCTCGCCCACATGCAATCTCTATGCTGTTAATTCAGTAGGATACATAAAACATTTTAAATTTTCCTTACAAAGTGGGTATAACATTTTAGTTTCAAATTTTTTTCGACAAAATTCGAAAGAATCATTTCACGTTTTGCAAAGATATTGTGTGTTTATGTAAAAACCTTCTTTATTGAAGTTGGTAATAAATTGCCTCGTCACTTCAATCTTATATTTTAATGTCGTGATATCACCAGATATTGTTTATAAACGAGGTCGACTGAAAACAACCCTCGTTTCGTTATCAGGGGTTAATTGAATGGAATGACGAACACTCAATAATCCAAAACCAATGGGTTTCTGGGCTTCATTTGCAGACTTTAATTTGAATTCAGATATAATCTACAATATGGATATACGAGGTTTGTCTGGAAAGTACGTATAAAAGTTTTTTAAAAATTTTATTTTACAATTATTCAGGTAAATCAATTTTATCCCCTTCAAAGTACTCCCCCTGTGACATAATGCACTTGTGCCAACGCCGTTTCCACTGTGAGAAGGCTCCTTGAAAGTCCTCTGGTTGTAGGTTTCTCAGCTGCCCCGTCGTAGCTTTTTTTATCTCATTTATGTCCCCCAAATGCCGCCCCCGAAGTACCAATTTGGTTTTTGGGAACAAGAAGAAGTCACACGGGGCCAAATCCGGCGAATAGGGGGGGTGTTCGGTCACCGTAATGGAATTTTTACTCAAAAACTCACGGACAACAAGAGAGGTGTGGGCAGGGGCATTGTCGTGGTGAAGAATCCAACGCCCCTCTCGCGCCAATTCTGGACGAACTCGTGCCACACGAGCTTTGAGGCGTCTGAGCACATCGACGTAGAATTTTCCATCAACTGTCTGGCCTGGAGGGACGAATTCTTGATGGACAATCCCCCGAACATCGAAAAAAACAATCAACATTGTCTTGACATTTGAGCGGGATTTTCTTGATTTTTTTGTTCGTGGTTCCCCGGATGTCTTCCACTCTTTGCTTTGGGATTTTAATTCGACATCAAATTCGTAGAACCAAGACTCATCTCCAGTGATGACTCGGTTCAAAAAGTCACCATTCTCTTGATTACGACGCGCTGCTCTTCAACGGAAGCGGGCTCCATGCCGACGGGGTTTCGTTAAGAGGTAACTTCACAGATGGCGTGACAAGCCAGTTCGCACCGCACGGCGGTCAGACCAGAACTGAAGCATTGTTAGGGACATAAGGAAGGGGTCCTGCGCTTACCTGGCCTCCCCACTCCTCTTTCTCGCATTCCAGAACACTTTTATACGAACTTTCCGGACAGACCTCGTATATATTGACTGATGTCAAGTATAGGTAATTCTTACTCTTAATCTATATTAATATTATAAAGAGAAAAGATTTGATTTATTGTTTGTTATTAATGGATAAAGTACAAAACTACTTAACCAATTTTAAAATTCTTTTCTCTATAGCCTCATTGATAATATATTAAGTTATATTATTAGCGAGAAATATAACTTATATTATCTATCCATCTCTTATGCTCCTCAGTGTCCCTATTAGAACATTACTAAAAACCTAATGCGGTTGCCAATTTATTGAGAAAACCCCTTCTTGGGGGGGGGGGAGGGATTATTAGCAATGGAGTTTGACCGTCCCATTGCTAGCAATATGCCCTATAGGTCGACCTCCACGTGGTTCCCCCTGGAAACTATCGTGAACAATTCTTGTTGAATTTCTCACGATGGGCTAACTGACCTGCTTTATCCTCACCTATCATCCTTCACTGGTGCCCCGCCGGTGTATACCGATAGCGCGAGCGGGGTTACCATTCCATTATCAGCTATTAAAAAAACCCTTCTTATGAAGTAGGCCTATGTTCAGCAGTGGACAGTTAAAGGCTGATATGATTATCTCGTATGTTTAGCACGAGACGGGTCAGGTTCAATCATTAGTAAATTGTAAATGTGGAAGAAATTTTTTCTTTGTTCATAATCTTGTAATCATTAATATTAGAATAACCGTGAAGTATGCTGCTTTTGTATATATTTTATTAAATTTGGTATATACTCGTACGTAGTGTTTGGGATTGAGAAAGAAAGCATTTATACTTTTTTTACTCCGTTTTAGGGGACAAATTCATGGGCAATAAACATTAATAATAATAATACCTCAGACCGTTGGGACTCCGAGGTAGCTCTTTTCCGGGAAAGATGTAAAAAGCGGTGCTCCTGCATACTGCCCGCATAGTACACCGGTTTCTCCCCCTGGGGCCCTAAATCCTGGCTTACTGTGCTTCTGCCGGGAGTTAGTTTAAGTCCCTTCTTAAGAAGTGGAGACGTGAATATTGTATAAAAATCTATCAATGCCGGAATTATTGGAATTTAGAACTTCGAACTAGTTGAAAAGTCACAGTCCGAAATAGGTATGTCTGGAATAGTTTGGATCCGTGCCGAAGTATTTATGATCCCTAAACGCGTGGGCGCTAGCTGGATGTCATAATGAATATAATGAACTTAATTTCTCCTCAGAGAAGTGAAAAAGCGTTTATAATTCAACTGGAAATTGGACGGAAATTGCACTGGCTTTTTCCCGCGACCTTTATTTAATGAACTAGCCAGCTATACTCCTACTATTTAACGTAAAGACTTATCCATGAAGATTGCTTAAAGAAAAGGAAATTTCTAGAAAACAATAATATTTTAAGATTTTGCTCCACAATAAAAACTTTAATTTGGACCAAATTTCAGTAAGACTAACACGTCTTCTGCATCGGTACTTTTGTCCCATTCTGAGACTATAGAGTCCTATATATAGAGGTATGCTATTTAGAGCCCTAACTAGGCCTAGATTTTAAATAACTCTACTTAAACTCTAGAAAAAAACAAAGATCATTTGATAGCAACTCTACTATCAAATGATCTTTGTTTTTTTCAAATGATCGTTGTACTTTCAAACTGATCCTTTTTTATTTATACTACTGAGGTGGCAAACAAGTATACGGTCTACCTGATGGTAGGCGGTTACCGTAGCCTACGAATGCTTGCAATACAAGGAACATTATGCGCGTTGCCGACATTGAAAAAATCTCTCCACTCTTTCAAAAAGAAGCGTTAACTGCTTTTTAATCGACTTCAAAAAGAAAGAGGTTTTCAGTTCTGTTGTATTTTTATTATGTTTTTCACCTCATAATTTCGTTAGTTACAAATTATTTTTCTGTCTAAAAGGATCTTACTTCCATAGAAATTTTATCAAAATCATTTTAGTAGTTTAGTTTTAAATCAAAATAAATACCTTTGCCACAATTAATGTAGACTTTTTTTGGTGGGTGACACAATTTTAAATTAATAGTATAAAATAGGGTATAAACCTAACTTGGCAGAAAAGTTGACATTATATGACAGTTTTTATTATTATTATCAACTTGAAATCCAAGTCATGTTATTTTTAGAGAGAGATTGTACGTCTGTTCAAGCACTTCTGTCCCACTGGAATCTCTGCCGCTACGTATTTGTTCTTGTGTGAGTGTAATAAATTTGATGGATAGAATATGACAACAAAATTTTGGCTACAGAGTAATTAGTTCTTAGGAATGTGTGAGGGGATGAGGGGTACCATCATAGATTAAGAATGGTACCTGCGGATACTACGAAGAGTTCTGTTAATATCTTTAGGCTGTCAGTTTCGAGTAGGTTTTGTATTTTAAGATAAAAAAAAAAAGAATATAATTTATGTAGCTATATAAAATTTTTGTGTCTGTATAAACAGAATAACTGATGTGTGGGTTTACGAAAATTAAAGGTAAATGTCAGAGTTAATTAATACTTTGTCTATTTAATAACAAGAGTGGCATTTATTATTTATTTTAATTACGTTTATATTTTATAAATAAAAAACTTGCTATATTTTATTCATTATATATAAAGGTATATTGTTTAAATATTAAATTATATTTATTGTTAGGAAAATATAGTAGACCGATACCTGTCTTCTTAATATTACCGTGCTTAATAGCGATATATTGATGGGTAGTTATGATATTTTTATTAAAGTACTAGCGGCCTTTCCCGACGTCGCACGGGTGGACGTTTTTACATTTTAAAAAGTGGCCATTAAGTCTGCACACGTGACGGAAGCTTAAAAATGGAGTAACTTCTCCCGTTTTCCCAACATTTCCCTTCACTGCTCTGCTCCTATTGATCGTAACGTGATGAAAAGTATACTATAACCTGCCCAGGAGTATGAAGAATAATTGTACCAAGTTTCGCTAAAATCCGTCGAGTAGTTTTTGTTTCTATAACGAACATACAGAGACAAACAGACAGACAAAAATTTTACTAATTGCATTTTTGGCATCAGTATCGATCACTAATCACCCCCCGATAGTTATTTTGGAAATATATTTAATGTACAGAATTGACCTCTCTACAGATTTATTATAAGTATTGATGCCAAGCGTGGCAACCCTCCCCTTATGGGGAAGGCTTATGTTTAGCAGTAGACAGTTAATGGCTGAAATAATAATAAAATAACATGACATTACAACATCCGGCGAGACGTAAGCTTGTTACACGACTATAATATTTTTAGGGTACACATATATGTTTCAGTTTCTTTTCCATCATTATAAATGCCTGCATGCACAAATTTGAGTATATGGTATCGTTAGATTCCTTACGTATTTTCGAGTGATACTGGCTACAATTTTTTTCCAAAATAGTTATATTTTGGTAGGACAGTGGCATTTTTTTTTATTTACGATACAAAACGTACTTAATTGTTATTTCAGTGGTAATAATATCATGAAAACGTTTTATTTTTACTTGAACATAGTAACTAAAATTATTGTGCTGACCACATAGTTCGAAGAATCGATTAGATAAGACAATGATGTTACAAATTGATAGAAAATAGAAGTGACTAACTACTGACAATATTACTGGATATAGGATATAGCAATTGAATTTTCCTCTTAAAAGTTAAATGGTTAAGAAAGGATTTTTCAAAATTACTCTTAAAACGAAAAAGTATGCTATATTTATCGAAATTTTAAACAGAATCGGAAATAAAGATGACGAGTACCGTACATACAATAAAATAGTGCATAGTCATGGCATACTGCAAGTTTATTATAAAGTAGATACTTACTTACAGCCTATTAATTAAATAAAAAAATATATTGACATGAAGATTTGCAAATATTTATGCTGAGGCAGATCAGAACCAGTTTACCTCGCGGTTGACATTGATCGCGCATGCGCAGGTCCATTGCTCTCGATCATTTCCGGAACTATAATGATTTCCGTGATTATAGTAATATGGGATATTATTGGTTATCTATTAATTTGCTATGATTATAACAGCATTTATTATCTTATATTATCTTATTTGGTGCTTTTATGAGAACTCTTTTTTCATCAATGAATTTAACTTACCGGTCTTAGATTTAATAAGTTAAATGCTGTACTAATACTGATAAAATTTGCCATGTGCTTAGTTTGAATTCTAAAAGAGGGTACGGATTATAATTAAGTGAACGAAGTGGTGAATAAAAACTAGTCATATAACAAAAGCAAAGTGACCTTGTGGTTTACTATCTCGGCTTGTAATACCGGTGGTCGTCGCGTGGGTACAATTCCGGCCTAAACTTTGTTCTAATTTAATTTCTTTCCAACGAAATATGGGCAAGTTCAGTATTATGTGCTTTTTATAAATTAACTAGTTATATTCCGCATGTCTTAGTCTTACTTACTTACTTACTTAGTCTGTATGAATTAAGTGAGACAATATCATATGTATGTATTAATTTAGGATGTAATATAGGATGTCTTGCCATATACCAAATTTCACTCACATTCATGCAACTTATATTTTTATAACATAGTCGGTGGTCCTGGCATAAATAAGGCCATCCCTTCCTTTCCCGTGGATGTCGTATGAGGTGACTAAGGGAGGGCGAGCGATAGGTTCCAGCGTCCGTTTTAAAACATCTCCAAAGCCTAACTGCAGTTGCCAATATACCTGCCAAGCGTGGCAACTACTGGCGAAACCCTCCAAGGGGGCGGTTTATGTTCAGCAGTGGACAGTTGAAGGATGATGTGATGATGATATTTTTACAAACTTTCACATTTATAATATTAGATCCTTTCAATTATAATTACTTTGTAATTTTTGAAGGAACTCGGAATAGTAAAGAGCTGGCACTCCATCTGTTGGAAAGTAGTAATTTAGTTTATAGTCAGAAACGGCACCATAGGTATCACAGAATACATGGTGTAATACCTCTGAACTAAGCATGGGTAATATGGATTCCGATCTTATATCTATATATTCGGTTTCCCGGGACATTCATGCCGGAAAAAGGTCACCAACCATTTCGATATCGCCTATATCGCTCGGATATCTATTTATTTTCAAATACGTTAAAAGTATGTTTTCCAATATTATTTTTTCGATAACAGACTTTAAAAGTATTCGTTATTGGACGAATATATAGATATATCTATAGGTAATATATACCTACCCCTACTTTGAATCTACTATATAATCTCACTATTACATTTCACATTTTAAAATATAGTCATGTAGAAACATAGGTATTTATGTAGACTCATATAGTCAGGTCATCTATTGAGCAAATTATTTATTTACAATAAATAATTTAATAAATAAAATAAAGTAATTCACATAAGTTTCGAAATACATTCCATTTTAGATTTACAGTAAATTACAGTTTGATTGTAGGTAGGTGGGTGCTTAATTGTGTTTATATTGAATCCACGTAGACTAAACGGGACATATAAACCTACTTACATAATATATGCTGTTTCTATATGCGGGTGATATTTAACTGTAGGGCATACCTTTATGTAAGAGTCACTGTCGTTCATTTTTATTAGGTCCTGTAGTTTTATTTACTACCACCATTCATAAGCAAACGCAACACTGGAGGAACTGCAGGTATGTTACCAGCTTTTTTTAAAAGGAATATGTTCTTTTATAGTGAATGTAGGAATAGGTTTTCAGATACATAAGTTACACAAGGCTTGTGAGCCAAAATTTGAACATCTAAATACGTCAGAAAAATATTTGCTTCAATTACATTTATTTTTTTAATTAAATCGAAATCGCAAGCAAGTTCGATAGCGTCGCCCATTGCTCACGTGATAGCAAGTGGTAACTGTCACCCATAAATGAATAAATGAAGGAATGAAAACTTTTTGTTGTTCTCTTCTGTGTATTCCTAACAGTATGTACACAAACAAAATAAATATTTAATTACATAAACTTTACTTTATAAAAACAAGATAAAGAGGCTACAATGGATGGCCTTATCGCTAAATAGATCTCTTCCAGGCAACCTCATAACATATCCTGTAATGCCCATGGTATCCCACATGCTTTACCATTCCTGAGGACTAAAGTGTTATACCTGCAAAACTTAACTACCATATCCCAAATGCCTTTTTTGTTGGCATTCGCGTAAAAATATTTATATTGAGGAAAATCATATTTTATTTTCAATTTAACTTGAGTTGTATTTATCGAATAAGCTAACCATGTTTTTATTGGCCCAACCTAATCCACTTTAACGTGAAAATATTCAATGGAACAAATTGATTTTTCGATATTGTATTTACTAGGAAATATGTTGCAAGAATTATACAAACGTTAGTGTAGAAAGAATTATGATTTTTATTATAGTTTTTATGAATTAACTGCTTTACTTTTTTTTTTACAATGTATATAAGACTATGTTACATTATTGCGTCTTTATAATAGGTAAGTATATAAGAAGTTTTAATAAAGTGTATTATAAGGTAAGTTAATATAATACTCAAAAATCTTTATTTTTGATAAGCTGTATCCTGCGGTTTCACTCAAGTTAATTAGTATACCTATGAAATATCCTACGTATTAAATTAGGATAAAGTTTACTTGTGAACCAAATTTTACTCTAATTTGTTCAGTAGTTTTTGCGTGAAAGAGTAACAAACTTCCATCCTTGCATACATCGTTACAAAATTTCGTAAAGAGATTTCGTGGATGAGTGTAAATAATACATCATATATGTAAATGTATACGTATATATATCGCTAAGTATTCTCAACTTTAACGGCTTAAACGATTTTGATAAATGAGGTATCATTCGATATGTCTAATGCCATTGATTTACAAGAAAAATGTCGATGTGCGTGTAAGAGTCCATTTTACTAAAGTGACATTTTAAAGTATACAATAACTTTACTACTGTAAATCCAAATTTAAATTAGCTATTGCCATTATAAACATTATTATCTATTAAAGTAACAGTTGACTAGATATTTCCCGAGACTTTGCCCGTGTATATTAGGATAAAAAGTATCACGTATTTTAATCTACGGCGTGTTTTATATTGTTGCTCAAACATCAAACACTAACATCCAATCATTGTGTACAAATTTATAATATTAAGAAGGAAATAGGTAAGTATAGTCTGTTTCAATTTAAAAGTAATCATGTGTTGTTGCAATATTACAAATGAAGTTGGAAAAAAATTTAAACATTCAACAATCCTTTTTAAAAGGCCGACAGCGCGCCATAATCTAAAATTTCATCCCAACTATCTGGATAAGTGACGGTCCTCCACCGTGCGTTTTTCAAGGTATTTTCTCCCACGCACAACCACTCTTTGGAATCAACTTCCAGCAGCAGTATTTCCGAACCGAACCGACGACAACATAACCTTCAAGAAAAGAGCATATTCCTTTTTAAAAGGCAGGCAGCACACCTGCAATGCCGTTGGTGTTGTGGGTAATCATGGGGGGCGGTAGTCACTTACCATCAGGTGAGCCGCATGCTCGTTTGCCTCCTAAGTCCTCCTTGTCTGCTAAGCATAGCATTTACTGGCTAAGGGGGAGGCTTATGTTCAGCAGTGGACAGTTAAAGGCTGATATGATGATGACGATGATATTTTTCAATAAGGCTCTACTGAAACAAACTTATGTATATTAAGCGTAAAAATTTTAATTTAGTAAGTTCATATCACATTTTTCTGTTCGCAGTAACCCTCTTCATCCCGTTACCAACAAATCAACATTTTATTTGGGTAAGATGTTTAATAATTCAATACGGTTTTCTATTGGGATTTGCTGATTATTTCCATGTGCCTACGATTTATATAAATATTTATTGAGCTTGTGTTAGTGAGTTTTTGGGTATTATTATTTTTATATTGTAAATATACATATTATAAATAAACAAATAAATAAATAAATATTGTGTGTCGTATATTGCCGTGTGGTCCCGGTATAGAATGAGCATACCATACCCATACCTTCCTTTTCTCGAGGGTCGTAAGAGGCGATTAAGGGAACTTAATAGTTGAGGGATGGCAGCAGCGTCTTTCTTACATCACCAAAGACTAACTGTGGTGTCAAACCGCCTACCAAGCGTAGCAACTACTGGCAAAACCCCCTGAAGGGGAGATTTATGTTCAGCAGTGGACAGTTAACGGCTAATATGAGGATAATGATATTAATCAGCTCAGCGGAAAGTGCGAAGGTATGTCGATTTACAGTGGCAATAGTCTACAAATCTGATTACCTTATTAGAGAACATTTATAATAATAAATGTTCTCACAACTTATGTTCTATTCGAATGTTATATTCGAATTATTTTTAAAAATATATATTTTTAGTATTTTTAGGCGTGTACCAGCGTCTAATAACGTAATGGTACTTCCATTTTAGAGTGTTATTCCTCTGTACCCAGTATATTCACTGCCATATTTCACCCTTCAAACCGAAACACAGCTATGCAAACACAGCTGCTTCACGGTAGAAACACGAATGGGACTAGGTGCCCATGCAAGGTACAAGATTTTTTGTACAAAGTCTCCTTCTGGCCAAGTCGCTTGGCATAATCATATAATTTTTTTCTTCTTGTGCACTATGCTATTGCATTTTTACTACTTGTTTACTTAGTCTCCTAAATAAAATTGTATATATTCCATAAAAAACCCGATACGTGGCAAAATTATTGTAAACTCATACGGGAGTAAATTTTATAAGCATTAAAATAAATACATTATGTCATGTATTTATTTTAATGGTTATAAGAGAAAGAAAACATGATCACATTAATGAAAGACTAGATATTTTATAGACAAATTAGATAGAAACTATTGAAATGTGGAATCTTGTGTTTATAAAAAAGACTTGGTTAAATTTCTTGTTCTGTAAATAATTACGGCGGTTTCAATCGTCATAAAATAATTGGGCACAAATACATGAGTAAACTGAATAACGATTTAAAAAATAATTATTAAAATCAGTTCAGAATGAGTGTTAAATAATTAATAGCTTAAATCTACAAAGATTTCAATGGAACAAACTCGACAATCTCAGTGGTTTTTGTATTGAATATAAATTAAGTTAAGAATTTAAGATTGTGTTTCAAATTACACCGACTTCAACTTTAGTAAAACCAGTTATAATAATTTTAAAATTAAACTACTGGACCGATTTTGATAAGTTTTTTTATACAACTTAGAATGGCAAACAAGCTGACGGCCCAACTGATGGAAAGTGGTAACCGTCGCCTATAGACATGAGCAGTACCATGGACATAACAGAGTATACTGTTTCGCCAATGATACCCCCCATGCGTTGCTATTCCTGAGGACTCAGGTGTTATTCCTCTGTACCCAGTAAATTCACGCCATATCCCACCCTTCAAACCGAAACACAGCCATGCAAACACAACTGCTTTACGGTTGAAACACGAAGGGGACAGAGGTACCCAAGCAATTGACTTTTGTACAAAGTCTCCCTCTAGTAAAATTTCTATATTAATTAAATTTCTATAGGACCAAACTGTAAGTACATCTATTGTGACGGAAAATATTTTTTGAAATCGGTTTAGAATTAACAGAGTTAAGAGGTAACGAACAGAAAAAAATACATCAAATAATAGAATTGAGTACCTTCTTTTTTTAAATATGTGGAATATGTAACAAACTAGACATTATTTATTCTATTTAAAAGTGCATCCCGAGTGTACATTAATACGATGCCTCTTAGCGAAGTTGTACCAAGTTCCTTTTCCTCGTTAGAAATGAAAATGAAAATTGACAGATAAAATAAATGCGGTGTAAATTGAGATAGATAGATACGCGTTATAGTTTCCTATATAATAGTAAGTACAGTCAGTATCAAGAGTCGACGAACACACTAAGATATCCCAAGTCAGTAAACATCGTTACGTACAAAAGTAGCTTAACAAGGTTAGCACCGAGTTGGATGAACACTGCGTAAGGTCAGAATTAATGAAATATATATATATATATATAAAGTTATATATATTCTGTGGTATATAAGTAGAGGGGTTGAAAATCTTAACGTGACCATAGACTTTATACTGCTGTATCTATTACAGTTATTGTGCATCATATCTATGAAACTTGGTATTTTTACTTACTTCAAAAAAAGATTAGATTCTAAAATCTATTGTATTTTTAAGGACAAATTAGTTAAAAATTACGTAGTTTTTTCCTCGTAAATTACATAATTTAATGCAAATTCCGTGTGACCTTCGATCATCAATACCACCTAGATAACACTCCACGAACTAAAACAGAATTTAAATACGGCCATCGTCCGACTATTAAAAAAAATACGATCTAAAATTGTAAAAATACCGATGCAATTGGAATGTTAATTTTAAATGATAAAGTGTAGTTTTGTTTATTTAGAAAAACAGTAATTTTTGTTGATTAATGATTGTCAAATAATTATAATAAGGAAACTAATTACAAATAAGACCCCACCACAAATAATTCTTTATGTTGTGATCCCAGTTTGATATAATATATTATTATACATCTACAGTATTGATGATCAGGGGTTATGTATAAAGGATTTTTGTGTTACGTTCCGTTTCAGCCACTAAGCATGTGTATTCTGGCAGATTTATGTAATCACACTTGGATACCGGAATGCGGCCGCGAGAGGGGTGAGAACGGAACGCTCAGACTCTTCACTGACAAATGTGATATGTTGGAGTTCTCTTGCGATAATGATAAACGTGAGTCTTGATTGCCTTATCTTTGTTCCAATATTAGGATTAACATAGAATTTTTTCTTCCTCCACTAATTCTCATTCACAATAAGTATGATTCACTTTTATTCTATACTAGTCTTTCCTAGCAACCGGCGTATGTTTATTGATCGAGATTAAAGTAGCCCTTGTTCTCGATCTATTGAGAAGATTCCGTGCTATGAAGAGGGCTATGCTCGGAGTCTCTTTGCGTGATAGAATCTGAAACGGGGATGTCCGCAAAAGAACCAAAATAATCGACATAGCCCAAAGGATAAGCAAGCTGAAGTGGGCTGGTCACATAGCTCGAAGAACCGACAATCGATGGGTAAGAAAGGTTCTTGAGTGGCGACCACGTACGGGTAAACGCAGTGTAGGATGATCTGCCACTAGATAGAGTGACGACCTGACATACGTTACAGGGAGTCAGTGGATGCAGGTGGCTGTTCTTTATAGTCTATGGGGAAGGCTTATGCCCAGCAGTGGACGGATAATGGCTGAAATGATGGTAATGATATATCCCAAGAGATACATCCATATATACATATACTGCCTATATATTGAATTTCATAGTGATTGGTTAAGTCATTAAGGCGGTAAGTGGTAACAAAAAAACAAAATCACTTTTACATTTATAATTTTAGTAAGGACACGAGGTGAATCTGTACTATTAGCGTCTTTTTAAGGAAACAAATGAAAAAGCCCAAACAAAATGGACTGAAAAATGTCAAAAAATGTTAAATGGTCTAATATTAATATGGCGCGTTCAACTAATAGTTTATGATATGAGATTTTAAAAATGTTTTAACGTCGACTCATATTTCTTTGAGAAAATAATTCAGTATCAACGACACAGTTGTTGACCATTTCTTTAAATAGATACCGATGGGAGACTAAAAAAAAATCATACATAGATACTTTCTTTCATCAATGTTTCTCTACTTAGGCAATTGCGCTTTCATAACTTTTATTAATTTAGTAAGGTGAATTGAAGGTAAATAAATAGAACTACTTATCACCATCAGTGAAATTTGCAATTAGATTTAGTTTTCTTAAAGTTTTTTTTTTTTTAGTATATCAAACATGAAATACTAATTCCCTAAGGTTGACTGGGAGTGAATGCTTTTAGTCCGCCATATACACATACATGTATTAATCTATACTTATAATAAATCTGTAGAAAGGTCAATTTTGTACATGAAATAAATTTCCAAAATAACTATCAGAGGGTGATTAGTGATCGATACTGATGCCAAAAATGCAATCAGTAAAATTTTTGTCTTTCTGTCTGTATGTTCGTTATAGAAACAAAAACTACTCGACGGATTTTAACGAAACTTGGTACAATTATTTTTCATACTCCTGGACATGTTATAGTATACTTTTCATCACTTTAGTGAAGGGATATGTTAAAAATGTTCACCCGTGTGACGCCGGGACGGGCCGCTAGTGAATAAATAAATAAATAAGTAATAAAACTATTACATATTCTTTCTATTTCAGACTATGAGTTACTAAATTATTCAGATTGTTTTACTGGACCGGTTTCTTGCCCAACCGCCCTACCATGCCCATCTAATCCCACTTGTCCTAACCACCAAGAACATAAAATGGGTCAACGTAATTTAGTCAGAAATCAACCTAGAAGAATGGTAAGTTTACCAATAAAGTCATCTACTTTGCCAATGTATATGCTGAAAGGCAAAAGAAGGTATACCCCGATACTAAAAAAGAGGAAAATAAAGAGTATTATGAAGAAGGAGATTCAAAAGTATACGTCAATGATAAGAAAGAGAGGGTTCGTAAAAAAGAAAATGTTTGTTACAAGAAGCACGTTGATTATTACAAGCAATAAGAAAACAATTGTACTGAGAAAAGAATCAGTTATAAGGAATGGAAAGAAATTACTTAAAGTTATTAAAGGTATTTCAACAACAGCAGCGACTGAAAAACCAGTAAATTATGATTCTGAATTTTTAGTAAAATAAAAAACAAAATACAATAGAAAGAATTTTATTTAAAGTATGTTAATTTATAGATACTTAAAAAATAATTATTTAAATTATGGAAATAAAATTCTCATTAATTAAATTACAATATGTACAATATTTCAATTTCAACAATGTGACAATTTTTGCATAATGTGGCGGCACTACCCCGTCGTATAGCCGAGCTAATATATTGGCTAATGAATGCCACAGTTCTAGGGTTATTAGACTCATCTAATACTCGCTCGAGTACTTACACAATTTTTAATCATTATTTATATTATATATATGTATATATATTGCCATTACTAATACTTGTTTGAATAGAAAAACTATCGGAAGAATTGTTTTCAAAATAGCGCAATGTTTTCAAATATTCTATATTGAAAATTTTAACCGTTCAGTTGTTGGACCTGAGACGCTTAGTTCCAATCACCTGCAGAGGTGAATGTTCGAAGCGTAGGTGGTATTTATTAGAAACGATGAGTTTGAAAAACATAAGAATCTCATCCTGACTTTTGGGTTAGAGAAAATTAATTATTTATTAATACAGATTAAACCGGCAGATTTGTTATCTTTCTAATCCGAAACATTTTATTTAGAAAGGAGAGAGAATTGTACAGGTAAAACATTTTTAAATACTGTAAGATTTAATACTAAATACTAAATCTACTAGGCACATCTAAATATAAACTATAATACATAAAGATTGAAAACAAAATTAATTAACAGTAGTAACATGAAACTTCTATGTATTATACAGCAGTGCTTACAAAAGGTGGTCGGGTCTTGAAATTATAGATGATTTGAATAATGTTTTGATTAAGACGAACGATCTGTCAGCAACCAGTCTAGAGCTTATTCTTCTCCTGCATGAAATAACATTAAGCGTTTAGGCAGATTATACCTATATATGTTCTAGGAAGTAATAAATTACGTATAGTTATGATGATCCACACTATTATTATAAATATAAAAGTGAGTTTTTTTGTCACTTGGCATCAAATTTGATATAAACGTAGCATTTGAGATGTTTACTCCAGTAAATCAATGTATCCTGGAAGAAAGTCTTTAATAAAATCTAGTGTTTCTGTAAAAGTGTTATACTGAATATACGAAATATTTTATTGGTTAATGTAATTGTAAAAATAACCATAAAACAAACTTCGTATAAATGGAAAATAAACAATTTGAATGCTTACAACGGTTAAAACAGTGATGAATTGATGATTGTTGAAAAAGAACAATAGTAATTTTAAATTAAAATGTTATAAGTTTTATGAATAAATTTGCTAGAGAAATATGAAAAAATGTATTGGGAATTACATCATTTAAAAATACAATGGAATTGCCGATAGTGCTTGGAGCAACATTTAAAGTAATCGTCATCTCTTTAATTTTTACTAAGTCTTCGGTACAACATTTTGTATCAGTAAGTTTATATTCTGTGATACTAAAACATATATATAAATTAATCGGTAAGGTAGCTGATCGTATTCTGATATATTGATTTTTGATATGTTTGAGCAAAAGCTGGAAGATCATGTTCAATAGTTTCAATTGGTAGCAACTGTTAATTTTTTCGTTAGAAATCACAGCTTTAAGTATTTATTATATAAATATTGTTATTGAAATATATGTTTGCAGTACGATGATCCATGTTACTTGGCATATACATGCAATCATACAGGTATTTCTGAATGTGGAAGTGATATGGAAAATTTTGACACACGATTATTTTTAGATGCATGCGACATGCATGAACACAATTGTGATTATAAAAAAGGTATGCTGTAGTTATCATATTTATTCAGTATGCCAATAGGTATCTGTATATTAATAATTATAAAGCTATTTAATATTATACAACGATGTTTTATTTTATATGTGCCTGATTACAGAATACAAAATTGTTAACAAATATGAATGTGTTGACAAAAACACCAAAGAAAATAAAACAAATTCAAGGGAGACATTTTATTTAAAGAATGCTACAGATCAGATTATACCTAGTACATTTAAAAATAAAAATATACCTGAAGCGGTAATAACAACAAATAATACCACTTCAATTACAACAGAAATATTGTCGAAACAAAAAAGTAATATATTACAAGAGAATACTTCTCCTATGGAAAGTACTTCAAATCAAATATCTACTATTAATAGTAGTGTAAATATAAATGGTACCGATGAGAAAATAGCTACAATAACCACACTTGAAATTACTGATATTATACCGGATATATTAACAATACCACACAATTACATGACTAGTACCATAAATTTATTATCAACTGCACAAAGTACTACTGAAACTTTTTTAACATCAGTTTCTACCAATACGAGTTCTACAACTCCATCAATGGTTGCAAATGAAACTACATCTTTATCTACTGCATCAACTACTACTAAGGATCCTATTTTGTCTTTATATTCCGATGAAGAAACTACTGCTTTTGAGCGGAATTGTACTAGAGGAGAAAATCGCTCGACTACAATTTTTACCACAATAACTCAGCCAAAATGTATCACAAACTCAGATGTTAGTTGTGCAAATACAACTCAGGAACAAGTTAATGAAGATTTAGTAAAAGGTAAAGTATAATTTATTATCGTGCTGATATAATTTCTAGTTCTTATGATGTATTTGCTATAAAGTAAAAATAATTTTAATTGAATAATTATTATTAAAAAAAAAAGGATTTATTAACAAATATAAATAAATTTGTTGTGTTACAACAAATCAGATTAACAGTACAAATAGTTATTTTGGAACTGTAAAATCCACTTACGATATTCATTTGGGAAGATATTATGTATTATGGCCAAGATAATCTTAGTGTTTTAAATAAAGATGTGTAAGAAAATGTATCTGATTAACAGAAGATTAATAATAATGCTTTCACAGGCCGTGTAACAGAATCAGATAATTTACAAGGTATAGAAAATCATAATAATCATACATAATGTAAATAATATTTCAGATACTTCTACACAATTTGATGTGCAAGGTATAATTTTATTTTAATAGTTTGATACAATAACTAATACAAGCTAATAATATAAATAAAAACAGTATCTGTAATATATTTCAGATCCATTTTCAAAGAACGAAAGCATAACTACGACCGAAGCCGAAATTACAACAATCCTTCAGCATAATATAACGAGTTCATTTGTAAAGGAAACAAATTATACAAATCAGTCAAATATGAGTAAAGGGGATATTAATATGACAACTGAAGTGCAAAATTTTGTAAATGTAACTGAACCTTCTATACGGTATAATGTGACTAAACTTTGTATGAATACTTATCCCAAAGAATGCAACAGGCCCTTGACGTGGGAAACTACATTGGAAGGAGAGAGCAGAGATTTTTTTCAAATACTTAAATCAAAATTCGGCAGAAGAGCCAGATGGTTGAGAGACACCACTCAATGGCCAAGGCGTAGTAACTTTTTAATTAATGAAAAAAATAATGCATTTATTTTTGGCGATCACAATGAAACTTAAATATTCTTAATTTGTTTTTAGAGCTTCTGATAGAGCTTTGTACAAATTCATTGTTTTTTATTCAATGTTAGAGTATCAGTTGGAATTGAAAATAACACATAATGATAATGATTTAAAACTAAATGTACACCATGTGATAAATAGTTTCTTTTTACTATATGAAATATCTTTTCTTAAAGATATTATTATTGTTATATTATTTTTTTAAAATAGGTTCTCCCAATTAAGGAAGTTTTGCTAGTAGTTCTCACGCTTGTTAGGTGGATTGGCAACCGCGTTTAGGCTTTGGTATTGTTTTATGATGCTGCTGCCCATTCCACGACCATTAAGCTTCTTTAGTCGCCTCTTACGTCACTCACGGAAAAGGAACGGGTGGTCCATTCTATGTCGGGACCATACGGCGGAAGATATTATTGGTATCGAATTATTTAAATTCCGTTTATTTAAAAATCTTACTAGTTCTGCCGTCAAATGAAATAATTATGTGTTGATTGAACTTGATGTAGATTTGAAGAATATTTCTAGTTCGTGATTTTTTACAATATTTATTTAAAAATAGCTAACAATTGTTATTACAATAATGTCATTGTTAACATTGATATTGATTTATTGCGAAATAAAAACTTGTACGTATAACAAATGTATTATATAACAATAACAAATTATGAGAATACTGTACTTTTACTTGGCTAATTACTGTGATTAAATCAATTTGTCTATAGTGGCATTCAAGTCAAGTATATTCAAGATTACAGACGCTGATCTTTGTGAGAGCAAACTTTAAAGTAATGTCAAGGTACATGCATTGTATTTCTCGATGGTACCCGATAGCAAAATAATGAGCCATAAGTGCTATACCTATTATTGTTCGAAATCACGTGTTTGTGATGAAATATTGTTAGATGAAGGTATACGTAGAGTCGATTGCGAAGTTTTATCCGCCCTTAAAGATGCGAATAAAATGATAATGTTACAAGTATGTCGAATTGTTTCGTTGTAATGCCTCTAATGATGTGTTTGTTGCTATTATGTTCATGATCTTCTTAAGTTTTATGGTTCAGTATGATTTATAGTTAGGTTGCACTTATGTCCACTTATTCGACTTTTTTTTTATACAACTTAGAATGGCAAACAAGCTGACGGTCCACCTGAAGGAAAGTGGTAACCGTCGCCTATAGACATGAGAAGTACCATGGACATAACAGAGTATACTGTTTCGCCCATGATACCCCCCATGCGTTGCCATTCCTGAGGACTCAGGTGCTTTACTTTTATTTTTTAAATAAAATGAAAGTTTTCAAGATCAAACATAAAACGTATTGACACATCTAAAGATGAAACATTTAAAATTACTAAGAATGATTTATTTCAAAAGGAGTAAACGAGCGAAAAGTAAATTTGGTTGATATTCTTTTAAGAATATTAAACGATAAATTATTAACAAATTTTTATGCAGATAATAATTCAATTAATTGTTCTTTTATAGCTTTTTTAAGACTCATCTAGGGATCATTTGGCATTTACCAGTGAAGTATATGACGTTTGAACCAATACATGGCAAGAAACATACCTATACGAAAGTTATATGGATTTGGTTTTGCCTATTTGGCTACGCGACCCTAAAAAGTTCTGGCTTAATATTAATTTGTGTACATAGAAATTTCTAGAACATTTTATACAATCCACAGTAATTTGTGTAGGCGCGCGTTATGTTGTATTATAACAAGCATGCCGTAATATTTCATTAGTGAATTACCGTTTATAAAATGGCGTGGGTGAGGCAATTCCACAATTGTTATATTGCTTATTACTTACAAAGCTCGTCCAAATATCAAAGGCCCAATGTAATTGGGATTCATAAGTGGACATTAAAATATTCAAAGAAATATTTACTGATGTTGTGTATGAAAAATTGCTCTGTATTCGCACACATAATTATAACATGTTCTTTTTTGTCAAACAATTTCGGTAGAATTTTAGGCGATTTAAAAAAGTTCGATAGGTTTGCGAAGTTGTAGCAAATTGCTAGTTACCTATAACTAGTTATTCAATAGTTCTTCAGATTAAAAAAGCAGACGGTCAGATGGACGCTGTAATTGAAATCTACTATACACTGTACAAGACGAACTAACCTGTAATCGACGAATGTTAACTATTGTGCACTTACTTATGCTATTTTGAACTTTAAAACTTTACATTAGAGTTCATAATTATATTACTTGTCAAATTGTACTTTGTCTATGAGTGAATTTACTTAGGTCGCATATTAAGCAGTAGATACTGTTTGTATTGCAATGAACTTGGCCATGTATGGTATGTTATCTCGGAGTCTGTCGAAATTAAGATGTTGCCATATGAGTAAAGAGCAGTGAAGAGGATTGTTTATTGTATACAGTTACTAAATATTATGACCCAGCAAAACGTTCACTATTGTAAGTAGCAAGAGTAATGTTTATTTTGTATTTTGACATTTTGTTTAGTCTATAAATGCGATGACGAAATAGGAGTACAATGTTTCATCATTACCATCGCGTAAAATCGTAAAAGACGAGCAAATAAAATATGTATGGATGATATATATATATATAATATGAGCATTAAATGAATAATACATAATAAGCGTATTTCTTTAACATGTAATTTTTATTTAGATTTGATTAGAAATTTTTCAACTTGATTTAAACAGAATTATATATATATATATATATATATATATATATATATATATATATATATATATATATATATATATATATATATATATATATATATATATATATATATATATTCGTTAACTTATTGTATGTATTAATTCTTAGTTTGTATCTTTATTATTATATCAGCCATTATCTGTCTACTGCTGGACATATATCTCCCCCATAGGGGGGCGTTGTCAATAGTCAATAGTTACCATGCTTAGTAGGCAGGTTAGTAATCGCAGTTAAGATGACCATTTAAATTAGTGAATAAGGGAATTTAAATGGTCGAGGGATGAATAAGGCATAGTCGCCCCTTACGACATCCACGAGACAGAAAGGGGTGGCCCATTCTATGCTGGGACCACAAAGCAATATTCCATATACAGATTATTGTCATTACTACATCAGTGATAAACCGATTTGGATTATTATATTTTTTATCTAAAAAGATATATGTGCACTTTGGTTTAATAGATATTTCCTCAAAATCGGTTTAGTAATTTAGTTTTTAGACTAAAACAACTGGTTTTGTCATAGTTGAAGTCGGTTTTTTGTGGGACATAATCTTCAGTTACTGCATATTGCTACTAATATCGATTTCACCCTGTACTCGTATAGAAAAAAGTAGACAATACAGAAAACTGTAGCATTGAAGTTTTAATTACGCTTTTAAATGTAACTAAATTAATTATTCTAGTCTATTCTAACATTCTACCTGAATTAAGTTTCACATCAATATGGAAATTGGTATCTGCAGACCATAAATTTCATACCCGTGTGGATTTATTTATGTAAATGGCTTGGTAATTTAATCGAATTTATACAGCTTTTAGGTATTATACCGATACGTGACATTGTGTTTTTTTTTTGTTTACTATTGACAACACTATTGGCCTACATTTAAAAATGGAAGTTTTTTCCGCAAATTATATGCTTTTTTTACTCGAAAATGCACTTTGCACGCAATTTATTATTATTATTATTATATCACCCTTTAACTGTCCACTGCTGAAGATAGGCCTACTCCATAAGGAGCGTATTGCTAGTATTTGCCACGCTTGGCAAGCGGATTGGCAACTGCAGTTAGATTTTGGTGATGTTTTAAAAAGTACGCTGCTGCCCATCTAGTCGTCGCTTACGACATCCACGGGAAAGGAAGGGGTTTTTATATTCCTATTTTATGCTAAAACCATAAAAACGGAAAGAAAGCCTACGCATATAAAATTAATGAAAACTTTTTTCTTATAATCTTCAGTAAGGTTACAGTACTATTAAATAAAGAATAGAAAAAAAAATTGTACTAAAATACGGCTGCTTCGATTGGAAATGTGAGATCATAGTAAAATTATTACGTAAAGACGTAATGGGTATTAACTACTAAGTAAGAAAATAATTGAGCTGTCAGAATCTAATAGTAACATCCCTTTCCCCCTGGCAGTGTATGTCAGGACGTTGGACATTTGATCTTTGTTTGTCACCTTTGTGTTCATGATTTGCTCGGATTTCATCGAGCTTATTTTAATCCGACGTAGGCGAATTCATCGTTGTTCAATGTGAACTATATTTATATACTATATTTTGATATAATATCGTCATAAACAATTCTATTTGATACAGGTCTATTTTAAGATACTGTTATTAATATTTATAGTTTTTTTTATTAAGTATTAATATTTGTATTTGTTATTTATTTAAAGATATAAAAATAATCTTGTTTTTATAAAATTTTCACATATATCAACTCACTTTGGTAAATCCTAAGTTTATTTTACTGGTAAAACTTAAGATTTACTAATGTGAGGGCTTTTACAGTAATAAATAAAATAGATTTACAAAAGAAATATTTTAAAATTAATACTTTAAGTATGTATTTTATATAGCAAATTATTTTGTTTCAATTTAATATTTAACAAGCTTTTACACATTTGATACAAAAAATATTTTATATATTAAACAATAACTAACCAATATAGTCATAAATAATTAAAAAATACTTAAAAATAAGTAATAAGTTTTATTTTAAACAGTGTAGAATTAAAAATAAATAAAAATAATTAAAAATAAACTACTTAATTATAAAAAAGTTTACGTTCTGAACCTCGTCCAAAGATCTCTATAACACTCGCAGTGTTTTTATATTGAGTTGTTAGAGATACCCTTTGAAATGTGGCATGCAAATAAATTTTAATAATGACTTAATTATATATTAATAATATTAAAACCATATGATCGAAGTTCCAATGGAATGCCGCAAAGATTTGAATAATGTTGAATAATTAGCTAGTATTCGTACGGGTCAGCTGATGATCTTTGTGAAGGTTGAACGCCTGTGATGCCTTCATAGGCATTGCGCTTCATAGAGAATTGTTTTTATATGAATCAACCGGATACATGTTAACAAATAAACAAACCTTGATTTGTCACTTTTTTTTTTAATTACCAAACACTTACTACCCA